AAGGCCTCTCGCCCGTGCAGGCACAGCGTTGAAGTTCGCCTAATTTCCCAACGAAATACTCCACGGAAATCCACTACTCCCCGCTGAAGTCTTCCTCGCATTGTTTCCTTGGAGTTAGTAAGATTAGCAGGTTTGGACATTCGAAAAATCTTTTGAAAAATTTCATTTTTTGGTGGACAAGAAGAGTACAAGTCCATTCGCTCCGAATTTTGAGCACAAAATGTTGGAGCATAGCAAACTTTCTCGCGCTTAATCGCAAAAAATAGTCGACAAGTGAGTGATTAGGCTTGGTATTCATTTTACACGAAAACGACCAGACTTACGGAAATGTTCAAACGCGGCTGTACTTCCCTACCAAATCAAAGAAAAACTAAATTATTTCAATACAGTTTCAACTCTTCGTAAGGCTTGTATGCTGCATTCGCAAAAACAATCAGACAATTTGTTATTTTGACAAACAAAATCATCGTATTTTGATAAAACAGTCCGGCCTATTTTCTTTAAACGAGGAGCGATATCGAAATAAAAACGGGCGAGTTCAACCTCGTCCCCAGGGCTTACTCTCTTTCAACCCGCTTCAGGTAGTGGTGGGAGCGTACTGCTCGACATCATAGGAACGAGGTTGTGCTGAGTTGGACACGCACTCTCGAGTGATTCCTATTGGTCGGAAGTTAAACAGGAAACTTTTGATTGGCAGATGGAAACTGCACTTGTTTACGTAGTATTTCCACAACCACGACTTCGTTTCAGCTTCGGTTTTTATCAATATCAGGCTTCAGTATCCAAAAAGGTCCTTAAAACAAAAATTAATAGGAATACACTGACGCATGTTTTGATTTTTTTAGTGGCTTCATATAATATTATTAGATTACATTTGTTCTTTCTTTCAGAATTATATTTACTAATTTAAATGATTTAATGTTGTGTGTAATATTGTTTGATATCTCTATTTTATATCCTTTGTTTTTGTTGGCCAGCCTCTGAGTCCTATCATCTTACTTTTTATTTGTATTTAGTTTGAGTTTTTCTACTTTTAAACTTATGTACTCTTTAAAAATGTTTTATTATTGTGTGTAATATGTTTGTTCGTACGTCTATTTTTCTTCCTTGTTTGTTGTTGGTCATAGATTTTATCATGTCAAGTTTACTTTTTCTTTTCTTTTTATACGTTAAATTTCAAATATTGTCCTTTTTGTTTTACAGTATATACATGATTTCTTTAAGTTTTTATCTTTAACTGATTACTTATTTCATTTGTTCAAGATGGGCTGTACAGTCTTTTCCACAACCCACGAGCTCAATGACGCATAAAGCAAACAATCCACAGTACACTGACATTGAGATCTTTAATAAGTAAGAACAGGTTTTTATTACTTTCTTGTACACATGGGGTAAATAGAGAACAGTGGCAGGCAGATAAATTACCAAAGCAAAGCCTAGAAAAAGAATTTTCACAGAGAATTATGTACAAGTGACTCTCGTCAGCACTTTGCGCCAACACACACACACAAAATACACTCAACGTTGACTCATGGGGAAAAAGGTTGCATCCTGACGCCACTTTTTTTCATCATATATCATCTCAATGAAGGTCAGTCTTTGCAGAAATGTTGAAAAGACATGAATCTGGGACTGAGAAACATTTCCCATTTTGTTAAAAAATACTTTGAAAATGCACTCAACTCTCCATAGCCTGTTTTCACAAACAAAGAAGTGGCGTCAGGGTGCTACACTCTTTCCCTGTGACGTGACATACACATATGTATCTTGTACAAAGAAATCCAAGATGGCTGTTACTGGAAAAGGGTGAATATGCCTTTATAAAACACCCATTTTGACGATATCATGGGTAAAGCAATTGCCTTTTCCAATACAATCTGGACCCTAAGTGACGTGGTATGTCAAAACAAGGCAGAATTGGACAGAGCTACGAATGGAAAAAAAGCTGCAAAATGACATGGACGTAATTTTCAGCGATTTTGAGATTTAAAACAATTGTGGTGCTACTAATGTTTAAAAAGCTCTGTACAAGTTTCAAACTGAGATTTCATCAACTTTGGAGAGGCATGTCGTTTCACAAAATCACGCTTTGTTCAAGACTTTGTTCTGCAGTAATGCAAAATTTGAAGAGTCCATTTTCAAAATTGTATAACTTCGCTTAGGAATATCTAATTTGAAAAAACAAAGCGGCGTTTGAAAGAGCAGGTAACTAACACACATATTGCAGTAACTCAAAATTGACCTCTTGCCCTGAAGTGGCTGATTTTTTACATACCACGTGATATAACATCAAACTGGAAGAAAACCAGTCTGGTCTTTTCCGACAACTGAGATCCACTTGATCTGACGAAAACAAGACTAGGCAAGTCTAGTAAAGCTGGTCCCAGTGTGCACAAAATTCTATTCAATTGATTGCCAATGGCTAATTCACTGGAATTTTTTTTTGTGCATTTGGTCCACAACACTGGGCCGGATCTAGCCTTACAGGGTAATCCTATACAACAGCACTGCCCAGCTCACAAGTGACAGCCAAGTAACGAGTCAGTCAGTGAGACACTAAAATCAAATTCCAAATCAGAGTTAATGTCAGTTTAGGCACATTTCCCCAACGTGGAGGTTCAATTAAAGTTTTAGTTCAGTCACAACAATTTTATGGACAGAATTTCGGGAGCCGGCAGTAGAACTAGGAGTGTTGCGAATTTCAAAATATTGACGTCGACAGGGTACACGTGGAACCATGGGAACCCCGGTCGAAGTTTTTTGTGTGCATCTGGTCTACAACACTGGGCCAGATCTAGCCTTACAGGGTAATCCTATACAACAGCACTGCCCAGCTCACAAGTGACAGCCAAGTAGCGAGTCTGGGACCATTCTGTTGAATTCAGCATGTGTTCAATAGTTGAAACGCCAACTTTTACCAAAGGATTTGATAGATACTTCCACAAGCCTTTTCAAGTTTTCAATATTTCAACGCAAATTTATGTGCAAGTGTAGATATTTAGGTTCTTCAAAATTAAACTTTTTGTACTAAGCGACTCATTGAGGCTTAAATTAGATAAGAAAATATCTTAAAATCATTGCTAAAAAAAATCAATACTCCTTACGTGTTTTCAAACGAATAAGAAAAAGTAATTTAAACACAAGTACACATAACTGCTTAGAACCTCTGCTTTTGAGCAATATTTTTTTGCCATTAGTCTGAAATACATTACAGAATTTTGGCTTTTTTTTTGTCCAAAAAGGACTTGGATCAATAACGTTACCGTGTAAGATGTCAACTGCTTTTAATTCATTTCTAAATCTCCCTACCGTTAGAATTATCTCCCGACAGAAATCATACAAAAAATGAAAGAAACTGTTCTAAACACTTATGCGTACTCCACCTATACAGAGAATTGTACCTCCCACTCCAAAACTATAAACAAATAAATCTACAACTCGTAAAAGTGGTTAGCAATCAAAAAGCTTTAAAACAAAAAAAACAAAAAAAGCTTTCCAAATTCTGAAGCGATTTTGTATTACATATTTATATACTGTGTAATTCCTGTAGGTCACCAAACTATCTTACATTGACCTCTGCCACCAAATAACCTTTGACACGGGTCAAGGCTCAAGGTTACTAGTAAAACTTAAAAGTTGTATACATGAAAGGAAATGCTAATTATATTCAGACAGTGGCAACACAGACAATAAAGCATGCAGTCACAAATAAAATTTACTGGTCATGGAAGAACCATTGCAAGTCTAATAAGGCCAAAAAAAAAAAGTCTCCGGTTTCTGGTATGCGCGCGCGTCGCCGTAGCCATGCGCGTCGGCAAAATGCAAAAGTTTTTTTTTCAATGAAAGATGATGTCAAAACCGCCAAACGCACTGGTTTGACTAGAATTCTGCTGCTGCACAATTTTAACGTGTTTTTAGATGGGGTTATGATCGAGAATAAGCTTTATGTGGCCTCTCTGGACTCCCATATATTTGCACTAAGTTTAGTCGGGCACCATTTGCAGTCATCAGCCGACATTTGAAGCAAAAAAGTCAGGTAAAAAAAAAAAAAAGCCGCATCGCCGCACCACTTTTTGGGCAAGCTCCATACCAGAAACCGGAGACTTTTTTTTTTGGCCTAAGGAATTCTATTTTTGTTAAATTTGTGTAATAAAGGTGTCCATTAGGCCTGAGATGTGACCTAAATGGATATCCAAAACGTTTCAGCATGATTGTCCTTAACCCCTTGTCGCCGGGTTTTCACGCCCTTACTGCACAGGCTGATAGGCATCACTGCACATGAGCCTCTGCGCGCAGTAGCAACAAGTGCACAGCTGCCCACAGACAGCATACCTCGGCATTACCATGGAATATAAGAGCACGGCTATAGCCGTCAGCTACATGCATGGCAGGCTTATCTCAAAATTCACTCATGTCAGTTTTGTTGTCAAGTTTTGTGAAGTCGATTGCGGATCTACTAAGTCAGAATTTGTAAGTACAAATAAAAAACAAAACCACTTAACACTTACGTTTCCCTATTCAATTCCAACGGAAATGTAAAAACTAATCATCTTGTGCTTAGGAGCGTATTGTTATGTACAAACACAATAAAGTTGCAAAATCTTTAGATGAGGACTGGTAGATGGGGACTCATCTGGTAATAGGAGCCTCATGATTGACTGGTTGCCACTATAGAGAGGTGGCCACTATAGACAGCTGCTCTTAATATCCACACCCTATGTTCGCATTGGACAAAGTTGATGAATATTCATTGCAAGTGGCTTTTCACAAAACATGCAAAATGCCAAAACAGATTCGTAATCTGCAATAAACGATTGCTCTAATTGTTTCAGATATTGAGAACTTTTGGGGTTCTATGCAGTAATTTTTAAATTTTTTGCTTCTTTATCATTCTGCTGCTGCGCATTTAGAATGTGATCTTCGTTTTATCCACACTATGACAGTAGGGGATGTTTGGATAATTATTTTCTCGGGTTAAAGCGGTGTTAAGTTGTGTGATGGCCTTGTTGGCTGTTGTGTAACAGCAAGGGTTTAGAACTCAATACGTGTTACATCAGGTTTTAGTTTCAGAATTTAAATAGACCTTTCTAAATGAACATTGGAATCAAAATCATTAAACCAACCTAAATGCTAAAAAAAAAAGGTAAAAAAATATCTTTGAACGTATCCAACGCGAACATAGCTTACAATTCTTTTCTTTTTCAATACCTAATAATAGATGGCGTTTAATTTAAGTGACCACAATATTACTAGGTTTGACCGGTATTATGTTCGTTCTCGACTAGTCAATCGATCTTGACCGCGCCGTAGATTTTCGTGATGAACCAGTAGGCGGCGTAGAAGCCCATGGTGCCTGTGACGATCCAGAACGTTAGAACCATCATAAAGGTGTAGCCGAAATACAGGAGGGCTGGGACAAACTGGGTGATCTCCAGCTGAGAGAAGAGGACAAAAAAAAAAGAACAATGTGAGATTGGCTGGAGCGGGATTCGAACCTACAACCTCCCGAAGCATTGTATAGGGGCTGTACCAACGGCACTATCCAGCCCTATGTTTGCAGTCCATGAAAATGGGTCCTTAGTATACAAACTGGCGGGAACTGGACTATCTCCAGCTGAGAGAGGAGGAAAAAACACAATATGAGATTCGCTGGAGTGGGATTCAAAACTTCAACCTCCCAAAACATTGTACAGGGCCGTTACAACGGCACTATCCAGCCCTATGTTTGCAGTCCATGAAAATGGGTCCTAAGTATACAAACTGGCAGGAACTGGGCGATCTCCAGCTTAGAGAGGCGGCCAAAATAAGAGTGCAATGTGAGATTGGCTGGAGCAGGATTCGAACCTACAACCTCCCGAAACATTGTACTAGGGCTGTACCAACTGCACTATCCAGCCACATGTTTGCAGTCCATGAAAATGGACCCTAAGTAGGTAAATATACAAACTGGTGGGAACTGGGCGATCTCCAGCTGAAAGAGGACAACAGAACAGTGTGAGATTGGCTCGAGCGGGATTTGAACCTTCAACTTCCCAAAACATTGCACTGGGGCTCCACCAACTGAGATGACCAGACCTATGTATGCAGTCCATGAAAATGGGCCCTAAGTATACAAACTGGCGGGAACTGGGTGATATCAGCTTAGACAGGACAAATAAAAAACAATATGTGATTGGCTGGAGTGGGATTCGAACCTTCAACCTCCCAAAACATTACACTGGGGCTCCACCAACTGAGATGACCAGACCTATGTATGCAGTCCATGAAAATGGGCCCTAAGTATACAAACTGGCGGGAACTGGGTGATATCAGCTTAGACAGGACCAATAAAAAACAATATGTGATTGGCTGGAGTGAGATTCGAATCTTCAACCTCAAGGGGGGGGGGGGGTGGCCTTGTGGTTAGGGTTTGTCTCATAATCAGAGGGTCAAGGGTTCGAATCCAGCCGCTGGTCATATGTTGTGTCCTTGGGCAAGCTACTTCACCCCCGTTTGCCTCTCGGTCCTCAGGAGTATTAATGGGTAACTGGCATTAGCTAGGGAGTAACCACTGATGGACTGGCTTCAGCAACCTTCGGAACACCGAAACAGTGCTCCATCAAATGAACTATCCAGCCCTTTGTTGGTGGTTGCCATTGATCTCCATTAGTAAGACTGGATAGGACACGCGTATACTTGCGCGCAGTGAAGATTCAGAAAACGCGGACCAAACAGCTGGGTAATACAGTGCGGGTTTAACGTTTGCGACCGTGCATGCGTGACGTGCGCGTACTGTATGGTCTGTGTGTGACGAACGTATTTCAAACTTTCAAACCTTCAAACCCTCACCGATGACTACGCGTGCGTGCACAAGATGGAGGGCACTGTGTCCTATCCAGTGTTACTAATTGAGATCAATGTTGGTTGCCCAATTTATCAATGTTTTAGACTGTCCACGAATTACTTAGACTACGGCTTGAAATTACACACAGGTCTATGGAAGTGGCTGCAGCTGCTACCATTGACTGGTGTGTAATTTCTAGCCGTAGCCATGTAATTCAGACACGACTTTAGTTTGTGGGACGCTAGTCAGAAGCCATACATGTAAATTTGCATATGTGCAATGCAGCCTTGGATCAGGCTTAAGTCATGATGCTGGGTAAAATTAGGCCAAGAAAAAAATCCAAACAGCTTTTGGCCCATTTTATTCTAAATGCCGCCATTTCGTAATTTAGAATTTATTTTCAACACCATTTTCACCAAACACCACCACGATCACGTAGTTTAGGAATATCTTAAAACAATTTCAACATGTCTCCCTAATGCAGAAATCTGCATCTGAAAAGGGTTAACATTTTTTTGACCACCCTGTAGATATAGCATTTTTTTTTTACAACAAATCATTGGAAGAAAAAAATCATGTGAATGCTTAATTTATCCAAATGATTCTCACAGACTTAAACACTGCTAAACTCTACAACCTGTCACAGATATCTGTATTGTTCCAAGGACAGTTTCAGAAAAATTGCGAGAGCTTACCTTGGTTACAAAGTAGAAAACAGAGTACATAAAGACATAGAATGCTGATCCTCCGGACACAAGGAATGACCGCCACCACCAGTGATAATCCTGGGGAAAAAAAGACATATTTTTATGAACACGATTTACATTAGACGGATTACTTTGCAATGGTTTTGTTCGATACTGTTCAAACACAACCAAGTTTTTTCATGAGACTATACCTGACCCTTCCCACATTATTTTCATTTTTCTTTCTTAATTTTGTTTACATATCACTGTTTATATTCCGTTACTGTTTATACTTCGTATTTTCTGCAACAAGGTCGTAACTCGATTCTGCAACAAAGTCGTATCTCGCGTGAATACGCTCCGTGCAACATGGTTGTATCTTGCGTATTGCGACGTCCATTGACTTTGTGTGTATATCCGGGTTATTTTAAGCGACATACGACCTTTTGACATTGAAAACTAGCGTTTCACGTACATGACCTCATATGCCATTTTAGGAGATACGACCTTGTTGCACAGACACGACGATTTATAACCTCTGATTTCCAGATTTAAGTGAAGTTGAAAAAGTGCTTCAATTTAAGTTCCAAACCCCGTGCTCTCCAAAAAAGGATTTTTCCCCCTCCCCTTCTGACAAGTTTCAATTTGTATGTCTTTGTTTTAACGAAAAAGTTACTTTATTCCGACTTTGGGAGTCTGCATTCCTCTGAAAAAGGGCTTTCATTTTGCGCACAAATTCAAATGATGTGATGCAATAATTCAATAACTAAACGGCAGTGTTATTTTTTCATTCACTGTCTCATTTAAAGTGAATAACTTTTATAGTGCTAGGAAAATAGCAATTGAAAAAAAAATTAAAAATTTGAGGTGAAACTCCAAAATAGGACAGGGAACGCATCTTTATCCCATAGAGTGAGTACTCGGGCAGTTTCGGGTTCTACAGTAACTAAAGGGTGAACATTGTATTTTTACTATTTGTAACACAGACAAACCTAGTCCTGACGTGCCTATATGCTTTTTTTTTTCCTTGCATATTTTTGGGCCCAAAACCCTGCATCCTACAGTCGCCGTGTTACACAAAACAAGTCATGCTACTGCCTCCCTTGATGTGTCAATGATCATGTTCTATATATCTGCGTTCAAATTTGGGGTCAGACAATTCAGGTGCACGTCAGGCCTAGTTTCTTAACATGTTAATGTTTTGTACATTGGGTACTGTGGTCCAAAGGTCACGATTTCTCATGTGCCATGGAACGTGGGTTCGAATCCCGACGGGGAACATGGCGCTTGTGCTCTTGAGCAAGGCACTTTACCATTATTGCTTCGTCCTTTGGATGGGATGTAAAGTCGTAGGTCCCGCGTGTTGTGTAATGCACGTTAATTAAAGACCCCAGTAACACTTAATAATATTAATAATAAACCATTCTTATAAAACGCCTTTTACACGGGGTCCCAATGCGCTGAACAATTAACAGAGAAAAGACAAACATTATATATTATTTGCAGTGAACAGATGGGTTTTAAGATTAGCTTTGAAAGTGTCCAGGGTTGGGGCATCCTTGATGTGATTGGGTAGTTTGTTCCAGAGGGTGGGGGCTGCAGATGAAAACGCTCGCTGACCGTATGACCTTGTCGACACTTATCTCTAAGGGAAGGGATATGAATCGGCGTTTCTGGCACAGTGGCTGCAATATGCGCCACAGCACCTTGTAAACCCTTAGGAAAATGCTACATAATGGGTCCCATATTTCTCATGAACTTCATTTACCTTTGTTTAAAAATTTACATAATTACCAGCACCTTTCAATATCTAAAAGTGGTAGATACGTGCGCTATATAAGACTCCGGTATTATTATTATTATACCTGGAAGATGGTACCCAGGGCCCCGCCCCCAACTCTCTCAAAAATATAGCCTATTGTTATTATTTACCTCGCCGCATAGCTGAAAGTAGACCATTACGATGGAGATCTGAGCACAGGACACGATGAGAATGATAAACACGACGAACAGGAACCCAAACAGGTAGTAGAACTGGTTCTCCCATATGGCCTGCAAGAAAACAAATACTTTCAAAATCGTAATCCAAGAATTAGATTACTAGATAAAATGATCAATTATCAGTTATTTGGTGACAATATTTTTATAGTTTGAAAAATCGAAAATCTTTCATGAAAACTGAAGGCTACGTACAACCATAGAGCAAGGACCCAAGGAGTTCGTACTCCAAGACTTCAAAAGTAAAATGATGGTCGCCGAGCTCGAAAGCTACAATAGAAAGCACCTGGCGCCAGCTTGCTCAGTTGCTCACTACGCTAATCTCGACACAATAGAGATCCGCGCTCACTAATGCCAGAAAAAGGAGTTTGCATGGCTTCGTAGACAGTACCATGGTAAATACGCATGCGCAGTTGTCATACATCGCTAAAAATGAATGATGTTGAAGTGTTTGTTCGCAGTTGGATGATACTGTATATAAATGTGGTCAACATCACTGGAACAATCATTTCATGAAGAACAAAATGCTCTGTACCTTTAGTGTGAAAACTTGTGAAATTTTCCAAAAAAACACATTTCATCAATGATATATTGCCAATTAAAATGTCTGAAAATACATGAAAACTTATCTGAAAGAAATCCAATTTATCTCCCAATTACAGGGACAGATAACGCTTTTAAGCACCAACAACTGCACATTGCTAACTTGAGTTCATAACTCACATCTAACAACTGCGCAGTTGTAAAAACCTATCTTGTCTTAAAATATATTTTTCAAAAAAGAGCAGCGACGTGACATGACTTATTATGCAGCATATAGGGAGGTTGTTGGTTACCAAGTAAAAAGGCGGCGACGATCATCGTGTTCAAAGGCCGCTGGCATTCACGCTTTGAATGGTCGAGGCTTGCGGTCACAGTGCTGTAGCTATAGACATTCCCGAGGGATTGGTATGTTAATGGTCAAAATGTAAATCGCCCAAGAGTTCTGACTCCTTGGGTCCTTGCTCTATGGTACAACAGCACATGTCAACAAAATCTCAGGCCAAAAACCTCTTAGAAGGAAGTGGGTAAACAGAGAGACGGATATATTTGGTGAACAAAATGTCAAGACAAATGTTGTAAGGGGAGTGAATGATTGATTGTTGAACCTTCCGTCAAATGGAGAGGTGTTTCATAGAAACAACCAGAGGCGTCAAATCAACATTTCAGTTAAAGGGAATATACAACTTTTGATTTTGCTGTAATTTTCAGAAATGGATGGATTTTTTTTTGGGGGGGGGGGAGGGGAGGGGTTAGTATTTTACAGCAAATATTGTTACGCTGACTTGTTTGAAGTTTTGTGTTGATAGATGCTGGAAAAACCAAGAAAAACAATCGAGTTCATGTGGTCTGGTTCCCTGACCCCACTTAAGATGAAACGGAACAATTTATAGACGCCTGGGAATTGTAAGGTAAGGGAACCAGTCTAGCTGGCTTGTACCCATTCATAGGTGTGTAATCACCTATTTTGTAATTTCAAACAAAATGTGGTCTGACTAAATATGGTAAACTGGGGGCAGTACTTCAAAAAAGCCAGTTTTTTTCCAACGCTTGTCGGGCGACCAGCGTTGAAAATTGATACAAAAATACCACTTTTCTTGAAAATGACAGCACACCAGGTGCCATGATTTTACAGAATGCTTTAGACTTACATTCACTAACAGTCCAGTAAGGTATTTCATAATAATTTGATAGTTTTTTTTTTTAAAGTTTGCAGTTTAATGTTGTATATTCCCTTTGATATGCTCTGACTGTCGTCAGCAAAATTACCGTGAGAATGAAGAAGAGTTCAATGAAGACAGCACCAAAGGGGAGGATACCAGCCATCAGAGTGCTGAAAAGAAGAATGGTATTGATTATTGGAATGGTGCATCTTTAATTCGGGTGATTCACAATGCAGTGCGCCACCAAGAGCTTGCCATGGAGAGTTCATTTTTCCCAGTGCATTGTGGGAGATGGTCGACAAATTCGCAGCGCGGACATTTGAAATTGTTCGTTTTTCTGGTCAGTAGTTCTCATAAGCGTACGATTCGAGTATATGTTTGCCCTTTTTTCTTTTCTTTTTTATCAATATGGTGATTTTTGGTAAGGCGGCTTAAAGCTACGCCCCAATCTATAACAAATTAGCCCAAGTTGTCTACTGACACTCATTCAAATGGGCCATGTTTTGTCAACCGTAAACTTGAAAGTTGACTGGCAATGCCAAACTCTTGATGGCGCACTGCATTGTGAATCGCCCGAATTGATTGATTGATTGACTGAATAATTGGAAGAGTAGACCAATCCAAGCCTGCTATCAATTCTATGACGAAGGCCCCCTTCCATGGCGAAAGCATTGTGCTAGCTATTGTTCAGATAATCTGTCACGGGGCAATTGCTTTGTACAATAGCATGCACAGTGGTTTCTCCATTGAAGGGGGCCTTGTGTGTAAAGTGATCACATAACCGGATTAGTCTATACCAATGAGTGATTCGTTGATAATAGAAATGGATTATTTGAATAATTGAGTACTATTTGATTGATTGATTGATTACAAGGAATTATACCAGTAATCAGAGTGCTACAATTATAATAAAATATTATTTTGATAACATATTTTCAATGGACTGATTAAAAGGGATAAAAACTTTAAGCCATAGATAGAGTGAGGTACTGATTATTGAATAATTGATTAATGCACGTCATACCTTAGAAGTGGGTTGAGGTACCACACCTGCTCTGGTACCTGACGCGGGATCTGATTGGTCCTCACAGGATGGGAATACGGCTGTTAACCAATCAGATAAAGCATTTCATTAGAAGCAATACAACAGACAAGATTGGTTCACAAAGAGAATTTAATAATAAAATAAATTGAAAAAAAATCCCAAGATCTTTGAAAAAATCCCAAGGTCTTTGGAAAAATCCCCAAATCCTTGAAAAAATCCCAAGGTCTTTGGAAAAAATCACAAGATCTTCGAAAAAATCCCCAAATCCTCGAAAAAATCCCCAAATCCTCGAAAGAATCCCAAAATCTTCGAAAAAAATCACAAGATCTTTGGAAAAATCCCCAAATCCTCAAAAAAATCCCAAGGTCTTCGGAAAAATCCCCAAATCCTCGAAAAAATCCCAAAATCTTCGAAAAAATCCCAAGATCTTTGAAAAAAATCCCCAAATCCTCAAAAAATCCCAAGGTCTTCGGAGAAATCCCCAAAAAATCCCAAAATCCTCCCAAAAATCCCAAGATCTTCGGAAAAATCACGAGATTTTCGAAAAAAATCACAAGAAAAATTTGTTTAAATTTGCAGAAAAATGCTTTCTGTGTACGCTCACCTGTTTTCTGTAGCCGAAGTAGTGTCCCAGGATGACTAGCGGGACTGAGATCCCGTTCCACATGCACACCAAAGCAATCATGGTGCTGAAGGGCACCGCGCCGGAGGAGTGCTTGCCCCAGATGAAGAAGTTGAGCAGGAAGGTGGCGCCAAACATGATCCCCGGGTACAGCAGCCCGGTCTGGATGATAACGATGATGGAAAAATGATAAAAGCATGTATTAATAATTATTCATAAATACCCAAGACAATTTACGCATTCCTATTGGTCGAGAGCCCGTCACGTGGCCGGTCTTAAACGGTTGATAAAGACATGGCTAGCTGGTCTTAAACACTTTTCCAGTGTCACATGAAATTTGGACTCCCATGAAATCGGTCCGAAATTCACACTACACCAGCCCAGCTGCGTTTTGCGCGACATCGCGCAGTACGCACGACGAGCACGCCAATGTCCTTATAAGGTAACGAGTTGTGGAGGGGCATTCCATATTATAGTCAGAGGGGTGTTTCGTAAAACATGAAGTAAAATTGTTGAACAAAATAGTTGGCAACGTCTAGTTTTTGACTTGTTTTGATTTTTGGACCGAAAAGATTTGGTTTTTGGACTGAAAAGGTATTTATGAATGGGAATAAATATGTGTTCGGTCGGTATTAACCACTCTGTTTAAGACCGATGGGAGTCTGGATGGGTGATAATTGCCCATCCAGACTCACACCGGTCTTAAACAGAGTGTTATAATACCTCCCAAACACACATTTATTCCCTAGCAAATATCCACCAACATTAGTATTAAAGGTATAGTCCATCATTTGTCATTTGTGCATTTTGTTCGTTTAAAGCAACAAATGTTCTCAAAATCTAAAGAAGGGTGCTGAACAACTAACCTGATGAAGTTTCAGCTCAGCTTCAGTTGTATTTTTCAAGAAAAACAACATTCTAGGATCTCGGTTTCAAATCAAAAGTTGCTGAATCAGGTTTTGAATTGGGCCTGAATTCAGCGTCCGAGACACGTTCTTACTGAGCCGAATGCAGCTACATTGTACGCGATGTCGCATGCTGATCCGACAAATTATAGAGGGCCCGCGCGCGTGTGCGCAGTGTCAACACTTGCGCACGCTTCGCCCTATAAAAAAAACGAACTACTAACGGGAATATCTAATGGCGCGTTAAGACGCACCGTTGGAAAGACCTTCTTTCGTTGATTTCTTCAAAATGACAGCAAGCCAGAAAGAATAATTTCACAGGGAGTTTAGTCCCCTTGCTATCTTTCAACAAACAGGGGTGTGAGTGGAGTCAAAAAAAAATAGCCGAAAATAGCTCAACCTGTAAATAACCGAACCTGCGAGCGCGAAGCCCTTACGGCGTGGGGTTCGGGGCCCGCCCAAGGGCCCCGAAAAAAATTTGAAATGTAGATGCTCTGTGGTGCATTTTAAAGCCCCCTGGCATGCCTGGGCCAACTATTGGTCGAAAATGTTTTGCAATTTATGCATGTTTTTAAGTTAACTTTTCCTTCATATTGGCTTGAAACTGCCTAAATGGCCAACTTGTATGAAAACTGGGAAATTCAACCACGTTTTCCATATTTTAACTCCTTACTGCAGATGATTGATACACATCGTCATCGCGTGTCCCGGCTTCTGATCGAGTCGCCTAATTTCTGCCCATTAACCATGTGTTCCATCCAAATCCATTTCCACGGAATTCATAACCTGAGGATCGGTCTTGTCAATGTCCGAATCAAACTCCGAACCTCTTGGGAAAATAACACATTTGTGTTGCACTGACATCTTGCGGAATTAATGTCAAAATACGTTCGAAACATTTGAAACGACACACTAACGTACGTATCAGCATGCAGCGGAATACGCAGCGGGCCGATGCGTGCATGCAATGAAATGCACACATGAACTTTGCCCCGCATGATGCCCTCTACCGGCGCGGCACGGCGACAATTTACTAGTCTTATTTCAAGGCTTTATATTTGCAACAAGACGATGTTTACAGCGAGTTATTGTGGAGATCATCGCGTGTCACTACATGCATAGACACAGGAACGGCCGCAAAGAGTCCCAACGCGCTTCATGCATGTGTGAATATTCATATTTATCTGCAGCCAATCACAGCGCAATGACTGTTGGTTCCCCGGATGCTGTTTACACGTTGTGTGCACACGCGGCTTCGAGCTGAAAAATGCATGCACATGGCAACGTATAGTACACACGTACGTACGTAAATGTACATGTACATGTACAGTACATGTACATTGAATACTCGCTTGCACGCACCCCATCTCAGAGCTACGTGTATGTTGTAGAGAGCGGATCGCGTGCGTTCGGCGGAAAATAAAATAAACGGAAATAAAATCAAAGCTTACGCGCGGGGGAAAAAGCGGGGGGAAATCTGGACCATCGGAAGAAAAAAAGCGGAAAACAAAATGTGGCACGCTGAACAAAAAAGCGGAAATCCGCTAAATAGCGGAGATTTCACACCCCTGAACAAAGTATGTTTTTCAACAATAATTACGTCAGTCACTTTTTTGATGGCTGCAAATGATGGACTGTACATATAGCTTTAAAGGCATATAGTGGTGGGGTGCTGTGGTCCAATGGTTACGGTGTTCGACTCGTGTGTAATGGTACATGGGTTTGAATCCTGACGGGGAACATGGTGCTTGTGCGCTTGGGCAAGGCACTACGATTGCCTCTCTCCACCCAGGTGTAGTAAATGGGTACTTGGTAGGAAGAAATTCCTTCAATGCTTGAGCGCCGTAATGGCAGCCGTGCTAAAGCCAGGGTAATATTGGAGCACCAGGAGCGTCACTGGTAATTATGTCTTTTTTTTATAGACAGGTAAATACAGTTTATCAGAAATACAAGATCCGTTATGTAGCACCTTTATATGGGATTACAAGGTGCTGTGGTGCACATTGCAGCTTCTGCCAGAAACACCAGGACAAACCCCTTCTCTTAGCGATAAGTGTTACTGGGTTCTTTAACGTGCATTGCACAACACACGGGACCTACGACTTTTATGCCCCATCCGAAGGACGAAGCAATAATGGTAAAGTGCCTTGCTCAAAAGCACAAGCACCATGTTCCCTGTCAGGATTTGAACCCACATACCACAGCACACAAGTCGAACACCGTAACCATTGGCCACAGCACCCCACCCCACAGTACTGTGTACTGCTTCCGTACTTCAGATTGACCAATCAGATTGCCAGGAACAAGGAACCATCACAACGAATAACCAATGAAATCACAGGATTATCTACTGAATACTGAATAGGTAAGCTCACCATCAGGGCAGATTGCAACCACTGGGTTCCTTTCATTGTCTTGTACAGACGACCCGAGAAAAACCCTGCAAACACACTGGGAGGAAGAAAAACAACAAACATCTTACAACATTGAAATCTTGAACAATACAATTAATCACTTCGCGCCGGGGTTATTTTTGCCAAAAATTTACATGTTCCAAATTCTTTAAGATGAAGTTGTTGGACGGAATCTTTGATCTTACCCCATAAACACGAAGAGGAAGAGAGTAGCGCTGAGCAGGGCTCCACGGTTGCTAGGCGACAACATTCCAAACATGGCAAAACCTGTCGGGACAACAAATACAGTAAGCTAACCAGTCTAATTCACAAGTGATGGTCAGTGAGATAGGTAACCAGTCTAATTCACAAGTGACAGTCAGTGAGATAGGTAACCAGTCTAATTCACAAGTGACAGTCAGTGAGATAGGTAACCAGTCCAATTCACACGTTACAATCAGCGAGATAGGTAACCAGTCTAATTCACAAGTGACAGTCAGTGAGATAGGTAACCAGTCTAATTCACAAGTGACAGTCAGTGAGATAGGTAACCAGTCTAATTCACAAGTGACAGTAAGTGAGAAAGGTAACCCGTCTAATTCACAAGTGACAGTCAGTGAGATAGGTTACCAGTCTAATTCAAAAGTGACAGTCAGTGAGATAGGTAACCAGTCTAATTCACAAGTGACAATCAGTGAGATAGGTAGCCAGTCTAATTCAAAAGTGACAGTCAGTGAGATCGGTAACCAATCCAATTCACAAGTGACAGTCAGTCAGTGAGATAGGTAACCAGTCTAATTCATAAGTGACAATCAGTGAGATAGGTAACCAGTCTAATTCAAAAGTGACAGTCAGTGAGATCGGTAACCAGTCTAATTCACAAGTGACAGTCAGTCAGTGAGATAGGCAACCAGTCTATAAGGGACAGTCAATAGAATAGGTAACCAGTCTAAGTCACAAGTGACAGACAGTCAGTCAGTGAGATAGGCAACCAGTCTAGGGGAGACAGTCAGTCAATGGAATAGGTAACCAGTCTAAGTCACAAGTGACAGACAGTCAGTCGGTGAGATAGGTAACCAGTCTATAAGAGACAGTCAGTCAATGGAATAATGGAACAAGTGACAGACAGTCAGTCGGTGAGATAGGTAACCAGTCTAGGGGAGACAATCAGTCAATGGAATAGGTAACCAGTCTAAGTCACAAGTGACAGACATTCAGTCGGTGAGATAGGTAACCAGTCTATAAGAGACAGTCAGTCAATGGAATAGGTAACCAGTCTAAGTCACAAGTGACAGACAGTCAGTCGGTGAGATAGGTAACCAGTCTAGGGGAGACAGTCAGTCAATGGAATAGGTAACCAGTCTAAGTCACAAGTGACAGACAGTCAGTCGGTGAGATAGGTAACCAGTCTAGGGGAGACAGTCAGTCAATGGAATAGGTAACCAGTCTAAGTCACAAGTGACAGACAGTCAGTTGGTGAGATAGGTAACCAGTCTAGGGGAGACAGTCAGTCAATGGAATAGGTAACCAGTCTAAGTCACAAGTGACAGACAGTCAGTCGGTGAGATAGGTAACCAGTCTATAAGAGACAGTCAGTCAATGGAATAGGTAACCAGTCTAAGTCACAAGTGACAGACAGTCAGTTGGTGAGATAGGTAACCAGTCTAGGGGAGACAGTCAGTCAATGGAATAGGTAACCAGTCTAAGTCACAAGTGACAGACAGTCAGTCGGTGAGATAGGTAACCAGTCTATAAGAGACAGTCAGTCAATGGAATAGGTAACCAGTCTAAGTCACAAGTGACAGACAGTCAGTCGGTGAGATAGGTAACCAGTCTAGGGGAGACAATCAGTCAATGGAATAGGTAACCAGTCTAAGTCACAAGTGACAGACAGTCAGTCGGTGAGATAGGTAACCAGTCTATAAGAGACAGTCAGTCAATGGAATAGGTAACCAGTCTAAGTCACAAGTGACAGACAGTCAGTCGGTGAGATAGGTAACCAGTCTAGGGGAGACAGTCAGTCAATGGAATAGGTAACCAGTCTAAGTCACAAGTGACAGACAGTCAGTCGGTGAGATAGGTAACCAGTCTAGGGGAGACAGTCAGTCAATGGAATAGGTAACCAGTCTAAGTCACAAGTGACAGACAGTCAGTTGGTGAGATAGGTAACCAGTCTAGGTAAGACAGTCAGTCAATGGAATAGGTAACCAGTCTAAGTCACAAGTGACAGACAGTCAGTCGGTGAGATAGGTAACCAGTCTATAAGAGACAGTCAGTCAATGGAATAGGTAACCAGTCTAAGTCACAAGTGACAGTCAGTCAGTGAGATAGGCAACCAGTCTAGCTCACCAATCCAATAAGCCAGTTTGGTATTTCAACTGCGCATGTGCACAATGATATGGGTCATTCATGCATGGGTCATTCATGCATGGGTCATTCATGCATGGGTCATTCATGCATGGGTCATTCATGCATGGGTCATTCATGCATGGGTCATTCATGCATGGGTCATTCATGCATGGGTCATCCATGCATGGGTCATCCATGCATGGGTCATCCATGCATGGGTCATCCATGCATGGGTCATCCATGCATGGGTCATCCATGCATGGGTCATCCATGCATGGGTCATCCATGCATGGATCATTCATGCAAGGGTCATTCGGGATGATCGAACGTTTGAAGGCGCATGACAGTCCTTCTGGTTTAAAAATCACAAGCATGTGGAAAAAGGCACACGTGGATTTTTCTAGGCATGTGATTTTTTTAGGTGTGTGATTTTCTAGGTTGGTGATTCTGTGGTCCAGGGCGATTCAGGCGTGCAATTATTCACACTTCTCGAGAAGCTTTTAGGCGTGCGATGGTGTGGGGGTGCAATCGCACGCCTCAAATCAGAAGGACTGGCATGAACGTGGGCACACAATGCTTGCGTGTAAATTACCAGCAGAATGGGTGTGCGCGTATCATCACTGACATCACGTCAGCGATGTTATCCCAAATGGCCTCGGGTCATTGAAATACCGAACTGACTTATTCACAAGTTACAATCCAATTCACAAGTGACAGTCATTGAGAAAGTTTATCAGTCTAATTCACATGTGACAGTCAGTCAGTCAAGTAATGCAAACAGAAACATGCTTACTGATGGTGACAACAGCCATGACGAAGATCTGCACCCCGGTTCCAGCCAGAGCAGCCAGCAGCTGCTTAGCCTTGGGAGGTCTGAAGACGTCACCGTGGACCAACTTCCATCCTGTCTCCTCCATTGTGTCCTCCTGTGAAACGGTCGAGGATGCAAAAAAACAACGTTTTAAAGAATACTCTGCATTGACCCTTCAACTCTTGCCGACAATTTGAACAAAACCGTCTCGGCAGTTAAAAATCAAAATTGGGAATTCCACGGAATTAACCTATTGCGGAAGAATCGCGTCAACACAGCTTGTGAAATATTGTCCAAGTACATGATATACAAATGGACACGGAATGCGCAAAAGCTGAGACGAACAAAACTTTAATGTACAAAATGCCATAGGGTCGTCTAAGGGGCGTGGCTAACTCCCAAACTGCGATAGGTAAATTCTTAACCTCAATGCCAAAACTTAAAAAAATCCAAATGCCACATATGAAACATGCATTTCATTTTTGAAATATACCTTATATCTAACAATGTTAAACAGGTCTAACAATGTTCAACAGTATATTAAGTATGCAATAGAATTGTTCTAGAACGATAGAATTGTTCTAGAACATTTTATATCAAAGGTGTTCCTCCAAAGAAGTCCCTGTAATTGATATGGAAGAATCACAAATCTTACCACGTCTTCATCTTTGTTGTAGCGAGCAATGTCCCGTCTGAGAGTTCGGATCATGATCATTGTCAAAATACCTGTCATGAGAAAAGCAGGATTGTTTGAGTTAAATCAAATTTACACAAGTAGATCACTGATTTAAATCACGATTAAAGTCACTTGAAAAAAATATATTAAAAATCATTCAAAAAAAATTCAAAAGTCATGTAAAAGTTAAAAATTCTGCAATTTACGCGATCCCCTGGCATGCTGGCAGTACATGTATTTATACAGTCAGTTAGTAAGCATACTTTTCAGTGTACCTAACCAAAATCAACATTGACCTCATTTGACCCCTAGATGACCTTTGACCTCAAATGTCTCCAGTCATCTTAAGTCCCCCTACCGAAATATTATTGTCACCAAGTTTGGTTCGAAGTCTGACTTTTCATATGACAGCGCTAAACAGTTAACCTAATCAAAATTGGACACACTGACATACAGAAGGAATACACTATCGCAAGATCCCCTTTATTGGGCTTTAAAAGAGAGGGCATAAAAATCACATAATACACTCATTGAAAAGAATTTTTAAGAAACTTTAACCTAATTTTAAAACAGTGAGTTTATCTTGTGGATCATTCCATCCAGTATGTGCTCCTGGCAATCGATATGTTCTGGTTGGCTACACTGTTATCAACTTCCCAATGAGTGTTGTATAAATTGTTATTCATGCATGGATGCAAGGCATGTCACATATTCCTATCCTAAAGGAGGTTTAAAGAAGAAGTCAGGTAGTGTCCAGACAATGCATCATTAATTACAATGAGTGTTGTATAAATTGTTGATTCCTGCATGGATGCAAGGCATATCACATAATATTCCTACAGAGGGTTTAAGGAAGTAGTGTCCAGACAGTCATCATTAATTACAATGTTCAATGTAGTTACATGTACAATCAGCAAGCTTTGTTGCATGAACAGAAATAACATTTAAACAGTTGACAAACTTGTCCTCCATACATAGTGGGTCCTTCACTCATGTTCAGTGTTCCATAATTCCATAAATCCCCTCTATTATAATGAAGCTTGTGAGACGGTTAATTTCTCTCATTTTTAGGAACGGATCAATTTTGTAAAAGTTTTGTGAAGCCGAGTCCAAGTACTTGGACCTCCGAGTACAAGTACGAGTGCTTGGACCTCTGAGTACAAGTACGAGTACTTGGACCTCCGAGTACGAGTACTTGATGGAGTGCCCAAGTGAGAAGAATTAAAGTCTCATGTAATCATTGGAAACTGAAACCACCAATTCAGCAACATGGATGTTTCTGGATTACTTTTGAGCCAGACTTCTTGAAAACCAATTCTGCCACTCTGCAAGTGGGGAGATTTTACTCCATCAAAACTAACTGACTCCATTTTCTCCACGTCCTTATAATCTAGTACTTTGATGATGGAGTACAATATGGAATTGTCGAGTCCGCGCACTTTGCTACTCGAACATGAGTACCGTGAATTCGAGTCTGGATATTTTGACTTTTGAGTGCGAGTGCGAAAATGAGTATTCTAAAAAACAAGCTTGATCGGATCTCGGAAACTGCGGGCCAACGAGTTCATGTTCATGCATGAGTCACGTGATTGTGCCAAGTACTTTCTGGAAGGAGTAGTGCTTTGAGTAAAAAAATCAGGGTTTTGACCCCAGTGACCCCATGATGACCCTTGACCCCAGTTTGGTCATGTGACATGCTGGGGCTGGGCTACAGGTAGTTTTCACAAAGTTTGGTTGAAATTGGTCAAAATATATAGGAGCAATAGACAATGTCAAAGTTTGTTACTTATTATATAACCGACATACAGATCCTTGTCATTTGATTGGTGGAACTCACATCACGTGATATTTGTTATTGCTCCCATTCACGCCGCGGCTCAAAAAGTACTTTCTGCCCATGGGGAATGGGAAATACTATTGAACAGTTAGGATCATGACGCGGTATTTGTATGCAAATGCATGCTGGTGTGCGCGTTCAGCGTTGCGCGTAGCGTGTATTGTTCCAAAGAGCCAGCGCTACAGCGTTGGGTTCAAACATTTTCGTGAAGGGTGGTTTGGAAGAGAGAAATACATTTTCCTCTAGTTTTGTATTGAATAAAAGTTCAAATATATCAAATGACAAGGATCTATATGTCAGTTATATAAAACAAATATTGAGTGGCTTTAAATTGGAAATGGGAGGAATATTATCGCTCGGTAAAATCTGGACTTTTTCAGTTCACTCAGCTTCGCCTCGTGAAATGGAAAAGTCCAGTCATAATATTCCTCCCATTCCACGCTGATCCACTCAACATTTGTATACTAACTAACTAACGGACTAACAGAGAGACTTGATGATTTGTTGAGCTGCTATCCCGCAGCTAAAAAGGGTACAGTAAGTGAGAATTTCTGCTATAGTGACCCTCCTATGGAAACATGCATTGTCAGCCTGGTTATTACTTGGGTCAATATTGGTCAAGACCCCCATTGGTTTGTACCCAGTATGCCAGGAGGTGAGATACAAACATTTTGACCATTGGTGACCTCTTAAATAGTAGGAGGGTTAATTGTTTTGCTACTAATATGCAGAGCCCTGAAAATTGGGACCCAGCTTTTTAATTAACGCACCTGCAAGAAAGAAGACTACCACCAGCGAGTTGATGATGGAGAACCAGTGGATCTGTACATCGGTCATGTTGAGGTAAGTATCCCAACGAGAGGCCCACTTGATGTTGCTCTCGTCCCATCGCACCTCGTAGGAGAACGTGATCTCGGTCTCCTCTGGAAAGGGAAAGCGATTGGAACCGATGACTCCTTCAATTTTACACTCCTGTAACTAACCCTATCCCTCCTCAATCTTTCAAAATCAACCAGGCGGTTTTGGAGGATTTTGGAAGATTGAGGCTGATTTTTTTTAGTGATACCATAAACCAAATTCAGGGGAGTCAGGTTGGCGTAGCGGTACTTTCCTCGCCTTCCACCGCTGTGACCCGGGTTCGAATCCCACCTGGGCCAATATGTGGATTGGGTTTTCAGTCCCTGCCTGATTCCGTGGGTTTTCCTCAGAATACTCTTCTGGGCTTTTCCTCCCACATCTAAAACTGTAATTTCTTCACATCGTCTTCTCTTTACTGGGCCCCATGGGAGATCAGTGGATTCCACTGAATGGGCTACCCAGTTAAAATAAGAAATAAATAAATAATTAACACAGCCAAGTGAACAAACATGGGAACAAAACAACCACTTCGACAAAAAAACAGAGATGAAACTGGCCTTTTGGGAAAATAGTTGAAAAAAAAAGGCCGAACAAAAATCTGTGTCCGAAATCTGGGCCACGCCGCGGTTACACTGCACATGCACATGTACATACACACTTCATGCCCAATTTCCAGAAAATCGCCCAACATGTGTATTTGATTGCAGTCGATCTCCACGTGCAACGGCCTTGCATGAAACTCTCTAGCTCGTGTATGTACGTACACGTATATGTTAAAGCTATAGTCCATCATTTGCAGCCATCCGAAAAGTAACTGGCGTAATTACTGTTGAAAAACAAACTTGGTTGAAAGATAGTAAGGGAACTAAACTCCCTGTGAAATTATTCTTTCTGGGAAGCTGTCATTTTGAAGTAATCAACGAAAGAAGGCATTTCCAAAGGTGATTCTTAAGAAGCACCGTAGGAAAATTTAAATTAGTAGTTGTTTTGTTATTCAGCGCAGCGCGCACAAGTATTGGAACGACGCACACGCGCGCGCGGTTATTATAATTCGTCAGATCAGTGCGCGACGCTGCGTATAGCTGCAATTCAAAACAATTCAAAACATGATTCAGTAACTTTTGATTTGAAATTGAGATCTTAGAATGCTGCTTTTCTCGGAATGTACAGCTGAAGCTTAGCTGAAACTTCATCAGGTTAGTTGCTCAGTATCCTTCATTAGATTTTGAACACTTTTGTTGCTTCAAACGAACAAAATGCACTAATTACAAATGATGGACTATAGCTTTAATGTTTAAACATATTTCCAGGCATAAACTATTCCAATCTGGACCTTATTATGTGCGTCTACCGTACAATCTGTGCACAAACGACTAGCAGAACAGATTAAAATTACGCTCGCAATACAGATGTTGCGGTACCGTTTTCATCAAATTCGTTAACATTTAATTCAAAAAATCAAACTTTGCGTGGCAAAGATTGTTAGCGAAAATCAGAATTTTGGAAATAAATTTGAAAAAGTCGGATTCCAATTAAAATTGGAAAAGTTTCATCTCTGTCACAAGAATTCATTATTTGTACAGGGTGAGTCAAAAAAGAAAAGAAACCCAAATGTCGGGACTACTGTTTTATTGAAGTTCTGCATGTAGTACTTTCAAAATCTAGGATATGAAAGCCCAATTTATCAGCTTTCGTTTAGTACAAAAATCATTCAAATCACTCATGTACTTTTCAAGTTACGGAATTTTAAACACAACTTCTGTTTTAAGGTTCTGTCGACGACAATTCACACACATCCCTGTGTGATTTCTTTTTGTTTTGTTGGAAGAACACTGATCTTTTTTGTGATCCGTGGACAAAGCCTTAAAACGGTGGTTGTGTTTAAAATTCTGTAACTTGAAAAGTACATGAGTGATTTGAATGATTTTTGTACTAAAAGAAAGCTTAAGAATTGGGCTTTCATATCCTACATTTTGAAAATGCTACATGCAAAACTTCCCTAAAACAATGGTCCCAACATTTGGGTTTCGTTTTTTTTTTACTCACCCTGTATACTAGCTCCTCTCACTATTAATACAAGCTCAACCTCAGGAGCAACTATTGACTATTCACCCTCAGACCATGCTATACTTGTGTACTATTTCCCCTCAAACTATGTTATATGTTTAAACTATCACACTTACTGTCTCCAGGGAAGGGCTGCACAGGGATCGACTCGCCTTCTTTCTTCTCCTTAAACACGCAAATGCTTCAGGAGCAACTATTGACTATCCACCCTCAGACCATGCTATACTTGTATACTATTTCCCCTCAAACTATGTTATATGTTTAAACTATTACACTTACTGTCTCCAGGGAAGGGCTGCACAGGGATCGACTCGCCTTCTTTCTTCTCCTTAAACACGCAAATGCTGCTGTCCTTGCCTTCCGTTATCTGACCATACTCGACGCTCCGGACCGCGACGTCGAAGCTGATGACCCTGTAAGCCTCGCTGTGATGGAACAACATAGAACCGCGGCACAAATTTAAAGAGGTTGTGGAATGCTCGAAGACATTTCCGTCATTTTTCGGGTATATGTAGCCTAAGGTGTGATGAAATAAAAACGACTATTGTTTTTGTCATAAAATGAGTACAAAAGGTACTTTTGAGAGCTGTTTTTCAAGTCCTGTCATGCCTGTTTCGACCCGAACGTGCAATTTGTGTAAAAGTCGTCGTTGCGGGCAGCAAACAAAACACAGTAAATCGTGACGTAATAAACAGGACTCCCGATGCAGAGTTGCATACACGAGTCCTGTTTATTACGTCACGATTTACTGTGTTTTGTTTGCTGCCCGCAACGACGACTTTTACACAAATTGCACATTCGGGTCGAAACAGGACCTGAAAAATAGCTCTCAAAAGTAACCTTGGTACTCATTTCATGACAGAAACAACAGCCTTTTTATTTCATCACACCTTAGGCTACATATACCCGAAAAATGACGGAAATGTCTTCGAGCATTCCACAACCTCTTTAAACTATTACAAAGAACCCAACTTGTAGGCCGTTTATTGAAAGGGCCAGAATTTAATGTTTTAGCTTGCTAACTTATATATTGTCCCTAACTCCCTAGGGTGATTTACTAAGAACCTTCCTCGTCCTTGCAAATCCCAACACCATATGGTAAACTGTGCTCATAAACAGTTGGACTCTGTTTATTTGTGGTAGTCAGTTTACTAGTGCAGTACTCATCTAACAGATTCCTACAAACCCTGGTGTTAGAGTTTGGCTGGTTGGGGATCGTTAGGGTTAAAAGATTAGTTTTAAAGGAATTCTTTAACTGGTGACAAGTTTAATTTGTTTTCCCCTGATTTATTTTGAAATGGTACATTTAATGGTATTATTCTCCCCCCCCCCTAATTTTGGGCGTAGCAACAATCTACAAACTTTTGAATGTTTTGCATAAAGCAGTTCTGTCCTGTGTGTAGACTGGTTCCCAATCCCTACATAATCGATTTTGATGAGATGGGGGCAGGAACCAGTCCACCCAACAAGACCATAAATTATTCGAAATTGATTTGAATAAATTATTACATAACTATACATCTGCCAACTTTTTTTTCCAAGTCTCACTCATATTGAATAATTTTTCTATCAATTGCTAGAAAAACAGCAATAAAATCTAATCTATTTTGGGGGTGAAACTTGAATATAGCATGAACAATGCATCCCTAACAGTCAGTAAAACTGAATCAAAAACTAATTTGATGTGATATAGAAATCTTACCCTTGTCCGTTTTCGCCGGCCACGGTGTGGTATTTCATGTTCATGATCAGATGATTGTTGATATACGGCTGCAAAAAATAACGTACAGAAATATAAAGATATATATCGATTTATTGAAAATATTATTTTAAATCATTTAAATATTTCATATTCAGGGAACAAATCAGTGTTTGGCCGGTTTTAAACAATTACTGCCTCAATCCTTCAAAATCCTCCAACAATCACTTTTAATACGTTAACCCTAACCCCCTAGGCCCTTGTTGCTTACAACCATCCTCAATCCTCCAAAATCCTCCAAAATTTTGCAACTCCGCCTAAATTTTTCAAAATTGTCAGACAGTCCTGCCTCAAAATGCATTCATCCTCAATCCTCCAAAATCCTCCTCATCCCAAAACTTTGCACTCGTGTTTAAATGAAGGATAACCAACGCCAAATCCTTCAAAATCATCAGACAGTCCTGCCTCTAAGTGCATTTATCCTCAATCCTCCAAAATCCTCTTGTACTTCAATCACCATTCATCCTCAATCCTCCAAAATCCTCTTGTGCTTCAATCACCATTCATCCTCAATCCTCCAAAATCCTCATGTGCTTCAATCACCATTCATTCTCAATCCTCCAGAATCCTCATTTGATTCAATCACCATTCATCCTCAATCCTCTAGAATCCTCCAAAACCGCCAGGAGGATTTTGGAGGAGTGAGGTGGGTTAGGGTTAATTAAGGCAGTGCCAGAAGCAGTGTGGATGATACCCAGTAAGATCAAGGCATAAATGTGATGCGATCAAGCTAAATGAGTCGTTTATCAGGAACTTTCATTTGAGATTCAGGCCAAAATAGGGCACATCACTTCATCACATCTGCTGGTGTCACAACTTCCATAATTTTTAAACTAAAGATGGTACCAGTGTGCGGTTTTCATAGCATTTATGCTGAGATTGTGCTCTTTTCAAATCTGTAAAAAAAAAAAAATTGACCACGGTCGACAAACGACTCATTTAGCTTGATCGCATCACAAATGTATGCATGGCCGAGTATAGACAACTAAATGTAAGACCTTGACACAATGCATTCTCCCAAATCAGAAATTCAGACGTACATGTTGACCTTCTACAGTAAACTCCGGCTAAGACGGCACTCTCAGGACCAGAGACTTTGTGACGGCTTACGTGAATGTCGGCTTCTCCTGCAAGTCGTCATTTTGCCGACTTACACAAATACACAAATTGAATCACGGAGTGAAAAAAATTGATTGAAAAAATTGATTGAATTGATGGCCTATGCGCATCTGTATCTGGATCATGCAAACAAGATTCATGGCTAAAATTCAAAGGCTTTGATTTACCCTGGTTTATTTCTACATCCATGGTTGATTCCAGCAAATATATCCTCAATCATGTCAATGTTTATCATCATAAACAGGCTGTGGTATTGATCACAGAAAGTCATGCATGTACATGCAGGCCTTGAATTTGGGAATTTTTTAGGGCAAGGCCACTTTGGCCTTGAATGGAGCAAAATTATAGAGGGCACCAAGGCCAGTTGGGAGGGCACCAAGGCCAAACTAATATCTGCAGAAGGGGCACAGAGGCCGGCTAAAAAAAAATGCGAATTTATATCAGCGATCATGTAGTTTATGGCCCCTCTTTAGTTTCGATCAAATTTGAGTCAAAGGTGTTTTTATCATTCAAAAAAGTACTTTTTCAACCTAAAGCAGACTTCTCTCAGCTTATATGGCACCTGTTTTGTAATTTTGAACACTTTTTGGGGATCGAAATTACGTTTTTTGTAAGCGGTTTTATGGTTGGTGACGTGCGATCACCATCTCTATTTTCGTGTTGCGTTTTTTCGTTGTCGTTTTCCCTCCAAATTCCCCTTAAAAATTCGAAACCCTTCCCTCTATCTATAACCTACCTGCATGTTCTTAATGTGGCTTAAAAGTTGATTTTGTTCTCTTGGGGAATCGGGCCCATAATTAATACACGATCGCCATTTACAATGTCCGCTTTTGACAATCGGAATTCGGAACGCCATGTGCACGCGTGTTTTTACTATGCCCCGAGCTCGTTTGCCTCGTACACGAACATCAATGTGTTCTGTATGTACCGCGCATGCAAGCACTGAGAAAAAGAAAGTCTGTTGACTGCACGTAAGATCTGCCGTACTTACTCCTGCTGGTATGTGTGTGTACGATTACAGACATATATTTTTGCGGCGGGGGTGCCGCTACTTCAAGTATCGGCACATACAGGAACTGGAGATTCAGTTGTCGGTGCACATTGTACGTGTGTGTACATCATGTACATGTACAGTGGGGAATCGCCGGCGTTTGGCCGGCCGGCCACGGCCGTACTGCGCGCGTGTGATTGATTCGGCGAGAAAATAAGACAACTGATCGGGCTGGCATGGCATCGAAATACATTGTCAATGTGTGGAAAAACAACTGGAATCAAGGATTGTAGTGGTTTTAATAGGCTGATAGATGTTTTTGCAAAAAGGGCACGACGGCCAAGGTAATTATGGGGCAAGGCAAAACTGGCCGTGAAGACAGGGATTTTTTGTGGGGCACCTCGGCCAGTAAGAAGGCAACGACGGCACTGGCCGTCGTGGCCGTCGTTCAATTCAAGCCCTGTACATGTACGTACATACGAAGGAAGGTACGATATACAGATCGCTTGCATAATGTACGTCCATGTATGTATGTAGTGTACATTGTGCACGTAGGTTCGTGTACAGTCACGGATTAAATGTATGCATGGTACTGGTACAATAAGGGGACCCCCAAAATGAACAGAGCGCATGCGTGCAGTCGAGAGGGGGTACTGGTATCAGAGATGAAACTGGCATGTGGCAAAATCGGAAAAAAGGCCGAACAAAAATACGTGTCCGAAATCTGGGCCGCGCTGCCATTACGCACATATACATGCATGTACAATACACTTCATGCCCAATTTCCGGCCACCAACTCCTGCTTTATTTTTGATTCAAACAAAATTTTACGATGAAAAAAAACGGTCAGTGTTTTCATTGCATAAAATGCCTGAATTACGGTTAGAGTAATGGAGTCATTAATAAAGAAGTTCACTTCTTACTTGAGAAAGTCGAGGGAAAAGTACCACTTGCATTCATACATGGGAAAAAATCAGGCATTACCGTCTTTCTCTTCCAACAAATGCCAGTGAAATGTTTCGCTAATGCTCTCTTCGCTATCCTCGAGATAATCATCATGATTTTTAAAGCATTGCATTTTGTACAACTGAATCTGAAACCTCCGAAAATCGCAAAACATAATGATTTTATCCACAGGATCCTTCACAAGGCTACCCGTCCCGGCCGGCCATGTGCTAGCGGACGGGTACAGTGGTGCGTACGGTACGTACGCACGCTGGTACCATTGCATATTCGCACGCACGTGTGACACAGTGATTTTTCCATGTCGCCTGTCAATGTTTAACCTTTTGTCCAGCCGGAGAAGGCTCCGATCAGTGTTATGCCCTGTGTTTCTACCGTTGAAACTCTCCAATAACGACTGGTGAAAGAGATTAAAACTACGTTCGCGATGATTTTAGCACGCCATTTCCATCGACTTTTCTTCGAAATTATGATTGAAATAAAATGACAGTTTGTGAAAAAATCATCAGAAAATCAAATTTTGTGAGACACACTGTAAAAAAATCGGAAATTTCGTTGGAAAATTCAAAAAGTCGATTTTCCGATTAACCCTTACCCTACTTGACCCTCCAACGCATGCCAATATGTGCCTCAAGAAAATCTCCTATGTTTTTTGCATGGCCCTCCAATATCTGCCATGTCATTTCAAGGGTAACTGGACAGGCACTCCAATACATGCCACAGAGAACAATGAGAGTCCTCTGATAACAAAGTGAGTGCCCCCAGCTGGTCAGTATCAGGCACCCTCCAGGGCCTCCAACTCCTGCCAATTGGAGCCTTCACTGTCAAGATAGTTTATCTGCCAATATACTGCAGCTGGAGGGCATTGGCATAACCAACTGACATGCAGTAAACTACCCTCAGAGAGTAAGGGTTAAAATCGGAAAAGTTTCATCTCTGACTGGTATTGATGTGCTATTGGAAAACCCCTTTTTGATCGCGCACATGTATGCATCAATCACGGGCCGTGCCATAAACAGATGTCAGTTAGCAGTGTGTGGGACTTTTCACTCGACACTTCTTGCAAACCACAGAGCACGATGCCGACTTATACAGAGGAATTTGTGTGGTTTTGAGGAAATGGGACTGAAAGTAACACGCCGATATAGGCGAAATGGCGGCTTACAAAGGCCGGCTTAAAAATGAAAATGTCAATGGAAATGCATTAGAGACAAATCGGGCCTTTTCGTCAGACGGCCGATTTAAGCGATATGACGGTTTATATGATGTCGGTTTAACCGGCGTTTACTGTAGTTGATTTTGGAGGATTGAGGGGGGGGGGGGGGATAGAGAAATATCCTAACTTCCTACACTGATTTTATCACACTGGTATGACTGCATGAAGCCAGTTGACTCCAATGGACACCCCCAAAAAATTAAAACATAAAACAAAAAAGTCTCTTTTTCAGACACAATGCCATAAAAATTCTTGACTTTTTGATGCAGTTGGTTCAAAAGGATTAGAATCGATAAACTATACAGGCAATTCCACGCAAAGCGGACACGCCTGGAATGTGGAACATGTATGAAACCTATTTTCTGAATTTAAAAAGAGCAACACAACAAAAATAGAATAGACATTTAATAGCCACATAGCCAAATATTGATTTTAGAATTTCAAATTATACTACAACTTGAAATTATTACTTCATATGTACTTTGGCCAAAACTGAGCGCAATTATAATGGCCCAGTAGGCCAGCTGTGTGTAACACAAACAGACAAACCAGGTGTTGTCGCCAATCAATAAAATATGCAAATTGTATGCAGTTATGGCAATGGTTTTGTGCATACATGTATCACATGGGCCACGTGGCAATGTGAACTGAATGCACTCCACGTTTCATCGACAGAGAATACATACGTTTCAGAAAGTCGTGCTGAACAAAATGTATTTACAACGATTGAAGTCGACCCAAATTGAATCAGTGGTGTGCATTTGCCGGTAGTACAGGAAGCGGGCACCCTATTGAAGTAAAACAAGGGGACCTGTAGAAGACACCCAACCCCCAAATTCATATCCCGGAAGTTGTCTGGAGGGCTTTATAGCTTTACGGTGTAAACTGCAACTTATGCGGTTGCACCTGTCGTGCGTTTAAATGCACATGAACGTAAACTCTGTTTTGGATTTACAAATGGCATTCAAAACCCTTCTTTTTTGTCGTCTCGGAACTTCTTCAGTAATTTGTGAAGTTGGTTACAGGAAGCTGATTCCATAATCTGGAACCGGTTCCTGACATCAGCGGCTGCGTACTCAGATACCCGGTACCCAGCTCTAAATTGAATTTGGTTTTAGACAGTGAAACTTTAAATACATTGTACATGTTTTCAATTGTACATGTTTTGACTTCCTCCTGTGTTTCAGACTTTACTTTACTGTATTCCATAATGTCAAAGGCACTGTTGCTATGTCAGGTGATTAGGTAAACATTAAAAATTGTATTTCTGCTTTGGACTACCTGACTGACCATATTTTTGCAGCCCAACCCTAAAGTTAAAGCAAAAGGGGGGGAGAGGAACAGAGGGAGTTAGGGTTAAAAGCATATGATACAATTAAAGGGAATGTACATCATTGGCTTTTGCTGTAATTTTCAGAAATAAACTATTTGAGGGTTAGTATAGTAGATCAAATATTGTTACACTGACATGTTTGAAGTTTTGTGTTCGAAAATGCTTGAAAAACCAAGAAAAACAAAATTTTTTGTTAATTTGGAGCAGTAGTTGAAAATTAGGTTTTTCCAACGGTGGTCGGCCGACCACCGTTGGAAATGTATACAAAGATACAATTTTCTTGAAAATGACTCGACACCAGGTGCCATAATTTTACAGGATGCTTTAGACTGTCATTTACCAACATCCTAGTAAGGTATTTCGTTAAAACTTGGTAGTTTTATTTTTCGATGTTTGCAAATGTTGTATATTCCCTTTAACAATGTATTTGGTCAGAGAAGTTCACATATGTAATCAGACCGTCGGGGTGCTAGAATTTACTCAAATTATCTTATTTATACAGCTCTTGAACAAGTGTTCTTTCAAAAAGCCCTGTTCCATTGCTATAGTGTATGTTACAGATTAAAAAGTGTACAATTCTAAATTACATTAGTCAGTGACAGAGGACGGTGAGCAAAAATGGAACAAACTAAAAAAAATGGAAATCGGAAGCCTTTGAATAAACAGCTGGCGTGGTAATAAATTAGCCAGCTAGACAACAGCTGTGGGTGATGTACACGTGTTAACGGTGTAGCAGGTACACATTGCAGCTGCTTCACTACAAAACGACTGATGGAATTTTGTGCTGGTCCCAGAGTGCAAGCCTAGAGACGTTGTTGCACCTGTCGCGCTGATTGGTTTACAGACTGACTATCACTTGTGAGCCGGGCAGTGCTATTGCATAGGATTACCCCATAATGCAAACAAATGGGCTAAATCTGGCCCATAGTGTAGACCAGATGCATGAAAAAAATTCCAGTGAGTAGCCATTCTGAATCGACTGAATAGAATTTTGTTTGCCCTGGAACAAGTTTTACTGGGCTTGCCTTGGTTGTTTAGACAACGAGCTAGCTAGACCACAGCTGTGGCAATGTGCACTGTATGCACTGGCCTAAGTTTGTCGTGCCATTTATCACCTAATGCTCTGATACGTGAACATATTTGAGGTTAGACTTACCGTTTTGTCCACCACATAGCCCAGTTTGTAGCCGTGGGCATACTGAGCGGGCTCTTCTTCAGTCTTGGGCCTGACTTCGGTCGCAGCGGGCAAATTGTCTGCAAGTCTGGCAAAGAAATTGGCGTTTATTGCACCAACTATTATCAAACCACAATTAGGTACACAAATGTATTTACCTTTCAAGTTGGATGCTATATCAACTTAAGGGGGAAAGTTGAAGGGGTGGGGATGGGGAAAGGGTGAAGGGTGGGGGTAGGGAAAGGGTGGGGTGGGAGATGGGTGGGGGTGGGGAAGGGGTGGGGGTGGGGGAAAGGTAAAGGGGTGGCGGAAGGGATGGCGGAAAGGATGGCGGAAAGGGAAGTGGTGGCGGAAAGGGAAGGGGTGGCGGAAAGGGAAGGGGAAGGGGTGGGGGAAGGGGGAGTGGGAAAGGGGAGGTTTTATCAAGCTGCTGAGAATAGAAACTTGCTTACCAAAAGAACCATGTGCTAAGCATAGACAGGACACCAGCCAAAATTTCATACGATATGTATTACCTGTGATTGGTTCCCAGCTCTTTCATGCTCAACACAAATATGTGCTGGCATGCAGGTTTTCATTGGTGATCAGCTGGCCCCCTTGACTCAAAAAGTGTTAACTTTGGTGGAAACTGAACTAGGAACTAGGCAAGAAGACTTGTGATCAATGACCTCTTTACTAACTGGACTGGCTGGCAATATCGACACACTGATGCAGCCATCCGCCATCTTGAGTCACCCATGATGTAAGTGTGCTATGTTGTTTTACAGGTACATGCAGTTGGCATTGACTTCTTCAGAGTTAGATGGACGAAAATAAGAATTGTATTCTCTGACAAACTAAACCATCTTATTCCTGCGACTGGCCAACATGCAAAGAATAATTGATTATCAGGGGAACTTTTTTTTAAAAAGTGAAACAAACATAATATTAACTGCAGAACGATATGCATCTACATCCCGTAATGATGCTTGGTTGATCCAAGATGGCGGAGCAGTTGCTTCAAGGTAGCATTGGCCAATAGAGATCAGGGCTTCTGATCACGCTGTACTTACAAGTGAACGCTGTAGTCTTCTCTGATGCGATCGGATACAATCTTAGCTTGGTCTTTTGTATACTTGACGTTGCACATTACATGGCATGGTTTGCTTTGCTTCATCGGTACCTGGGTAGAAAAATGAAAAGGATTGTAGTCATTGATCGCAGATTTCCAATCAAGTCAATCATAAGTCAATTCACAAGTTGGATCACAACAGAGGGATGAACAATGACAAAGGAATGCTGTTTTCACAAGTTCATTTCAGTAGACTGAGAATTGACTGCTAAATACAACAGAATGCAGCTGTGGTAAAACGTTGTTGCATTCTATTGCAAGTAGCAGTCAACTCCAGTGCCATATGTTGTTGCATCTTGTTGCATTTAGCAGGGTAACTGCTCATGGCGCCAAGGCTGGAGTGTACTGTGTTTGCTGCACAATGCAACAGAATCTACTGAGCATTACATTTCGTTGCATTTTGCATGGTAACGGCTCATAGTGCCAAGGCTAGTGTGTACTGGGTTGGCTGCACAATGCAACAGAATCTACTGAGCATTACATTTTGTTGCATTTTGCATGGTAACTGCTCATAGTGCCAAGGCTGGTGTATACTGGGTTCAATGCACAATGCAACAGAATCCGCTGTTGCATTTTGTTGCATTTAGCATGGTTCTCATTTCAGCTGTGTTGCATTTTGTTGCATTTATCATGGTACCTGATGAAAACCCTACTGGGATAGTAATCTTTGTCATCCGAAAACTTCTATACCGTGTTTCCATCTTAATTTCACAAAGGGTGAACATCTTTCGATGCAACGCCAAACTGTAGATCTTTCAAAGGAACAGTTGTTACGGAGGACAACAATTTGGTGTCTGGCAGAAATAAAACAACTCACCTTATACAATGTGTTGACAATACGGTCGCCACGCAAAACCTCGCCGAGATTTTCCGATTTGAACAGTATCTTGTCCAATGGCGGAGGACAGATCCCTATCGAGTAGTACTCGTACGGAAGTTGTGTCTTCGTGGATGTTAATTTCACTCCCTATAAAAAAATAAGTTAAAAAAAATTCCTTAAAATTTAAACCTTGTTTTGTAGGATTTTGTTGAATTCAGGAGTTGCAAAGCTCAGCTACTATAAATTTAGATGGGGATTGATTTTCAAATACTTTCAAGTGTAAAGAATGTTGCATTATTCTTCTGCAAAGTTTTGAATCTTGTACAAATGTCCCGAGTATTTGGGTTCATTTATGCGACACTTTAAGTACATTTTTGTGTTTGAAAGGATAGGCCTAACCGGTGTAATTCATTTGGCTCAGATAAATCAATTGAAGATATCCAAAGCTGGTCCAGGGCTAGGATCAAGTTTTTCAACTCGATGTACTCGTGAAGAAACGACTCACGAGTATTCTAGTGCTTGTGAGTTCTTAATCAAATTCCCACAGAAGGAGAAAATGACATTTTACAAAAGTTTATTAGTATGATTATTATTTATTCAGATGAAATCAACAACAACATACATTACACATAACAGTAGAAAGATTAAACTAGAAATGTGTTTGTGGACAAACACAAGCTGTTTCGGATATTTGAAATACTCTGTGCACGTGATGAACAATCAGTGACGTCACTATAAATGTCATCTACATGTATAACAGCACATTATACTATGTACATGTCAAGTCACAACCAAATCGAACATGTTAGCTCTGTAGATATAGACCTATAAAAGAATAAAATGCCCCTTTAAGGGACTTCACATGACATTTGATGATGATGTCCATGGTGACCTCTTCATTGAAGCCGTAAAAACTAACAACTTCAAATGTCCCGCGCTGCGAATTTGTCGACCATCTCCCACAATGTATTGGGAAAAAATAACTCTCTGCGGCCAACTCTTAGTGGCGCACTGCATTGCGAATCGCCCGAATTGCAGAGGCTGTTTCCATTGGGGTCCCATATTTCTTCTGAAGTAAAACAATGTTAAATATCTTAGCTGGCATTTTTTTTGGTATGTTTTAAAGGTAGAGTCCATCATTTGCAGCCATCCGAAAAGTAACTGGCGTAATTATTGTTGAAAAACTAACTTGGTTGAAAGATAGTAAGGAGACTAAACTCCCTGTGAAATTATTCTTTCTGGGAAGCTGTCATTTTGAAGTAATCAACGAAAGAAGGCATTTCCAACGGTGATTCTTAAGAAGCACCGTAGGAAAATTTAAATTAGTAGTTCGTTTTGTTATTCAGCGAAGCGCGCACAAGTATTCGAACGACGCACACGCGCGTGCGGTTGTTATAATTCGTCGAATCAGTGCGTGACGTCGCGTATAGTTGCAATTCAAAACAATTCAAAACATGATTCAGCAACTTTTGATTTGAAATTGAGATCTTAGAATGCTGTTTTTCTCGGAATGTACAGCTGAAGCTTAGCTGAAACTTCATCAGGTTAGTTGCTCAGTATCCTTCATTAGATTTTGAACTCTTTTGTTGCTTCAAACGAACAAAATGCACAAATTACAAATGATGGACTCTACCTTTAACTGGCACTTTTGGCTATGACTAAGGGCTATGGCTAAACACTTTTTTCCAACTATGCACATCTATGATAAGAATCCGTAGCCACTAACCTTGATTTCGACTTCCTGTCCGTCCGCGAACTCCACAGGGGCAACGCCGGGTACATAGAACGCATGGCTGAGCCTGAGACAGACCGTGGCCATGCATAGTAATAAACACGCTGATACACGAGCCATCTGTTGATTGGAAAGTGAGAACAGTTTGTGGAGCATTGCACACACTTCATAATGTTTGATCAGTCGCAGACAGTCAAAAAGTTCTTCCACTTTCTCTGCCATTCACATGTACAAACTAGTAGTTAAAGAGGTTGTGGAATGTTGAAAGTCGTTTGTTTTTTATATTTTTTTTATTGTAGAGTAGACCCATATATATCATAACGACAAAGTCCCATTCTTTTGTAATTTGCGTTTATATGTTTATAAAACTGAATTTCATCGAGTAATTTGTTGGTCAGCGAGCGCATAATTGAAATCAACAGTCGTCGGGTTCTTCGTACATGTAAAATCAGAAAAATCGTGATGTAATAAACAGGACTCGTTTATACTACGCTGCATAGGGAGTCCTGTTTATTACGTCACGATTTACTATGTTTTGGTTGCTGCCACCAACGACGACTTTTACACAAACTGCACGTTCGGGTTGAAACAGGACCTGAAAAACAGCTCTCAAAAGTACCTTTTGTATTCATTTCATGACAGAAACAATAGTCGTTTTTATTTCATCACACCTTAGGCTACATATACCCGAAAAATGACGGAAATGACTTCGAGCATTCCACAACCTCTTTAAAAAATACCAGTCACATCATATTCGTGTAAACACTAGTAAAGTTCTAGTCCGAAAATTCGGGACTCTCAACACTGTGTATGAGAGTCCCAAAACTTAAGGTATTGAAAACATGCAACACAAGAAAATAGACTGGCACATGAAACAACCAGTGCAACAACCCTTTAGCATTGTATCAGTCAACTGTGTCAAAAGAAACATCGGGTACCAGTCTCCATTTCTACACAATACTCCATAGTCTACCACCACACAACTGGATGGTCAATCTTTTCAAAGAGTTGGACCGTGCCGTAGTTGGACATGCACCACTACCAGTCTAGTCTTAGGCTTCACATTGAAATCACTTGGCTTCACTCTCAGGAGCAACAATTTGAAGAAAAAGTCTCCTTTAAAAATTAAATTGAGACTTCAAGTATGGCTGGTGGAATACTGAGGACCTTGTCTCTGCCTCACAAAATTTTTTGGAGAATTCTGTCTACTACAGGGTGAGTACAGTTGGCCTGCATTACTTTTGCATGTTTTTTCGTACTCAAGTCCCAGTCTGGACAAATTCCATCAACAGACAAAAGAGGTAACTGGTAGACACAACTGGCGTATCAATCACCACCAGTCAAAGCATGGCTATATCCAGATAGGGCTCTGGAGTGCTCTGAAATGTGCAAAACTAAATCAGGCCCACTTTACTCACAGTTTAGCCATCAAATTTCTCCAAGTATTCCACTGGGGCAAAGAAAATGTCCTCAGTATTTCACCAACCAAGTTTGCAGACTCAATTCAATTTTTGAAGGAGACTTTTCTTCAATATTTCGCACATGAGAGGGAAGTCAAGTGATTTCAAAATGGGGCTAAAGACTAGACTGGTACATGTCCAACCATGGTCCAACTATCTGAAAAGACTGACCTCTTCATTCAGTGTCAATAGTCTGGTGGCTTGACTATGGAGAAATGTGTAGTAAATTGAGACTAGTTCCCGCTTCATGCCACATGTTTCTTAAATTCTGTTGACATGGTTGATTGATGCAGTACTGAAGCTGTGTTGGACTGGTTGTTTTAGGTGCCAGTCTATTTTCTTATTTAGCATGTTTTCAATACCTTAAGTTTTGGGACTCTCATACACAGTATTGAGAGTCCCAAATTTTCGGACTAGGCTATATCAAACTGAGAAAGGAAATCTGAACTGTTCAAAACAGTCACTTGATTGGTTCTGACTGCTGAGATGCCGTAGCTGAATTAGCCAGCCAGAGAGGGCGGGTTTAGCTAGAGGGTGAGGTACCTGTTTGACATTTCACTTTTTAAAAATTATCCAGAAAATGAAATGCAAAACCTTAACAGTATGATTTTGGGACTGCTAGTGCTACTTTGTCTTTAGCATATTCACACTAGCGAAGGTTTGCCTCATGTTTGCTATTGAAGAGCAGGCATGTGTGTACAAAGAACAAAAGCCCTAAGACAAGAAAGGGAAATTTCACTTCTCACTCAAATCGTAAGTTAATCTTCAGTCTTCAAGTCGCGCTTAATCAATGACTGTTTCATGTAGTCATATGTGCCCTGCGCCGTCTGACAGATGGGCTTTTGGCGCGGGGCACATATCAGTACACAAAACAGTCGTTGATTAAACTCGACTTGTTTTTCTTCAATAGTGACGTCACACACGCGCTCGATGATCGATCAGTCATGTCAGTGAAATGGACTGCACAACTCGGCAGACACATTTAATTGTGAGCGGTAAGTTCAGAATGTTTTGCTCTTTTTTCAAATTTACCGGTTGTTTGAAACAATTTAAGGGGTCTTATGGAACGTCATGAAAGTGTGGATCTATCCAGGGTTACTGTCTTTCTCATTTGTATTCTCCTTACCAGTGTTTTTGGGGGCCTTTTGTCCTCGCAAGGGTATACACAAAATGCATACCGTGTGTACATGTCACCAAAGTATGCCAAATTGTTCGAGCATTAGTACGGATCGGAGGGTACCGTAGTTCAACGCTCCACTCAGTAGAGCTAGGTCTTTTTGTAACTTAGACAAGTGTAAGGTTTGTATTTTTGTAACAACCTTACAGTTCGGGGAAAAATTTCCGTACTGGATCACCACATTTTTCAATTAATTTTTAAGCGCCAAAAGTTGCATCCTTTGTGGTTATTCCCTCCACTTTCCCTCCTCTACTCTCACCCTCTCCTTTCCTTTAATCAGTCACTTCTGTATCTGTATGCTACTGCACAATCGCCTATGGTGGGGCTATCACGTGCAGGTAACGCTGTCATGGTGCTGGTTGATGACTAAATTTTGAAGTGCGCATGGGTGGAAAGTTGGCCGATATTTATCTTGTCTAGTTGGGTTTTGAAGGCGTTCAGTGTGGGTTGGTTTTTAGTAGCGTCAGGTAGGAGGTTCCATTCGGGGACTGTCCATGGGTATAACGAGTGGAGATAGTTGTTTTTGTTTGACTGGATGCGTTGAAGATTTAAAGTGCTATTGGTTTGTCTGGTAGTACGTTTGGTGGTTGGCTGGTCACTGGGTAGATGAATTTGCAGGTGGGAGATATTACTTGGAATTATACCGTGAATTTCTTTGTAGATGGTGCATAGTCGGGCTAACAAATTGATAGGCGCTTCATCAAGATTCGAACCTCGGACTCTTGCTTGAAACACGAGACTTTTAACCGCTAGGCCGCGCACGAAATATTTGATAGGCGCATTAATCAAACAAGGTTTGTTATCTTTCATTTTCAAAATAACCCTCAAATTTGGTAGACAATACAATAGCGCCCCCTAACGTTCCAAATTGTTTCACTTTCAACGTGAAAGTCGTTATGCGGCGTTGGCCGATCCGAAGTCCGAAGAGGTCACGCCTATTTTCTGCACGAAGAATATTTCAAAGAATATAGACAATTCAATTGGAAATTACAACACATACATACAGTAGATCTTAAGCTTTACATCCAGAAATCTAGAGGCGAAAAAAATGATGACATTTACTGCAAAGCAAACTTTTTACAGAGATGAACTCCTCTTACCGTAGATTCTGTGGAAAATGCAGATTTTCGTTGCTCGACAGTTGTCTGGTTCCTAAGGCTCGATTCTTACGAATGCGTTCAGATACACAGTGATGTACAATTTATAATTCCCAGGTGGCTGGTACCAGACTACTCTAAAATGGCCAACGTGGAGAGCTGCGTGACGTCATACAACTGAATCAGAATGTTTTTTTATTCTTAAAATAAAAATTTACAGCAGAATTCAGAATTTGGGGCGTTTAAAGATCAAATAGTATTTTAAAAACAAAACAAACGGCATAGGACACAGCCTTTAGGCTAGTTTATTATAATTTCGTAATTTCAATAATAGCTGGTTTCCGCCTTTGTAATCAATACAAATGCGTAGAAAGAGTCCGTATGGATACCAGTGTTCCCATTCACCGGTCTTTTCCACGCTGCGTTTCCAGCGATACGGACAACTCCCAAAGCCGCTAGCTCACCGCTGTTCAAATTTCTGTAATTTGTCAGGATTTGATTAAGTCGGCTAGCACTTGAAACCATGGTACGGGGGTTTAAGTTCACGTTTGTCTTAAATTTTGAACAATTTGGCTCCGTTTACGTGTAAAAAAATTCATTTTAATTTCCGTTTCCGCATCAGACGGAGTGCAAAATTGTGACACGTGTGTATCACATGAGGGCGCACTTCAAAAGTCTTTATAAAAATGATTGCAATTTGCAGCTTTGCTTGTTGAACATGCCTCATTTTTGAAATATTAAAAGCAACTAACTTTATAACTAAGTGATCAGGCGTATTGCTTTATTTTGGTGTTGGCAATAAAGATGATAGGGAAAACATGTTGCAACCTGACGCCTCTTCTGTGATTGTGTACAGAGTCTGTGGAAAGTTAATTTCAAGAAAAGTATTTCCTAAGTATTGGAAATATTTCTCAGTCCCAGATTCATTTTTGCTATGCATTAATGAATGACCTAATTATTGAGATGATATTATTGAGGTATTGGGAAGAAATTGACGAAAAAAATGAATAGGGCCTGCAATAAATTTACCTGGTTCAAACAAACTCAAAGTCACAGATACAATGAAAACAATCAGCCTTAGCTGTCGCCATAATCCATCTGATCAGTTTTGTTTCAAAAACTAGTTTTGGATTCCTTCTTTTTTTTGTCTTGGTCAAATAGAAACGATTGTAGCAAAGTGTCCAGCTCAAGAACACAAAAGATAGACATTGTGATTTCCTACACTTCTGAGCAATGATAACCTATGCTTTGATATGAATTTCTTGACAGTCGCACTTCAAGGAACCAGGGAAAGGGGGACCAGCCGAGGAGTCCACCGCCCATCGCATCCGTATCACGCTGACGAGCCGAAATGTCAAGAACCTGGAAAAGGGTGTGTGACCATCTTCATGTACTGCTGTTATTAATTACTTTCTCAAAAATGTCTCAAATTTACTGAAATGGCCTACTGATGTGACTGCATTGTTTGAAAGGCAGTCATGTCAGTACGCGATTTCAATATATCCGATGGAACTGAGGTCAGAGTGTTTTTTAGTCTAGGGGCTAGACGAAGTTATGGTTCGATACGCAATAACCCGCCGCAGCGATAATCCGCCGCTGTTAGAGGGCGCTATCACGACCAACCAATATCACCCCATAGACATATAAAAAACCTAGAAACAACATTTGCTATTGCGCCTGAGCAAAATGTTGCGCGTATTACGCGAACGCCCTTCATGGGCGTGACGCGTCGCGCAGGGGGGCAATCTCACTGCGCGCGTTATTTGGAATCTTTTGGTCCCATACGCATGCGGGAAAACAAAAACTAAGTGCAGGCATGCAACTTTTCCTCGGATCAGCCGATTTCCTCTTTTTTACTTCCCATGTGTGCCATTGAAAATAGAAAAACACTGTACAAAGTCTGGGAGAAATTTGAATTTCCTCTTTTTTTGTGTTTTCCCAGTTGCATGCCTGTAAGTGGTGCACAAGGGCATCGGCGCTGGCCTGAACATACGTGGAATACGTATGAAGTATGCGCGTAAATCGAAGCCACATGACATTCGCGCATCGCGCCAGGCCGCGTGACGCAGCCCGTTTTGCTCAAAGAATATACAACGTAAAATGAAGCTAATGTCGTGTCTAGGTTTTATTATATGTCCATGTAGGCAAGATTACCATATGCGAAGTTCACTAATTTTCCTCTGTATTGACTAACAAGCCCCCAGATAGCAATTTCATGTCATCAAAGTCAATTTGAGCAGTGAGAAAATACAAGCATTTTCTTAGAAAACACTTAGAATTTTTCAGTCCAATCTCATAGGGTTTGTACACAGGGTGTTGAGTGAACTTCGTATATGGAAATCTTTCCTCTATGTATCACCCATGAACCCTCGGAACAACATCTAGGCCAACTCTTAAAATTTCCCCCTGAAAAATGGGGGGAACTAGTGCGCATGTGTGACTTCTGCAGGCAATTGCTGTTACATACTACACACAACAAAAGAGCTGACCAGTGAAGTTGCACAAACGTCTTGCTGCGTCTCTCACATAACTGGAAGAAATTTGAGAGTTTGCTTCGGAACTTCTATGAATTTTTTTGAATTGTGCGCTGCATATATAAGGCCAAACAGGTGCGCACGCATTACACAACCAGTACGAATTGGCCTAGACGTTGTTCTGACGGGTTTGAGGGTGATATTGGTTGGTCGTGATAGGGCCGTCTCGCGCCGACGGTTTTCGCTGCAGCGGGTTATCGCGTATCAAATCATTAACAACGTCTAGCCCCTAGACCAAGTGTTTTTTAGCGTGTGTTCTTTGCCAGACTGGGACCGTGAGTGCATAAAAACGTGCAAAATTACTACTGACGTTTTTTTACTCACCATTCGGCTAATTAATGCCCACACAACACATGCCATCAAAATGATAAAGTTGCAAGCATGTCATCTGCAAAATTTGAGACCTTAAATCCAATTTTAAGGCAAGGTTTTGGCAGTTCAAAAACCACCCACGTTATTCTCCATGCTCTAAAAATATGTGTGTGATTCCCAATGTATTCTGGGTAGGTGTAGGAAGAGCCTCGCAGCTTACTTGTTTTTTAATCAATGGCCAAATGAACATAGCGCCCTCTGCTAAAAAATGAAACATTTTGCATTCATTCAGATCAACAAGAGGGCGCTGTTTTATCTACACGATGAAAATGTTATAGCTGAGGAGTCTTTTTGCACAATGCATTGCAGTACACATCAACGTGATGTCTCACATATGGATTTCGATAACTCTCTGCAAAATTAGAATTAAAAGCTGAATTTTTGGTGATGCAATGCTCACAACAGCAACTTTGCAGGGCAGAAGTTTCGGGGATTATTGAAGAAACCGTAGTGAGTAAGAAGCTTGCAAATTTGATTCACACTGGTTTTATTATGCAGCACAAAGTTTTGCACGATATGGATACCTTAAGTTTTGGGACTCTCATACACAGTTTTGAGAGTCCCAAATTTTCGGACTAGTTCTTTGCCAGTGCTTTTCTTCAAAATGGTACAATGGATATACATGAACATGAAACTTTCACCAAATATGTCCAAAATACCAGCCTATAACATATTTCATTTGCACTTGTTTTGATAATTGCTACATAGTTTTAATATTTTCTTTAATTTAAGGCTGACTCACCCTGTATACATGCTTGTAAATCCATTCTTTAGTGTGCGCTGATCTGAAGCGCGGGGCACAGGACAAGAACCTGGAAGTCAAGGGGCCGGTGCGCATGCCCACCAAGACGCTACGCATCACTACCCGCAAGACGCCCTGCGGTGAAGGGTCCAAGACGTGGGACCGATACCAGATGCGCATCCACAAGCGACTGATCGATCTCCAGAGCCCCTCTGAGATTGTCAAACAGATCGTATCCTTTTCAAATTTTGGATTATATAGGGTTAAAAAAAAAATGAGTTGGTAACAGACATCCAACCCTATATCTCTTGGCATTTTCAGACCCTCACTGTTTCCATGCCACCCTGCTATGCCCAGTGCAGTTGGCAGAGAATTATCAGACCTTTCAAAACATTTTAAATTTGCCTGACTAAAAAGGTTTTGAAACGTGAAATAGTGCTGGAACTTTGAAACTTTTCGAAAGGTTTCGGAAGGTGAAGCAACTCTGTGGGCAAATTCAGTAAGTTGCCTTTCAATACCTTTCGAAAGGAATTGAAAGGTGTGGTAGTGCAGTAACAATAAATTCTGGAGGATTTTAAAAGGTCCTGCATTTTTTGTCCTCCAATTTGCCAGAACCCAGATTTTGAGGTGTTTTGAATGGTCAAACCACAGGAGAGTTAAAAGCAAGTTTGAGGTTTTTGAAGGATTGCGGCAATGGTCACCCCTCCACTGAATAAATTCAATCAAAAAATGGATGATTTTGGAGTCCGATTGGGGCAGTATCCAAGTTTTACATGGAAGCAGTTGAAGGATTTTGAAGGGTTTAAAATATACCCAGAAAAAAAGGGTCGGGGTAAGGGCCAAGTTACCTCCATTAAATCTGGGGGGGAAAATCCAGCTTCTGTTTGATAGAATCAGGACTAATAAATGCCTTCACTGTGTGAAGGGTTTGACATTGAAATGTTTGGAGTCAAAAGAGGTGTCATTGGATTACTACAGTGTTAGATTTTGGCAGATTCAGGCAGATTCTTGACTACAGTGTTAGATTTTGGCAGATTCAGGCAGGTTCTTTGCGAAAATGCTCAGGATGCCAGTGTCTTGTTTGTCAAAACTTTTGTGCGAGCGAAAGTTCCATCCCTTTTCGATTGCACGAAAAATTGCACAGAATGCTGATTTGGTTACCACGTCCCCCATAGCCTTGTGTGCATTTATCTGCCGCGGTTATCTCGGAAAAAAAAATCGTCGAATCTTGCTGTACATCAGACTATGTTGGAATACTGAACTGGCTGATTAAGACTACTTTTTTTTTGCTTGTTCAAAGTCAAAACCCTTTCTTTGGTTCAAAACAATCTGGGAAGAGCCTGAACACTCCTACTTGAAAAGAAAAATTCAATGCAATAAACACCATTCAGATTACATGTATTTGTAATGACCATTTTGCGACGGATTACTTCAGTGGGTCTGAAGAAAGTGTGCTTACTCGTTAAGCAGTGTAAACGCAAATTTTGGAAAGTCTAATGGTGAAAGACCAGGATGGTTAAAGCTATAGTCCATCATTTGCAGCCCTCCAAAAAGTAACTGGCGTAATTATTGTTGAAAAACAAATTTGGTTGAAAGATAGTAAGGGGACTAAACTCCCTGTGAAATTATTCTTTCTGGGAAGCTGTCATCTTGAAGTAATCAACGAAAGAAGGCCTTTCCAACGGTGCGTCTTAAGACGCACCGTAGGAAAATTTAAATTAGTAGTTCGTTTTGTTATTGGGGGAAGCGCGTGCAAGCATTGGCACGACGCACACGCGCGCGCGGTTACTATAATTCGTTGGATCAGTGCGCGACGTCGCGTATAGCTGCAATTCAAAACAATTCAAAACATGATTCAGTAACTTTTGATCTAAAATTGAGATCCTAGAATGCTGTTTTTCTCGGAATATACACCTGTAGCTTGGCTGAAACTTCATCAGGTTAGTTGTTCAGTATCCTTCATTAGATTTTGAACACTTTTGTTGTTTCAAACGAACAAAATGCACAAATTACAAATGATGGACTAGATCTTTAAACAGTGTACTGACTTGAACCGTTTCCTTAACCAGTAACCTTTCAGACATCCATCAGCATTGAACCAGGTGTGGAGGTGGAAGTGACCATTGCCGATGCGTAAAGGATGCGCGAACTCGGCCCCGACCCGCACCCGGAATGGATCGGAGGTGACCCCCACATCTCAGGCAATATCACTTGGTCATTTTGTCCATGAAGGTGGCATGAGATTTCATTCCATACAAAAAAAATATTAATTTCCAATAAAGTCACAGTAAGATGTGAACTTGAAAAGGATGAATTTTGTTCACTTGTTTATTTGTTTACAAAAATGGTTGTGTTTGTTTTGATTCAGGATACTGTATATCGTCGTGTCAGTGTAACAAGGTCGTAACTTAGATTTCTGTCATCTTGAATAATTCCAATTTTAAACTTTTGTGGCACCATGAAAATTTTTAATTTGATATGAATATAATATATTCTGCATTATTCACATCAATGAAAACTTTACATGGTGCCACAAAAGTTTAATATTGGAATTATTCGAGATGAGATAAATCCGAGTAACGACCTTGTTCCACTGACGCGACAATATGTTCTATGAAGCATATACCTGGCATTTAATACGCTGGCATGCAGCCTCTTGACAAAAATCATTGCCACTTTTTTCTGCCTGTCGAGTAAAAATGAAGAAACAATGTACGTCTTGTAAAATCTTGTATTTACACAATAAAATGTTTTTATTTGTAAGTAAAAGAAGCTCAGGTTTTGCACGTACTCTCATCAGAAGTTCACATTTTTGAGAAGTGCGCTGCTCTTAAATTCACATCTCTGGTCAGGCAGGGCTGAATTTCGTGGTTTATTTTAAAAAGCAGGCCAATTGTTTTTTTTAAAAAGGAGGGCGGCAATTGGACTGTTTCCAAGTCACTGTGAGTTTTTCATCATGTCACTTTCTTCAACCGCTTCAATGAGCGTGTAGATCGTGTTGACTCCGCCAAAGTTCTTAGTGTCGCTCGCGCTCTGCAATTTCCGGTCTTCCGTCTGTTGGACTTGTCTCCCGTGGTTTTGAGGCTGCTCGCCGCCCATCTGTAATTGGACCACGTGAACCTCGCGGCCGGCCAGGTCGTCCGTTTCGTGGTCTTCGCCGTCGTTTTGGTGCACTTCGATGACGTGTACATTCTGCGGACTTGAAGATGCGTAATGCGTGTGGTCACTTTGGGCGAGTTGGTCTGTACCAGCGTTCTGCACATCAGCACTCCCTTCATTATCTGTGTACATCAGAGAAAAAGTGAAATTATTACATTCTTGTTTAAAATGTTTAAATTTAAAAACATCTTGTTGATCAAACATATTTACTAGTGCGAGATTAGAACCGGTGAACTCTTGAACAGCATACCGGTGTTTTACCAACCAAACATTCCAACCTCAAGTTGGTCGAACAAGCCTTATGTGTTTTACTTGCCAATTCAAAAAGTCATAAGATGGAATTTGCGTCGGGGTGATGTAAATTAAATATGAAGTTTTGCCCTTCACCGACGTATTTTTATAAACACTGTATACTCGGTGTTGTCCCGAGTCACTGTGAGAAAAAAATTGCCAAAAGTATTAATTTTACAACAAACCGGACATATTTTTAAATATCACTGGCAGAAAGAGACAGTAGATTTCTGTCAGAAACAACGCAAAATTTTGAACACGCACCTAGTCTCTGACTTAGTCGCTTTCGTCTGTTGGAGTCTTTCCGTCTGTTGGCAAACCAGTTGTACACCTTGGATGATGTCACCCATTTGCTGTCCGGTATTGCTTCCCCTGTTTTACGAGAAAAAAAATATAACAAGTGTTACTGATAAACAACATCAAAATATGTGTTGGCATTGTTGACTGCTAACTATTCTCCCCACTATACTTGCAATTATTTGCAACTTCTAACTACCTATATAACTATCCTGCAGCCGATTTCACGAAACCTTACGCAATGGCACAACTCTGCCTGTGACAAAATTCATTGCGTAAGTTGCACAACATTTCACTTATGACACATTTCAGGAAAGTCGGATAGTGCGTAAATGCGCGACTTGCGCAATAAATTATGGCGTAACTTGCGCAATCGTTTTAGGTGGCGTAAGTTGTGGCATAGCGACTGAAAATGACATATTTACCAGCAAATCGCTGACAAGCCCGTTATTGCACAACTTATTAAGGTTGATACAAGACATACACAACTTTATGTTTGAAGTAAACAAATTTCTATTTTACTTGTAGCATAATTTTTAGTGTTGCCGAACGATGGCCGAAGAAAGTCGGACAAAATAATTTTCAAAATGGCGGGCTGAGGTGGTCCAACGACTATTTCGCGAACGAACAAATTCACACACAAACAGCCATCGTAAATGTTGTTTTTATCCTCGTCCAAGATGTTTCAATTGTTTAAAACGTTGCGCAGCTACGCCAAGTTTCGTGAAATGGAAGTTTATTGCGCAGCTGCGCAACAAATTTGTTGCGTAAGTCTTACGCAAGGCGCAAGCTGCGCACTTTTTCGTGAAATTGGCTACAGGTGATTAATTTTAATCCCAGATATTTAACGGGGTGATCCCTGCACGTCGTATTTCTTTCAAGTCACCTGATTGCTGAGATTCGCTGTTGCAAGCCTCCATGATCTTCTCGCGCTCAAAGTCGTTGGGATACGGATTCTTGCTGTAGTAGCTCTCCATGATACGGATGTGCGCATCCTTCCACGTGAAACGCTCCCTGCGTTTGAACGTCGGCAAGAAGTTGTCATTGTTGGGACTGGTGAAGGACTGGGACATGTCTATGGATGCTGCGGAATGTGTCCCATTCTCCAAGTGTTCAATATCGGGTTGACCACCTAACAATGCCAAAAAAAGGAAGATTTACTGGGTTTTTTAAAGTTTTTTTTAAAAATAACTACCAAAAAGAAGAAAAAAAAGAAGCCCAGTTAAGCTGGTCCCAGGGTGCACAAAATTCTATTCCATTGATTTGGGGTGACTGGTCTACACAGTGGCCTGGATTGAGCACATTCATTGGCATTATGGGGTAATCCTATATGATAGCACTGCCCGGCTTGCCAGAGACAGTGTGTCAGTCAGTCCGGTATAAAGGGGACACTAGGTTGGCAGTCTGGGACCAGCAAAAGGCTGTTTAAATTGATTTGCAAATGTAATGAACTCTATTCACACTCAGCTGAACCTCTTAACAAAAATGTTACCGTTTGTCCAATTGTACTCGGCAGAGCGCCTGTCCCATTCACTATATGCACATAATTGAAACAACTGAGAATAGCTCTATTCCCCCTGGAAAGGAAGCCAGTCCATCACTGGTTACTCCCAAGCTAGTGCTGGTACCCATTTATACCCCTGCATTGAGAGGGGCAAGTTGGGGTAAGGTGGCTTGCCCAAGGACACCACATATGGCCAGCAGCTAGATTCGAACCCCTTATCCTCAGATCACATAACTGAAACAACTGAGAATACTCTATTCTCTGGGAAGGAAGCCAGTCCATCACTTGTTACTCCCTAACTAATGCTAGTACCAATTTATACTCCTGCATTGAGAGGGGCAAGTTGGGGTAAGGTGGCTTGCCCAAGGACACCACATATGGCCAGCAGCTAGATTCGAACCCCTGATCCTCAGATCACATTATTGAAACAACTGAGAATACTCTATTCTCTGGAAAGGAAGCCAGTCCATCACTTGTTACTCCCTAACTAATGCTAGTAGTACCAATTTATACTCCTGCATTGAGAGGGGCAAGTTGGGGTAAGGTGGCTTGCCCAAGGACACCACATATGGCCAGCAGCTGGATTCGAACCCCTGATCCTCCGATCGTGTGTCAAAACCCTAACTACTACTAGGCCTTACTGCCCTAGATTAGACTTGCCTAAGTCCTCCATCTCCCGCTTTTTGCTGAGATACCATCGATACAGCAGCTCCTGGGTGGAGTGCTTCATCATGAAGCCGTGGATGAGGAACGACGAGATGTAACTCTGGCTGATGCCCGTCGCCATGGAGATTTGGTTCTGCGACAGCCTCCACTTGTTCAGGAAAGCGCGGATTTCTGATTTGACGGCCATTGGCCCCCGGCTGATAAAACAGGAAAAACAAAGAAAGCTGACGAGAAACATATTTCCCTCTAAAAAGCTGAATTTCAAATACACATGACATACCTGTACTTTGTTTATGGTTTATCTCAAGATTTTTCATTAGGATTTCTTATTTTGACAGCCATCGTGGCCATAGGCCCCTGGCTTAAAATAAAACTGGAAAAATAAAGTAAAAAGCTGACAAGATGAAGTCCCCCACCCCCTCTGCCAACCCTAACCCCTCCCTCCCAAAAAAGATAAATGAATACACGTAAATGAATTATTGAATCATGAGCATAGTAGCAAAAACTATGTCTATATTATTTACCAATTAAAAATGCTCCACCAACACCTCTAAGCATTGGATGACTTAAGAGAGAAAAAACACAAATCCTGATTTTGGGCGTGATCCCTGGTTACATTGCATACAAACAGGTATCACTAATATGGCTTTTGACTAGCCCCCTTGAACAAAGACATTGCCAAATATGGGGAACCACCAACATACAGAGCTGGGTAGCTCAGTTGGTAGAGCACCGGACCAGCAATCAGGAACTTGCAGGTTCAAACCCCGCTCCAGACAATTTCTCTGTTAAAACTCTACTAAAATTATTCACCGAAACAAAATGTCCACTTCTTCATCCGACACATTCTGGAAGTTCTCCACCCCGCACATGACCTCTTGCGACATCCCTTGAAGGATCCCGGCCCCGCCTTGCGTTCCATTCACCCCACCCTCGTGTCCCAGTGTGCCCTGCGTCCCTCCACCATCTCTGCCCTGGGTCCCCCCAGTTCCTCTCTGCATTCCCATATTTGCCGGGGAAGCGGTCGGCACGATCTGCACAGACGGTCTTGCGCTCGCAGCGTAGTTGCACCCCACCCCCGTGGCCGCGCCCGTCAGGGGAAGACTCGATGCCTGTAGCTCGGCATCCATCTTTGTCATCGAGTCCAGCGCATGGATGATGTCTTGTTTCGTCAAGCCCGTTCGAAGGAGGCGGTGAAGTAGGGAGATTTGCTCAATGGTGTACCTGGGTTCAGTCGACATGTTTTTCACTGGTGTGGACATCATCTGCAGTGAGGAATTATCAAATTGAAAAGAAATTTCTTCTTTTATGTTTTTTATTATTTTTTTAGAAAATTTTGTTATTCTCCTAATTGTACTATTCCTGAATACTCCTTGTGAAAGTCTTACAATGTGGGCTATTGCCCTTGAATTTGCCGATGGATTTTCTTTCTTTGAACACTTTCCAATGAGATTTATTCAGGGGTGTGAAATCTCAGCTTTAAAGCTAATTTCAGCTTTTTTTGTTTTGGATTCCAGCTTTTTTCACTCGATCACTTGTGTACAAAGTATAGGAGATTTCCAAAGTTTGATCAGCTTTTTTTACCTCTTTTCAGCTGTTTTCAGCTGTTTTCAGCTATTGTTATCAGTGGTCACTCACACCCCTGTTATTTCATGGAGCAAGGAATGGTTAATATTACTGAGAAGTGAATACAAAAAAAATGAAAGTTTAATTTGAGAGGTTGGTGAAGTGGAATCATTTGTTGGCCCCATTTAATGATTTATGACCTTTTATTTATTATTCTGTTTTAGACTTTGCAATGGGAGGAATTAAATTAATGTCACAAGTTTGGGAAAATCCTTCATTGGTTGGAAGTGTAACTTGTATCGTATGGAAACATTTCCAGGACAAATACTTTTACATACCAAGAAGTATTATGGCAGCATTTAATCACTTTTATTTTATTATCCCTCAATAATCTGTTAATTAATTAAAGTATAAAATAAAGTTCTAGCTGCTTTACCTTTGTCACTACTCAGAGTATAAAGTAAAGTATTTGTACACAAAATGTCAATAACTATGAAGTATGAGTATGAATCCTTAAGTTGTATTTTGGGGGACAATTTGTTTAATTAAATAATACTAGCCACGTAAAATTGCCATGAAATTGAGACCAACTGATAATGATATTGTTCGTTTTGAATTTGATGTTGGAATTGCTTTTGTTGAAATTGTCTTTACTTTCATCAGTTTCATGACTTTCAAAGTTTCTAGCTTCTTTTCTTGCTTTGGTAATGGGTAAAGTCACTGTAAAAGCGTAGACGAGATGTACATAACTAGTTTATATTTGTGAGCAAGAATTTCCCGCGCGCGCGCCAGGCACTAGTTAATCCCATTGCATGCAAGGCCATTGCCCCTGCTCACCACTGGTTTATCTACATCGATCGCAATAAACTAGCACTGGGCTGTTTTACCACAACTGTTCTGCTGCAAATTTCCCACAAGAACACATAAAATATGAGCCCAAAACATCATTCTCCACAATACTAATACCTTATACTGGACATCGTGATCATTACTTACCTCGAAAATGATTTTTAACGAGAAAAACTGCAGGCTTTGTGGTAGTTATTTGTCGTTAAGATCCACTGAAACCGTGACCGATTATGTTAATTTCTCCACACCCAGTTCGCAAAACGTGGTCCGTCGTTAAATCCGATTATTAATGAGGTCGTGTCTTGTACCCAGACTGCGAATATTAATTAAAGCATGTCCGTTTTCTCTTAGCTAGGCACTGACTTTACTCGTTAAACGTTAATGAAAGAGGTCCCTTTAAAATTAATGGAATCATCCGCGATGCAAAACTAAATGTATTATTGGTACATGTAACATTTCTTCGAATTACTGAGAGAATTACAGATTAAATTAGAAAATAATTAGAATAGCATTTCCATAATTTGATTTGGAAAAAAGGTTGTTTCTTTAAAATTACTCAAGTGCATTTATGACAAATAAGGGGCGTTTCAAAATGGTAGGTTCTAAAAACATGGCGGATAGTTCTACTTGCGTGTGGCCGCGCTGGAAAAAGCACACGTAAATGACATGGATAGACCGCGATCAGGCAGTTCTCAAAGCAGGTATATTTGTCATTCTCCGTAAAATGACAAAACCCTTTTGTGTTACTTTCTGCAGTCCCTGGAATTGTGTGGAATTGTTGTTTTGACGTGTTTGTTGTGCGTCGTTTGTTTGCGTTCGTTTCGCCATAATATGAAAATGAGGTGGAGCCTGGAGGGGGGGGGGGGGGGGGGGGGGGGGGCCGGGGGGGGGGGCTAAAAATGAAAAAGGTGGGGGGGGGGGCTTGTCTTGACCTAGCCTGACTGCGTCTGGCCGTACAGTACTATCGCAAGCGTGTAGTACGGCCAGACGCCCAATGCTTCCACAGAGACTGAATTTTTTTGGCCGCTGATGTAGCGATTTTGCTACAGATTTCGATCGAGATTATCTTTTCATCCAGGACAAAAATTTCCAAAGTTAAGGTTCTTAGTCGTAGAGCAACTCGTACCTTTTCGAAAAAACATCCTTTGGTTTCAATATTTTCATCCATCTGGCCAATAGACGACTTTCAGTCATCATCTTCCACAAATATCGTCCCGAAAATGCTCCCCATGCGATTTCAAAATAGCGGCTGCGCCGTAATGTATGCATTATGCGAGCGCGCTTGGGCAAGATAATGAATATGCATTATTTAGTTCATGACCTCGTGTTTGTATGGCCAGCCGCGCCGAGTGTCCGACAAACGTCATAAACTATGATGCATATTCATTATCTTGCCCAAGCGTGCTCGCATAATGCATGCATTACAGCGCGGCCGCCATTTTGAAATCGCATGGGGGAGCATTTTCGGGACGATATTTGTGGAAGATGATGACTGAAAGTCGTCTTTTGGCCAGATGGCTGAAAATATTGACACCAAAGAACGTTTTTTCGAAAAGGTATGAGTTGCTCTAACACAAAAAAACTTAACTTTGGAAATTGTTGTCCTGGATGAAAAGATAATCTCGATCGAAATCTGTAGCAAAATCGCTACATCAGCGGCCAAAAAAATTCAGTCTCTGTGGAAGCATTGGGCGTCTGGCCGTACTACAGAGCGTGCGATAGTACTGTACGGCCAGACGCAGTCGGGCTAGTCTTGACCGATAGATCTGATGTGCAGAACAATGTTTTTTGGTTCCAGCATCGCATGGCATACATGGCATTGGCATAGATTGGCACGGCCCGGTAACTTGTAGGGCTAAGGGAAGGAGGGAGACACTGCTTAGCAGGGGGGGGGGGGGGGGGGGGGCTCATTTTCTTGTAGTAGCCTAGTAACTAGCATGACTAGTATGGAATAATAATCCTCTTGCACAGCAAGGTCTATGACATGCGAGCAGATCCGGCGATTAATTATGCAAAACAATTCAAGACTGCGTAGTCCAGGTAATTTCATTCACATTTTATGGGGCTATATACAAAAGCATGGCATCCAACTTGGCCAATACACAGCTTAACCCACATTTCTGATTGAAATGACATCATAGTTTCTAAAGACCACGTTGGCTGGCGCGTGGGGTCGCATAAATTTACATCATGCTATAATATATCAGATGTTTGTACCATGACCATGTTTGTACTGACACTGATGGGGTACTTAAAATGTGTTTTTAACAATAACAAAAAATTATTTTACTTTTTACACAATTTTTTTTAAGGGAAGTGTGAGTGGGGAGGGGGAGGGGAAACAATGGTTTGGCAAATAGGCCACAAGCATGCAGGGACTTGTAAACTCTCCTTCCCCCCTTCTCCCCCCCCCCCCCTTCCCCCCTCCCCCTCCCCCTCCCCCCTCCCCCCCCCCCCCCCCCCCCCCGAACCCCTCTACATCACCAACCATACATGTACATAGAAATGCAATTTGTCTGATCTGTCATAATGTCCAATGTCCATCGTTTAGTGCAAGCAGCAATGATGACACTTTTGACAGCAGCATAGGATCCACACCAAGTTCACCATCCAAGACACGACAAAGAACGACGTCAACGGGCAGCATGCCAGTAAACGTCCTGAAAACCACCCAGAATAGGACGATCTACACAGCGGGCCGGCCACCATGGTATGACTCACACGGAGAACTCAAAGAAGCCTTTGTGATCGGTATGTAGTTTTGCTTTTAAGCTCAGATCTATACAGTGTACTTCAGTTCGATTAACCATACCCTAATCCTGCCTCACGCAACAGCGCAACAGGTGTACATGTATGCTTGGCCATACCAATTCATGAACTGTTACATAGTAAAACCGTATATCAAATTGGGATATATCTGTTTCCCTTCGCATTGGCTCTCGGTGACCTCACTTTTTTTCATTGGCTGTCAGAGTCTTTACTTTGTTTTCATTGGCTGTCAGAGTCTTTACTTTGTTTTCATTGGCTGTTGGAGTCCTCACTTTGTTTTCATTGGCTGTCAGAGTCGAACAGTCCGTTGTTTTTATTAGCTGTCATAGTCCTCACTTTGTTTTATTTGGCTGTCAGAGTCCTCACTTTGTTTTCAGTGGCTTAGTGGCTGTCACAGTCTTGACTTTGTTTCCGTTGGCTGTCAGAGTCCTCACTTTGTTTTCATTGGCTGTCGGAGTCCTAACATTGTTTTCATTTGCTGTCAGAGTAAGAGAGTCCTTTGTTTTTATTGGCTGTCAAAGTCCTCACTTTGTTTTATTTGGCTTAGTGGCTGTCAGAGTCTTGACTTTGTTTCTGTTGGCTGTCAGAGTCCTCACTTTGTTTTCGTTTGCTGTCAGAGTACGAGAGTTCTTTGTTTTGATTGGCTGTCAGAATCCTCACTTTGTTGTCATTGGCTGTCAGAGACCTCACTTTGTTTTCATTGGCTGTCAAAGTCCTCGCTTTGTTTTCATTGGCTGTCGGTGTCCTAACTTTGTTTTAATTGTCCGTCAGAGTCCTCATTTTGTTTTTTTTTCCTTCACAGTACTCACTTTGTTTTCATTTGCTGTCAGAGTAAGAGAGTCCTTTGTTTTGATTGGCTGTCAGAATCCTAACTTTGTTTTCATTGTCCGTCAGAGTCCTCACTTTGTTTTCATTGTCCTTCCGAGTACTCACTTTGTTTTCATTTGCTGTCAGAGTAAGAGAGTCCTTTGTTTTGATTGGCTGTCAGAGTCCTCACTTTGTTGTCAATGGCTGTCAGAGACCTCACTGTGTTTTCATTGGCTCTCAGAGTCCCCACTTTGTTTTCTTTGCAGGATTGTGTGGTGGCAGTGCGTCTGGCAAGACCACAGTAGCTAACAGAATCATCGAGGCCTTAGATGTTGTCATTGGCTGTCAGAGACCTCACTTTGTTTTCATTGGCACTCAGAGTCCTCACTTTGTTTTCTTTGCAGGATTGTGTGGTGGCAGTGCGTCTGGCAAGACCACAGTAGCTAACAGAATCATCGAGGCCTTAGATGTTCCATGGGTTAGCTTACTGTCGTTGGACTCGTTCTATAAGGTAATCAGGTGAACAATGAGCCCTCTCTGCCTTTCAATCAAACAGTGCACATTGACCAATTAGACCACAATTTTTACGATCAGGTGACCACAGTAGCTTGGGCAAACTCCGTCACAAGCGCTGTGAGAGATTCACACAAACCAAAGGTGGGCAGGGTTTGTTGCCAAATAAAACAATCCATTCGCAACAATCCACCATCCTCCCTTCCCTCCCCACTCCTTCTTACTCCCCAATTCCCCAAGCCAACTCTCTTGTTGATTATCCCTAATTTCTAATACCCAAACGTTGACCATACATACCCAAGGGTCAACAAAAGGAGTGTTAGGGTCAACAAAAGCAGAAACGAAAAAAATGTTATCTTGTGCTAAATTATTGAGTGTTAAATTAATATTTTCTGATTCCTCTAAGATCCTCCAAACCCTTCCAAAACATTTCCAAGCATCTTTAACCCTAACTGCCCTGAATCCTTCAAAATCCTCTTTGCCAAAGTGGAGGAATTTGGAGGATTGAGGTTACTTGGCAAAAGTGTGTTACTGATTTCGTAGGATGCACTTTGTCAAGGTCTTGGGCCGGATCTTGTGTTGTTTTTGCTCAGTCATGCATAAATATAGGCCTGGATTAAGCTTGAAATCCTCTGTACTGCTCTAGGATGTCACTGGCCGAGCCTCAACATATTGACAGTCACTGCCGCAGGATTTTGCAGGATTCAGGCAGTAATCACCCCTCCACGGACCATATTCAAGAAATAATGGAGGAATCTGCAGGATTGAGGCTATGTGTTATTTTTCCAAGAGGCCAATTGGAGGATTTTGCAGGATTGAGGCTACATCCTAGCAAAAAGGCCTAGGGAGTTGGGGTTAAGACCTAAGGTCATCAGTGACTCAAGTATATGTCATCTGGGACTAAATGTTTGGTTCCTAAATAAAAGAGGCTCAAAAATATCTGGTGCCAATTGATGGTTTCCTGAATCATTCCAAATCCTCCAAATTCTTTTGGATGATTTTGAAAGATGTAGGTGGGTTGGGGTTAACAAAACCAGGCTCAAAAATATCATCAATGCTAAATGTTTGATTCCTAAATCCTTCAGAACCCTCCATAATCTTTCAAATCATTTTGAAAGAAATGGAAGGGCCAGGGTCAACAAAATCAGGCTCGTAAAATATCATCCGGTGCTAATTGATTGATTTTGTGTGACAGGTGCTGAATGAAGAGCAACACAAAAAGGCTGAGGAAAACGAGTACAACTTTGATCACCCAGATGCCTTTGACTACGGCCTGCTCATACAAACACTCAAGAATTTGAAGGAAGGCAAATGTGTTGAGGTAAACGAAGTAAATCTAAGGATGTGACGTTGACACGTTTAAACGAAAAGAATCTGATATTTACACATTTTCCAAAATGTTTAAACAAAACCTGGATTATAAAAAAGGGACCTGTCTTGGCATAATCTGCCTTTTGAGTTAAACATACATAGCACAAATAATTCATAATGTTTTCAAACCTACAGTAAACTCCGGCTAAGTTGGCACTCTCCGGACCCGAGAATTTGTGACGACTTACGCGAATGCCGACATCTGCTGTAAGTCGTCATTTTGCCGACTTACATGAATGGGCTTTTGCACACATTACTCATTGCCCTAATTGGCTTCGATTTACCCTGGTTTATCTCCTTAATGCTTGAGTTGAATCCAGCAAATTAATACAAAATAGATATACATATACGTGAACAGTAACGAATTAAATGCGTGCGTGGTCCGGTATACCACGCACGCATTGACTGCAACATTTTTGGTCGTTTCCTTGATTTGTTTTTTTTTTTTGGATGAATGGAACCCTAGGGAGAGAGAGGAGAGAGTGATTCCCTGTTTCCAGGGGACGTATTAAGCCGTGAACCATAAACCCTAAATTGCTACTCGCGAGTACCTGCATCTACTCGTGCAAGGACGAGTACTCGAGTAGATGAAAAACCACGAGCAGAACAATGTGTAGCATAAACTTCTCTCGAGTATCGAGTAATCGAGTTACTCGCCCAGCATAATGACAGGACTTCAAGTGAACAGCTGAATCGACTGAATAGACATTTGTTTACTCTTTGACCAGCTTTATAATAATATAGTTTTAGTTCAACATGGTGGCCTTTTCAGTTGTTTAAACTGCTATTGTTAAGGGCCCTAATTACATTAAAATAAGTTATTGAATGAAACCAATAAAAAAACATTAAACAAAACCAAAAACAACCCAATTTCTTAACGAAGGGATGAATATTAAGAACACGTCCAACAAAAAATTATAAAATAAGATAAGATAAAATAAACAAGCAAGATACAAAAACAACCGAGAACTATGCCATAGCATAAATAGAGATATAGCCATCACGATCAGGTATGAGTGGAAAATTTTAAAAACAGGACAGAGGATGATTTTTAAATGAATGAATAGGAAATGAACCAGTTAAAGACAATAATCAAACAAACTAAACTAAAATGACATTAAAGGAGAAGTAATTGAAAATCATGCATAAAAATGTGTGGTTATTGTGCTTGCCTTGTCTCCTTTTTGTACTTTCAGGTTCCCATTTACGACTTTAACACTCATGCTAGGAGGAAAGAACAGGTACATTTGTATATCTTTATAAATTTGAAAGACGCCAATTTATGTATTTCCGCCACCATTAGTCCTTGTTTACATCCCATACAATTTTGTTTCATATTGTGGTCTTAGTTTTTCATTCCATTGTTACTTATGATTTTCTACTTTGAACCAGTTCGCGCCGGAGGCCGTGTATACACGCAAAAGTTTTGCGGTATTTGGAACGGATGACAGATAAACACGCAGGGAGCGAGGCCGGATATATCTGTCAGCGACCCGCTCGCAGCGAGCGAGGCCGGAAATATGAGTGTGCTGCCCGAGGGTGATGGCTTCAATGCACCTGGCTTGAGGTCGAGTGAAAATAAATCTCGAGCCTCGTTCCGTTCTTGTCAAAATAATGCCGGCCTGAACTGGTAAAGCTTGCTTGTCAAGTTTTAGCGTGTTATCCTGGACTTTTTTCTTCTTCTTTTTTACAGAAAACCATCTATGGAGCCAATGTGATCATATTTGAGGGCATTTTGTCATTTGCAAAGAAAGAACTGGTTGACGTAAGTATCAATTTTGGTCTAAAAGGTAGTATGGGCTCCGTGCGCCAACGAAAGAGAGCGCCCTTTTACCTAGCAACGACGTCCCATGGGTGGGACATTTAGCTGGTTGACGCGCACCGTTCCTTGTGTGTGACACACGTACACCAGGGGATTTGTACTATGTACAGGCAGTGGTACATGGTACGGACGCGCATCGCGGCAAAATTGCAGTCAGGCAAGATGGCGTCGGTCGGTCACCCCCAACTGTACTTTCTTTGCCGGTGAGGGGGTACTTGTGAACGGAGCAGATAGAACATTTGTGAGGTGTTCTGGCAAAATGAGACAGAACTGGGCAGAGGTCGAAATGAGGGTTTGCGGGTATTAGGAAGGAGAATCAAATTCTCCTTACAATACTGTTTGTTGCACTTCAATGGGACATTCAATGGACAAATTACAGCTCATCGACATGTCAAAAAAGTCAAATACTGAGAAAAAGGCCTTTAAACTTTGGAGTTTAGTATTCATGCCAATTTTTTTTCCTTAAATACACTTTCATTCCACGATTTTTTTTTTACAATTGCTTTAAAATATGTGTAGTAGACATATCAAAGAGTACAAATATCAATAAATCTGAAATAAAAAAAATCACCCCCATTCGTTCTTTTCTCCATTTTTCCCCACTACAGCCTGTGCCCAATTTCTTCTCAAAATTTTATGAAATAGACTGAGTTGGGGGCTAGAAAGTTTTCAGATATCGTTCCCCAGACCTGTTCAATGAGTTGGGTCATTTGGTGCAAGAAAAAATAAGAAAAGCAATGTTTGTTTTAACTCGTCAATCAAAAGTGCAGCTCGCTGGCTATGTCTTTCATAAAACGCATTGGAACCAACCAATCTACCCCGGCAAGCTTGGTGGTCGAGTGGTAAGACATCTGCACTCGTAAGTAAGAGGTCGAGGGTTCGTGTCCCACTGGAGTAAGCTTGTGAATTCTCTTTTCTCGCAAGCCCCAGGGAAACACTTAGTATGCAGTGTTTATGGAATTACATTTGTGAAGGGCAAATAACAAAATAAATTTACCTCTCCTGATGCAAAATTCTATACAGAAAATGAACCCTGACCTTCCCTACTCCATCAAAATCCCCCCCCCCCCCCCCATTTGGTTTTTTTTTGGTAGGCAAGCCATGTGTACCAAGTCCATCAAAATCCACCTATAGCAGTGGTGGATTTGTGGTGGATTTTGGCGGATTTGGTCCTGAAGCATTAGGCAAAATAAAAAACAAAACATGTTTAGCGTCCTGCCTCTTTGACAAAAAGGAAGGAGGAGGCCCTTTTTTTTTTTTTCTTTTCAAAATGGCCGCCCGACACATTTTTCAAGACAACGCGGCCAGGCTATTTTTCAAGATGGTTACCAGCTTTTTTCAAAATGGCCGCCAGTTGGACTCAGGAAATGACATATTGGCTTCTTATATCACTGTAGACGTGCGCAGAACAACTGCACGCGGATGTACTATAAATTTTCAAGCGACTGTAAAAATGGTAATACGTTTACACGTACGCTGGTTTCCGTGTTCTTGTCTTTCAACACTTTTCTATTTGCTAGTCCTGAGTTCTGAGACGTAGAGAACCAGTTAATATTTCACACGGGGTGAATGTATGATAGACTCTCGTGCAGACGCACGTGCTAATCGACTATTTCCACAGCTTTATACACGGTATAAAAGTCTAAAAATACGATTTCTTTCGTCAGAGATCGTTAAAATTTATCAATTTTTGTCTTTTAAAAAAAAAAAAAAAAAAAAAAAAAGGAGGCGGCCTCTAAAAAGGAAGCGGGTGGGGACGCTAAACATGTTTTTTTTTTACTTCGCCTTATGTGAAGCAGAGTCAGAGATGGATTTTGGCGGACTTGGTACTGTTCTAAGTAAAACAAAGTAGGGAGTTAGGGTTAATACAAGAATAAATTAATACAGAAATAAATAATGTAACACTTATCTTATTTCTATTGTATCTAGATTATGGACCTGAGGATATTTGTGGACACCGACTCGGACATCCGGCTTGCGCGACGGCTGCGTCGCGACATCTCGGAGCGAGGGCGCGACATCGAGGGCGTCCTGAAGCAGTACAACAAATTTGTGAAGCCTTCGTTTGAGCAGTTCATCGAGCCCGCGATTCAACACGCAGACATAGTTGTACCAAGGGGTAAAGTTTTGTCCACGTTTTAAAAAAAATTGAGCTGATATGAATGAGATATATGAATTATATTTGGACATATTGTAATTTTTACTTAACTATTATTTTGTGGGATTGAATTCTTTGTGTTTATCATATTCTTCAGGGGCTGAAAATGATGTTGCGATGGAGTTAATCGTTCAGCACGTACACGATCAACTCGAAAAGGTAAACTAACATAAAAGAAACATTCACAAACAAGATGTATAAGTTTTACTATCATAATATGTTTAATACTTTATAATATATACGTGTTATGAATATACATGTTATGAATGTATTTCGCATTTTGGGTGATCATATAAAGTCAGCATTTTGAATCACGTAGAACTACCCAAAAATATTTCCAGTATGTCACAACAATCACATAACCTAAAATTATTAAATTTTGTCTTTCATTTTTTGTTTTACAGAGAGGCTTAATGTTCAGGTAAGTGTACAGTTCACATTTCTTAATTTTCATTTCTATTTAATAGATCTTTACTCATTGCCACCCTTTTTACTGTCCTGAATTTTTGTTATTTAAATTTAGTAACACTGCAAGAGAGGTTGACTCATGCATATATTTATGCAACAAATGCACGCACCTCAAAAGTTGCTGCAACAAAGACCAACTACAGTCGACTCCCGTTATAACGAGCTCGGTCATAACGATAACCCGGATGTAACAAGCACAATCTCCCAGTCCCGATCAATTTGTGTACATTACTATGGGGAAATATTTGGTTATTACGTGCACGGACATAACGAGACTTCGGCTATTACGACGATTTTGGCTGACCCAATGCGAGGAAAAGCATTGTTCTCAACCCATTTACAACGACATCTTTTCAAAACTACGGGCATTGCAGCTTGTCAACGACAGACCTTTTGTCCCGAAACGGGTATCATGCGCCCGTCTTCCAATTCAAGCAACACACTTAAGCTTCACTCATCAATGTACCTTTGTAAAGACTTCAACCCAACGTTATTTCATCTCGCCGATCTTTATAAATAAATTCAATGGGACTGTGATAATCGGCGCAGTGGACCGCTGGTCTAGTCGCTAATCCCCCGCTGCGGTTTCCCTTAGCGTGACCAGGTTTGAAGTTTGCTTACGACTGCGGTACCACGTTTCTATATTATTACAAACTAACAATAGGGGGCGCTCAGGAGTTAAGTGTTAACATTGTTAGGAATAGCCTTTAGTTACAGTACTACCGCCCGAACATCGGATGCGTAATTGCTCCCTATTGTTGGCTTGTGGCTATAAAAAAAATACAGAGTAAAGAACACAGCATCACAAAACAAACGGCTCTTTTCAGAGCCACCACAACTTCCAAAAAGAGATAATTCAGTCTGTCTTCAAAAAATAAAGTTTAAAACATACCATGGTTCCCACCCCCAAAAAAGAATCCGAAGAATAAAAAAATAAAAATCTTAAACAAATTAAGAACCCCTCCGGCCCTGCCGAAAAAAACAATCCCAATGAAAACAGGTTTCCAAGATCTTCAAACGCCCCACCATATATACATTGTCCAAATTTTAATCCAAAATTATTACTTTTGTTTATTTATTATTATCTTAAAAGAATCCCTCCCGACAAACAATAATCACCAATTGCTGCGAAATTACACATGGAGACACTTAAACCCGGAAGTAATATTAGCGCCCTCTCTTGCCCGATTCCAGCAAATGCAAAACGAAAGCAAAGTGTCACTTGGCACGAATGTGCGCTATAGTTAACCGAAATAATGACAGTTTCAAAGAATCCCTTCAGAAACAATAATACCCAACTGTTCCAAAAAGTCAACAACCAAAAGGCATCTAAGGATCAGGAGTCATTAAAACCCGGAAGTAATGCATGTATTGGCGCCCTCTCTTGCCCGATTCCAGCAAATGCAAAATGAAAGCAAAATGTCACTCGGCACGATTTGTGCGAGTGACCTACTTGCCTGATTCTTCGCAGCGATGATGCCTTTTCCTCCGGATTCAGGTCCTCAAATATTGAACAATGTTCCCTTAAAGGTATTTTATTTATTTCATTTATTCATCACCATCAGTTAAATATTAAATATACATTAATAACAGACGTACATACCAACAAATGACCATCTTTTCATGTCTTCGGACGTGCGTTACACGATTAAAACACGCACGCACATGTACCGTACCTTGTGCACAACGAATGGGGAAAACTGCGCTCCGGTTTTAGCGAGGTTCCGGCTATAACGACAGTTTTGTGAAAGTCCATCGGACCTCGTTATAACGGGAGCCGACTGTATATTCCTTTAAATTACCTTGTCATAAAATACTGACAGGACAAAAAAGAAATTCTCGGTAGTTCCTTTTCTTGAAGTTTCTTGACGATAAATATTTTCTGAACTTTTTTTTCAGATCCAAGCTACTTATGGCCCATCACAACCAACCCTTGCCAGATACTCTCACCGTGGTGGAGAATACCATACAAGTCCAGGGACTGCATACATTCATCAGGTAATGGACTCCCTTCATGCACAATAGAGGGCGGTATGCCACCACTCACGTGAGCTCCGGTGGGTGCGCGTACTGGTCGCGTGCATATGGCGCGAAGCATGCAAGACTAACGCACTTCCAGTGAGTGCAATAATTAACAATTGTTGACTGCTGTGATATGGGATATGACATATTTAACACCAGAGGGGTGCAAAGCACTTGAGGCGAATCTGAGGGTGCTATGTGCCCCTAGGGGGTTAAAAACGGCATATCCCATATCACAGCAGTCAACAATTGTTTTGTCATATCGTGCCAATAACTCGAAGAGATAATTGGATGTAACTTACTGTGTGAGAAATAAATTAAACCACTGCGATGTAACCTTTGATAACTGAAGGATTGCAAGTTGTGGTTCACACTCACCTCGCACATATACAAACGTGCAACTTTTTTCTCAGTACCACTTGTCATTAGTTGCACAATTTGGTACACATTATCACTGTTTTGGGTCTAACAAAGTGTATGGCTGGATTGCTAAGGAATTTCTGTACTGATTAGTCGTAGTTTGAGCAAGAGTTGCCCAGTAGTTTTTTGAGTTGGACAAAAAAGTATTAAGGGGAAACTTTCTTTTTTTTGTTTGAGTGTATATTACATGTGCATTAGTCTGGTGCCGCTTGTTTCGTGTACTTTCAAGATACGTGTTCAGGCAATAAGTCAAGTCTCCATGCTAACAGCGCAAGTGGATTTTTCATTTCTATCCCATTGCCACTACACCTTTTTAGATATTCTGAATCTATTGAGTAGAATTTTGTGCACTCTGGAACCATCTTTACTAGGCTTGTCTTGTCTTGTTTTCTCAACAGGAACAAAAACACGTGTCGAGACGAGTTTATATTCTACTCCCAACGCCTCACACGAATCCTCATAGAAAGTGCATTGGCGCTTCTGCCATTCGAGGTATTCAACATTTACTGTATTACTACTTTAAAATATATAATACAAATTGTCATAAAACTATACATTGCTTATTTAATTCAAGAGTAACCATGTTGAATATTACTTCTTTTGAAATCGGTTAAAGGGAATGTACATCATTGGCTTAAAGCTGTAATTTTCAGAAATGAACTATTTGAGGGGTTAGTATAATAGATCAAATATTGTTACACTGACATGTTTGAAGTTTTGTGTTCGAAAATGCTGGAAAAACCAAGAAAAACGAAAATGTTCAAGTAGTCTGGTTCCTTGACTCCACTAAAGATAAAATGGATCAATTTATAGATGCCGGAAAATTGTGAGGTAAGGGAACCAGTCTAGCTGTCCTGCACCCGTTCATGAACATGTAACCAATAGCAAACAAAATTTGGACCGAAAAAAAGTGTAAAGTTGGAGCAGTAGTTGAAAAAAAAGTTAGGTTTTTCCAACGGTGGTCGGCCGACCACCGTTGGAAATGTATACAAAAATACCATTTTCTTGAAAATGACTTCACACCAGGTGCCATAATTTTACAGGATGCCTTAGACTGTCATTTACCAACATCCTAGTAAGGTATTTCGTAAAAACTTGGTAGTTTTATTCTTCGATGTTTGCAAATGTTGTATATTCCCTTTAAACCAATTTGATAGAAATATTCTTAAAGAGTAGATTCGTTTTCCTTCAAATTTCCATGTTGTTCAGGACTGTGAGGTAAACACGCCACAGAACACATCCTACAAAGGCAGGAAATTCACTGGCAGGGTAAGAACAGACCTACCAAAAAAAATAATTAACATTTTAATCTTTTTTATTATGTAAAGCTGACTCATATTGCTTAAACAATCTAGCCATTAACATTAACTTTTCAGATTCTCACATAATTTAGATATTTTCATTGTTACTTTCAGGATAGGTTGACATAGCATTGCATTTTTGCCAAGTGTTATTTTTTGTGTTCTTGTCAAAAATCAATGGTTTTTAACAGAATGAGGCAAATTTAATTTTGCCGCCTTTGTGTTTATGTAACAAAGAAATGTGATAAATAAAAATATTTTGTTTCATTATAAAAAAGCATCTTGATTTAAAGATTATAAAGTAAAAGAATTCTTAAAAATCTTCTTTATTATATTTACTAGAATTTTCGGGTAGAAAATTAATGCTTTTACATGTATGCCAGTCAAGCTTTTAGACAATGGAACATGTAGGAATTTCTGGATATTTTTTGGACGCCCAGTTATATTTATGCAAATGATTGTTAAAGCATCAACTTTCCGCAACTTTGACATTGCAGTTGTTTAAAACTTAAATGGGAATATTGACAACCAATTTGAGCCCTAATCCCTGGCCCATTTGGCTAGGATGCATCCTCAGTCCTCAAAAATCATCTGTCATTTCTTGAATATCGTTCGGTGGAGGGGTGACCACTGCCTCAATCCTTCAAAATCCTCCAACAATCACTGTTTTGATACGTTGAGGCAGTGCCAATGATATCCAGAAGCAGTGCAGATGATACCCAGTATAATCTAGGACTAACTTTGTGCATCGCTAAGCATAAGCAATGCCAGGTACAGCTTAAGACAGTGACACAGCGCATCCTCCAAAATCAACCGGCTCTTAACAGGCATACGGCCTCAATCTTCCAAAACTCTAAAAAAAAAAACAACGCATGTTTGTGTTTGGAGGATTGAACAGGGTTATGGTTAAGTGCTGACTGCCATATATTCCCAGTGGCGTAAATCTGTGCCGGCGAGTGGGGGGGATGGGGGATGACCAAAATCAAAAAATTGCCCCGACCGTGGAAATTCGAAAAGCGGGGAAGGAGGGGGGGGGGGGGGGTTGGACACCACATTACACTAGGGGGCGCTCTTCAGGATATAGATGTATAGCAACATGTATACTGGCGCTTACATCAAAACAGCGCATTTTAAAAGCTTTTGTACTTCGTTTGTCCACTTCTCAGTGCTATTGAATACATTTTGGTTGCTGGGATGTTCGAAAAATACCTCACAATCGGCATTTTTTTCCTCATCACGAAAAAGTGTTGGGGGGGGGGGGGTGATTCAATAACCCATCCCCCCCAGGTCAAAGAAGGAGGGGGTTTATATCCCCTCCCCCCCCCCCCCTCCCCGGGATTTATGCCCCTGTATATTCCTAAGGGCAAGGTTACTGATAACTCAATTTCATTACCAACTGAACTGACCGCTCTGTTTCTTTAACTTTCAGTCGGAAGATGGTCGTTCAAAGGTCAGTTTTTGACGTGCTAAGAACATGCTCCACTCCTTAGCTCTAGTTTATAGGGGTGTGCCGAATTTACCGAATATTCGAATAGCCTTTTTCAGATTTGAGTATTCGGAGAAAAATGTCCATGCTATTTTTAATCACATAAGTTGCATGGTTTTATTGTTTGTTGAATGCTACATTTTGGGCCGACTGTTACTTTACACGCATGACTTGAGAGCTTTTGTGAGGAACATAAGCTCTCATTGCATCTTCAAAATGATTCCAACATCAGCTAGTAAGCTTCCTCGAAAAAAAAATACATCAAAGCACACAAGATGTTCTCAATATTTTAACCCTCCTTTTGTTTGATCAGTCACATACAGTCAAAAATTCAATCCTGTTCCCCTACCACGCCTTTTAGTTTACAGAGGCTAGTCACCAACAGTCAGATCATATTATTTTGTAGGCACTGTGACTAGTCAAATTCCATCAACAGACAAAAGCAGGTGACTGGTAGGCACAGCTGGCTTATCAGTCGCTTACACTCAAAGCATAGCTATATCAGGTTTCATAACAATCACAGCCAGTCAATATTGCTTTACTGGTATGCAGGCAGGGAGCACTCAACTGTTAAAAACAGTCACTCAGTTCGGGCAATTCACGATGCAGTGCGCCACTAAGAGTGTGCCATGGAGAGCCCATTTTTCAAATTTACGGTCCACTAAACATGGCCCATTTGAATGAGTGTCAGTAGACAACTTGAGCAAATTTCTTATAGATTGGGCATAGCATTCTGCTGCCTTGCAAAAAAACACCATATTGATAAAAAGAAAAGAACAGGGCAAACAGATACTTGAATCATACGCTTGCGAAACTACTGACCGGAAAAACCAACAATTTCAAATGTCCCGCGCTGCGAATTTGTCAACCATCTCCAACAATACACTGGGAAAAACGAACTCTCCATGGCAAACTCTTGGTGGCGCACTGCATTGTGAATCGCCCGAATTGATTTTTGACTGCTGGGCTGGCCTTGTTGAAATTGCCAGCCAGAGAGGGAGGGTTGTATTGCTTGGAGTAATTGTAGAATACCCCGCCACTCGGAAATACACCCCTATTAATCTCTGGCTACGCGGTTGGAATTACTGGAAAAGAAACAATTCAAGTCCATTGCCAGCTACACGGATACTGAGTGGGGGTCCCTTTGAGAACGAAGCAACACCAAAGAAATGGGGGTTGCTGAAAAAATTCCAAGTCCAAACCAACTATTTTGTTGCCGGCTACGCGGCTACGGAGTGGGAGTCCCCTTGATAATGCTTGAGAACGAAGCAACACAAAAGGAATGGGAGTTGCTGAAAAAATTGTAAGTCCAAACCAACTACCCTGTTGCGAGCTATGCGGATACCAAGTGGGAGTGCAGTGGAGCATGACGTGTAATGTGTAGGCCTAGTGCTGAGAAGTTTTATTTTTATAGGGCAATCAACCGTGACTCCGTAGCCGGCTACGAGGTGCATAGATCGAGTGGCGGGGTATTCTGCAATTGTGCCAATAGCTCATTGTCAATTTTCGACAGGCACACGCAAATCCCGATCGACAGCCCGTTTAATTTCCGACAGGCGCATTCAGTTTAGGCTGGCGTATGGCGCATGTTAGTCTTGGCCCAAAACGCTAGTGATCGATAGTTGACGCGTGCCTCTATAAAAGGCATGATTAGACTAGCGCGCCTGCTCGCACTAACGACTTAAGAATCCTATAGTAGCCATTTCACTTTTTCTTTATTTTCTCCCTCTATAGGTATTCCCAGGGAACCAACCAGCGATCGCGAAATGGTTTATAGTCAGTTGCGCGCGCAATGTGGGGGGGGGGGGGGGAGAGAGTTCATTTTCTTTGCGTAAATGGTTGTAAACATACATGCTGTGTGATCAAGCATCGTTAATTAGATGAAGCCCCGCGTGCGCGACTACCGGTATCAAATGGGAAGCCACCGTTTTGTTCGACTGTATTTATAAAAAAAAAAATTGCACCAACGGTCTTATTTACATAAAACAGCCAAGCCCCCCATTGCTGCAAGATTCCCAAGATGTTAGTGCGAGAAAGTAAAAAAAAGCAATTACGCAAGGGCGCTCTCAACAACGCAACCATCGCTATCAATCACTGAAGTTTTGGGCCAAGACTAGGCTCATGTTAAATTGGAAAGGCATGTTGCGAATATTCGAATATTTGATCGAATCCGCATTTGAATAATTGAATATGAAATTATTTGGAAATGCACACCACTAGTTCTAGTTGCTGAACTCATGATTTCGGTTGCACTTATGTTAAATTGTTGAAATTATAATAAAAATAGTATCGAAACGTGATTTCTTTTTACTTTATTTGAGGCATGGCATTTCTGTGATGTGTCATAGGACATCAAACGTTTCGTTTGTTATGTAAAATCACTCATTTGAAAAGTGTGAGCTTGCCCCAAATTCCACGCATAGATTCCACGCATAGATTCCAGAGTGTTCTAAATTGCATTTTGAATGGACCTTATGCGAAGGCGGAGTTAGAGGGCAATGGTTTTGTATCAATTGGATAGCCATGAGTGAACATTTTGTACATCCATTGTTACTGAATTAAAATAACCAAACGACACCCTCTGAGATACCGGCAATGCATAAGGTCTATTGATGTAGAATAAATGTTACTGTTTTGCATCATTATAAGAGTTAACTAAGGCCAAAAAAAAAGTCTCCGGTTTCTGGTATGGAGCTTGCGCGCAAAGTGGTGCGGCGATGCAGCTTTTTTTTTTTTTTACTTTTTTTCCTTCAAATGTCGGCTGATGACTGCAAATGGTGCCTGACTAAATTTAGTGCAAAATGTATTGGAGCCCAGAGAGGCCACATAAAGCTTATACTCGATCATAACCCCATCTAAAAACACATTAAAATCGTGCAGCAGCAGGATTCCAGTCAAACCAGTGAGTTTGGTGGTTTTGAGACATCATCCTACATTGAAAAAAAACCTTTTTCATTTTGCCGACGCGCATGGCTACGGCGACGCGCGCGCATACCAGAAACCGGAGACTTTTTTTTTTGGCCTAAAGTACCGCATAACATACTACTCAAATGGTGGCATTGGTGGCGTTGTGTGTTAAGCACTCGCCTCTCACCGCTCTGGCCTGGGTTTGAGTCCTGGCTCGGGTCTTATGTGAGTAGAGTTGTTGATTCTCTCCTGTGCCGTGCGGGTTCTCCGGTTTTCCTTCCTCCGCAAAAATCAACACGCTCAATTTCTGGCTGTGCTCCGTGGTCAGACATGGTTATATTGCGGCTGCCTAAGACGCCTTTACATGCCTTTGGCTTGACCACGTTGAAGCTGCGTGCATCCTTCTGAATTTAGTTTCTGCTGCCAGTGAGGACAATTAGTCCCCCAAATTTACCGTATTTTATTGATTTATTACTGTTATCATAATATACTGTTTGCTGTTCACTACCGGTATATTAGCTGCTCGATTTGATATTTTCCCAATTTGTTCCTACTCTGGGTTTTGATAGTCCTTAAAGTTGCACAGTTTATGTCCAACTTTCTTGTATTGCACATATCACGTGGGTTCTATTAGTAAAAGATTAAAACAGCCACCACCTTTTTAGTAGCACTTTGCAATGCAATTCTTGTTGAATATGTGCACCGTCTTTTACAGCACAACTTCTCAAAACCAAGAATACTTAATCTAAGTTTAAGAGTAAAATCTCACATTTGAAAACATGAGTTAGAGGGTACGGGCTCCATGTACAAGTTATCCCTCAATGGTAAGAAAGGGAGAGTAGGGGAGACCACTGGGTGAGACATTCAAACGCATTGCGCATGACGCCTGACGCTCACGCGAAGACGCTATGGCTTTGTGCACATTCGTAATAGAATTAGTTGTGCGTTCTTCGCGCTATGCTTGCGTGAACCAGTAAGCGCACATGGTGTGTCCTGTCCACTGGGCACTTGATAGTGGTTAAAAAGCGCCCTCTCTTGTTCCAGCACAGAGCTCGTACTGTTTTGCAGAAGTGTGACTAAATTTTTTTTTTTTTTAAATGTTCCTATTGGTTTTCTCAGACATTAATTGACTCCATACCCTGTTTCAATGGATTTGACAGTCTGCACATTCATAGTTGATATACTGTGCTTTTGCTATGGTCGTGAACATCATGTACAGGGTTCCCAGCACTTTATGAAAACAAAATTCCCTAGTGTTTTCCCTGATATTTCCCTGAGAAATTTACAAAATTCCAGAGAAAAAAATATTTTCACATTAAGTACGAGGTTTCTAGGAAGTCAAATTGGTGTTTGCAGCAAAGCAACTAAGATGCTGAAAGTACACTTGTAGCTACAATATAGCCAATTAGTCAATAGCCACAGCTTGGACACATGACACATGACATGCATACTGGTTGTCCCACAAAAACACTAACAGTCAAATCGGGCATGTTTTCAGAAAAGTGGGGGTAGTATTCAAAATCGTATTGCTGAGTAGAATAATTGACCATCCAAATGCTTTCTAGTTGTTTTCATTAGGGTGTTTTGTTCAAAAGATACAGCAATCACAATATGGGACTTGAATAACCACTTGGGCCACTTTTTTATTTATTAAGTTTACAGATCGAAGCCGGTAGAATAAGTCACACGTTACTCTTGAACAAAGGAAATAAATCGTTTGTGTGTTTCTCTATAACTGCGCGTTCTCACTTTCAAGGAAAGTGGCCCAAGATGATTTTCAACCCCTGAGTTTGATGAAGCATAGCATTTTTTCCAATGCATCTATTAAAATGAAATAAAGTGTATATGGTAGATATCTGACTGTAACAGGTAAAATATTCCAAAACCGACCTGCAATATACCTTTAATAATTGGTTTTCAACTGTTAGGTTTTGTGGGACAACCTGTACACCAAACCAGCAAAAAACTGTCACTTCTCGGTCTACATGTATGTGCAATTCACGGAGTCTTGCCTGATTGCTTTGTGTTTTTCCCAAAATCCCTGAGTTTTCCCTGGCTGAAAAAAAATGGAAACTCATTTTAAAGGTTGTCCCTGATTTCCAGAGTGGCTAGGAATAATTTTGAAATTTTTATAAGAGTTTTCTGATCAGTGTGTTACCAATAACCATGTTTTTGAACCAAATTTTACCAACATTTTTTTTAAATACATGTATGTTGAACTTGCTGTTTATAGTTTAACAGAAATTCTTCATTAAGGGTTTTTGTTAATAAGTGTTGTGTGTTTGAATGAAAAAATCTTATCATGAAATTCTTTTGTAGCATTATCTGCTGTTATCTTGATTTGCTGTGCATGTAAATTAGAAAGTTCGTTATATTTACGTTTGAAAGTGGCACTTCAAATTGAAAGATTTATTTTTAATCATTTAACAGTATTTCTGATGTTGTAATGTGGTAGCTTAAAAAAAAACTTACTTTCTTTGCAAATATTTTTCAGAGGCTTAATTCTTCAACCATGTGAATCATTTCATGGATTTAAATCTTGGGCATTTTTACCAGAAGCTTTTGGTAAAAATTGTTTTTGCTGTTTACTAGTCTTGAGCTTGGTTTGCTGTGTTAGAAATATTTGCATTGTCAGTCTCAATTATGAGCACCTTTTTCCCCCGAATATTTTGTTCCTTCTAATGAGGCCAAGGAACAAAAAACTGTTACCTATTACATTGGAAATGCTTTTTTTTTCTCTAAATTTTTAAAGACGGGGAAAAAAGGGTGGGATGATGGTCAATTAATTTTAATTAATTAGAACAACAAATTTGCATGCATTTTAAAATTATATTTTATTATTATTATTATATATTTATTTATTTCGTCAACATCCAACAGCGCAAGCTCCAGAACAGGATTGATAAGATTTGGTAGAAGATGTGGAAGGAAATTACAGATTTAGTGGTGGGAGGAAAACCCCAGAATGATATTCTAGGGTAACCCACAGAATCCGGCAGGGACTGAAAACCCAATCCATATATTGGCCCAGGCGGGATTCGAACCCGGGTCACAGCGGTGGAATGCGAGGAAAGTACCACTACGAATCAACTGTTCATTCTGCATTTACTGCACTGTTTATATGCTTTGCCGCACTCTTCATAAGCTTCGTTGCACGGCGCAGCAAGACCGCACTGCCGACCAACTTACACAAAATGAAATCAAAACTATGCAGGATGATGTCCACAAAAACTGGGGGAGGGCGACACCATAAGTTTGTGTGTGTGTTTTTTTTTTTCTTTAATCAAAAGATTTAAGTTCTGCATGATTTTTTTGGGGGTTGGGTATTAGGAAACACATTTTTTTTCTCGGCCTGATAGATCACGATACTTACTTTCTCGTTTGGCGTACTGCCCCAAACATTGAAATTCCTCATTTTTACCTGCCGGCCAACAAATACTAACTGATGCTAATTATTGATTTTATAGTGATTTTTGTTTATTTTTGTTTCAGCTTTGCGGTGTGTCCATTTTAAGGGCTGGTGAAGTGATGGAGCCCGCCCTCTGTGAGGTTTGCAAAGACATTCGCCTCGGCAAAATCCTCATCCAGACAAATCTCGATACTGATGAACCGGAGGTAAATATTTATGGCAAACGTGTGCTTCCGGATCTGCAAAAAATAGGTCTTACATGTTTTTTTCCCACTCCAAAATGACCTCTACAATCTTAAGCAGCCCCCATTTTAGGATAATGAGCCTAGTTTTTGTAATTTTGACCAATATGTTGGGATTTTCTTATCTGGTTTTGCAGTTTGTGCCTCGCGAACCAACATGGTTTTGTGTATTCAACATTATTGCCGTCTTCGTTTTACCACATATTTCCCTCTTTTGACACAACATTTCTGTTGGTTTTCAACATCGCCAGCTGTTTAAGTGAGTCCAAAAACAAACTGGCTTTTCGTAATTCTCTTATGGAGTCTGTGCACGAACAGTATAGATCGCACTTTGTGACCACTTTCGAGAGCTCTGGTATGTGGAACACAATGCGTCTCTGTGTGTGCACATATGTTTACGTTACATACCTTGTGTGGACATTCCTTTGTTTTCGTGTAGTTAAGAAAAACCTGTGAAAAAAACTCATTTTTCTCACACTCTGAAAACTCTTTCAACCCAAATTTATGACTATGATTCCCTTGAGTGTTTCTCTACATTTTGCGACGGAAAAACCTAACTCAAAAATGCCTCTAAATCTGTTTTCCAGAGAGGGGGAAACCTTGTGTGGACGTGTCTGAACACTGGTTTATGTGGATATCTTTTGTTTGGAAGTCCTCACTGTGAATGTAATGCAAGGGCGGATCCAGGGGGGGGGGGGGCCATGGCCCCCCCCAAAAACGAAACCAATTTTTTTTTTTTTTTTTAATGTGACATCGCAAAAAAGGCAGGCAATGAGTACACCACCATCTTTTCCTCAAAAAAAACATTGGTTAAAGTGGTCAGAAATTGCCTCAGATCGCACCACATAGCATCTAGAATCCAAAAAATTTTCGGGGCCCTTAAGCGGGCCCCGAACCCCACGCCGTAATTTTTGGCCCCCCCAAAAATTGTGTTCTGGATCCGCCCTTGATGTAATGCTTGTACTCTATTTTGTGCACAAAGTACACAGTCTTGCAAGTGTGCACAAAATTGTTCTTGTTCGCATAGCTGCTAGGCAACAGCGGCCTTTTTACAGTTAAGGAGTCACTTGTGCACTTGTGCCACGTGGAGACACAAATTTCACAAATTGAATGACAATCTTTTATACACAGCTTCACTACTTGCGGCTTCCCAAGGACATCGAGAAAGATCATGTGATCTTGATGGACGCTACCGTGGCAACAGGAGCGGCGGCCATGATGGCTATTAGGGTCTTACTGGATCACGATGTACCTCAGGAAAACATCATGCTGCTGTCGCTACTTATGGCAGAGTCAGGTTTGTTTGCTTATACAGTCGACTCCAGTTCGTACAAAATCGAAATACCGGTTTTAACGAACATATATCTTCGGTCCCGGCAAAGTTGTGCACATTTCTATGGGGAGCAATTTGCTGAAGACAAACTTGAAAAGTACGAAGTTTCTGTTATGACAAGATTTTGTCTACCCTGTTGCATTTGAAAGCAAATATACAATACCTTATTCACAAAGTAGCCATTTTTGTCTTGTTCCCTGAATGTATTTCATAAATTGTTAACTTGAATGGGATAGCACCAGACTATTTGTGCAGCCTTATTTTACTTTATTTTTTTTTTAAATCTGACTTAAAACATCAGGGAATGTTTAATTATAAATTTTAAATTATTCAGTTTTAAGCAGACTTGAATTATTTAGTAATGTACTTTTTTTTCATTTCTCTTTGCAAATTCCAAAATTGAAGATTTGACCTCACTTTCAATTCAACATGGCTGACTCGTGAATAAGGCCCATTAGAAGTTGTTACTGCGGTGGTACCGCGCCCACACGTATGCTGCATGCATTTTTAAAGCTATAGTCCATCATTTGTAATTAGTGCATTTTGTTCGTTTGAAGCAACAAAAGTGTTCAAAATCTAATGAAGGATACTGAACAACTAACCTGATGAAGTTTCAGCTAAGCTTCAGCTGTACATTCCAAGAAAAGCAGCATTTTTAAGATCTCAATTTCAAATCAAAAGTTACTGAATCATGTTTTGAATTGTTTTGAATTGCAGCTATACGCGGCGTCGCGCACTGATCCGAGGAATTATAACAACCGCGTGCGCGTGTGCGTCGTTCCAATACTTGTGCGCGCTGCGCTGAATAACAAAACGAACTACTAATTTAAATTTTCCTACGGTGCTTCTTAAGAATCACCGTTGGAAATGCCTTCTTTCGTTGATTACGTCAAAATTACAGCTTCCCAGAAAGAATAATTTCACAGGGAGTTTAGTTCCCTTTCTATCTTTCAACCAAGTTTGTTTTTCAACAATAATTACGCCAGTTACTTTTCGGATGGCTGCAAATGATGGACTATAGCTTTAAGGATCAGGCGCATGCACATTTTGATTGGTCTAAGGAGCACGAAGTATGTGTGAACTACCTGAGTGCAACTCACGCGAGCCTGTCGCAGGATTAGTCTATAGGGCCTACACAGTGAACAATGGGTGGGAAACCAATACAAAATTCGGATACAACGAACATTTTATCTTGTGATTTGACTTGTGTTTGATGCGTGACTGACTTGTAATTTGCTTGTGATTGACTTGTGAGAGACTTTTCTTTCATTTTTTTCCCTTTTCTGTCCATTTCTGAAGTGAACTTTCACACACATTTTTTTGTTTTTGTTTTTTAGGTGTTCACACAGTTGCGTATGCATTTCCCAAAGTCAAGATTGTGACAACAGCGGTGGACAAAGAAGTAAACGACAACTTCCACATAATCCCAGGAATAGGTGAGTTAGCCCTCTCAGTGAAATCTTAGGATTTGTTTTACGAAAGAAAAAAATCACTGTAACTTCAATGCCACTTTTAAGGAATTCAATGGCACATTTTTCAACTGAAATAAAATGACATTCGAAATGGAAATGTCTTCGAGCATTCCACAACCTCTTTAAAGTTCTCAATATCGAGATGTCATACTGAGAAAAAGGCTTTTAAAGTTTGAATTTTTGTAGTCGTGGAAATGAAAGATGCCAATTGTTTTTCCTTAAAAAGACTTTTATTCCGCGATTAATTAACTATTTTTATTAAGTATGTGTGGTAGAAATATCACAGATTGCGAAATCAACAAATCTGAAAATTGAGAAAAAAAAATCACCCCCGTTCTGTTTTTTTTTTGGAGGGGGGGGGGGCATTTTTCTCCAACTCTGCATGTGCCCAATTCTGTCTCATTTTGCCAGAACATAATAATTAAAGCAAGACATTATATTCAGCAGATATTTCATATTTTCATTCAGTGTTTTTTTATTTTTCATTTTTGTCTTCGCACTCTTTTGTTTTGGTAGGAAACTTTGGCGACAGATACTTTGGTACATAGCTCCAGTTACTGTGGCATCATCTCATATTCTAGGTCAGAGATCAACATGGAGGTCAAGGGTCACTGGGACAGTTTTTAAATGACTTTGGAATTACTAGCGTGGTCATTTTGTAGAGAAAAGAAAAAGATATTCAGCAGAAAGTATTCAGTTCTTTTTAACTTTTTACAAAAAAATTAGGAAAATTGGTCAAGATTTTGTGATAAATGCACATCTGAAGAGTGCACTCAAACTGACCGACTCCAGACGTGATCTGTTACACGGTACCCTGTGGAGACATGGGTATAATAGGGAACAAAAGATTGAATACGTCTCCACAGAGCAATTTCTATAGTTGAATACGTCTCCGCAAGGTTATCACGGAATAGATATATTGATTTTACTCAAAAACTCGGAATTTCCAAGGTGTGTTGATCCGTCGCAAATTAAAGTAATTTATGTAAGGGACCGAATTTCAGCCTGGAAATAAATTCTGGTTAAAATAACAGCATTTTGAAACTACACTTTCAAACTCAAAAACTTTAGTACACGAGAACAAAGAACTGACTCCACCAGGATACAAATTCCAGTATGCTGGGACTGTACCCATCCTTACAGATTCCAACAAAACGTGCCGTTTGATGGGTTGAGTTCTGAATATGGGTTGATGGCGAAGTCATGATAGTTTCGTTCCGTTTTAATAAAACGGACAGCATTTTGAGTTCACATCAGTTTCCACAGTCACATTGAGCAAAACTGATGTTGAAATATCTCGATTTGAACACATGAACTTTTCAAATGTACTTATTTATGTCATAACATTTGAAGGGGTGACGTAAATTACATTTTTGTTTTCAGTTTGTTAAGTTTCATGAATCCAGTCAGGTGATCACTGTCTACTCCCAAGGCCCCCTTCAATGGAGAAACCATTGCGTGCTATTGTACAAAGCAACTGCCCCGTGACGGATTATCTGAACAATAGCTAGCACAATGCTTTCGCCATTGAAGGGGGCCTTCATGATAGAATTGATGGCGTGCCTGGATTGGTCTACAGGGACATTTAGATTCAGGTTTTTTTTTTATACTTTTATCATAATTTGCAGTTCTAGTATTCTCGTACGATTTACATTGAATCTTGATCATATGTTCTTTTTGCCTTCTCTTTCAATTTTTTTTTTTCAATTTTTTTTTTTAGCATTTAATTATGAATAAATGTGAATAAATTTTATTCAAGCTTTTGAACAGGGGTGTGAAATCTCAGCTTTAAAGCCGATTTCAGCTTATTTTGTTTTGGATTTCAGATTTTTTCCCTCACTTGCCGAGTACAAAAGTATAGGAGATTTCCAAAGTTCAGCTTTTTTACACCTTTTTTCAGCTGTTTTCAGCTATTTTAATCAGTGGTCACTCACACCCCTGTTTTAAGTAATGAGAGGTTTATTCACAAGTCAAAATCTTACCACCTTAAAAAGGTTGAATTATTGCAAGAAATTGATGTACTATTTATGGGTGTGTTTGAGTAACCTCACCCGATCAACTCATCATTGATCTAACGTCATTCTCGGGGCTCACCCGGGTCAGCCACCACAGACCCTGCTCATAAAGCAGAGTCAGTGGTGGACATACGTCACAGGCATGCGTTGTTCATTCCAAAAAACTGACAAATAATTTGGACAGCGGAAATCTCAAGTGGACTCAAAAATCAACTTTATTTGAAGCCGGGGTAATTATTTATTAAGCAGGCAAGCAACTTTTCCTCGGATCAGCTGATTTCCTCTTTTTTCACTTCCAATGTGTGCTATTGAAAATAGAAAAACACTGTACAAAGTCTTGGAAAGATTTGAATTTCCTCTTTTTTGTGACTTCCCAGTTGCTGAAAGTTCATCGCGACTTTAGAGGCTATAATTCCAGCCCAACTTCTTTTGGATTTTGCTATTGACTGATTAGCAGTAAATATCAAACTAAGACCCAGTCCAAAACGGGCGTTTTGCATGGGCGTCGCCAGGATGGAGGGGGGCAAAACATGTTTTTCCCCAAAAATTCTTGTATTTCTCAACAAATTCTTGATTTATCAGTTTGAGAGGGGGGCGGGGACATTTTGCCCCCCCCCAAAAAAAAAACTCATTAAATTTACACCACTATGACTTCGCCCCTCTTTTTCTGTTTTCCTCTTTTTTTCCCTTCCTTTTTTTTTTTTTTTTTTTTGTTGCTTTTCCAGGGGTGGGCAAGCGCCCCCCCTTGCCCCCCCCTTTCGCGACACCCATGGCGTTTTGTCAGTGGCTACGGCAGCGGCTACGGACCCCACATGAGGATCGTGGTGGCCCGCGGTTGAGCGTTCGATTTGCCCGGCTGTCGTGGCTAACCCGTCTGCCTTTACCTGAGTCGATCCGGGTGAGCTTCTCGAACGCACCCAAACGTGATTAATTTTGTATTACAACCACAGTATGCAACAATTCACAAACAAATGAGAGATTGTGAAAGAAGGAAATTCTTGTTTTCATTCAAAAATTAGCTTTATTGAAAGATCGTGGATATATAAAATAAAAATCAGGTACAAAATTATGTCCTTGTCTAACAGAGAAATAAAAACTTACATATTAAAAAATCTATAATTATTTGTTTGCAGTTTGTTGTCATGACTGTTCAATAGTTGGCTACAGGCAGGGCGAGTCAAAAAGAAAATGACCTGGATTACTTTTTGTTTTATCTTAAAAAGCAATCAAATTTGATACACCAATGAAGTATGTCTTAAAAGAGCATATTGTTCCACTCGTCTGAAAAAAAACCAAACTTATGTTAAGGAGAATACACAAGAAAGTGTGGATTCGTAATTAAAGAATTCACGAGGCGTTAAGTGCAGAGTGAATTCGTAAATTAAGAATCCACACTTGCGAGTGTATTCTTCGACTTGAACGTTGCGTCAAAAGAAGAATTGTCATTAACAGTCCAGTGAGTGGAGATGAAAAGACTTGCATATTTCGTGTCCAGTTGTGGCCATTATGGTAATTTACAAGGAAGTTTTGAGGCTCTTAAACGTAATCCAGCATTGTGGCGTGTTTAGCATGTGTATCGCCACACCGTACAACCAAGTCATTTTGTATGTAGGCTCCTTACGTCAACATGGATAGTTGAGACAACGATTTCTGTCGGACTCAAAGTAGTGACGGCAGAGAATCTGACAGTGAAGATGCATTGGTAACTTTCGGAAGGAAATTTTCACGCAGACAGTCCTATTAATGCTCATTAGGCCAATGGAGAACAATTGTCAGGTTAATGCCTTTATCACAGTTCATTTGAATTGCTTACATATTGAGACTAATGACTTGTGATTGACTTCTACGTACTTGAAGACTTGACAACTTTGCAAGCTTTTTTTGTGTTTCAATTTTCTCTTTTAATGACCGATTTTTGATACAAAACGTTAAATAATTTAGTTATTCATTTGTATTTTCCATACCTCACACTCTTCCAGTGTAGCTGTTCCCTTGGCAATTTTTGCACCAATGCCTGCCGTGAAGCTCCTGTAACGATCCTACAAAATGAGAAGGAAAAAAAGTTCAAGACCTGTAAATGCTCCCATAGTCAGAGCTGATTCTGGTAACGGAGCCAAAGTTTGTAAAATGGCTGTCAATAATAACAATAATGATGTGGTGCTTAAATAGCACTCAATACCAAAGTCTCAATTCAAAGCTCTTCACAAATGATTACCCTTGTTCATCAGGCCACAAAACCATTTTTCTGAAGCCAGTCGGGGTCAGCACAATCTGGTCTCTACCCTCACAGGTACCCATTTATACTCCTGGGTGGAGAGAGAGAGGCAATTGTAGTAAAGTGTCTTGCCCAAGAACAATGTGCTCCTGTTGGGGTTGGAAACTATACCCTCGCATATGAGTTGGACATGTTGCACTACCTTGACTGAAGTGCTCCAAGCAGTTAACAAAATGGGCCAATAGTGCCCAATTCTACGTAACAGAGAGGCAATTGTAGTAAAGTGCCTTGCCCAAGGACACAAACAGCATGTTCCCTGTCAGGGTTTGAACCTGCATTGCAGATGAGTCTGACACCATAACCACTGGACCACAGCGCACTACCTTTACTATAAAGCGCTCCATGCAGTCAACAAAACAGGCCAAAGGGCCCAATTCTGCTCAACGGAAAAAAAAATTGCTAAGAAAATTTAACGCTTAGGGGGCAAAAAACCAGAAGAGTACCAGTGACAAGCACTACACACTGCATGGCAGTTTGACTGGTATACTGTTGTTCTAAGTAATTTTTTTCTGAGCTTAACAAATTTCTGACCAACCAATTCCTTGACTAACATACCTCAACCATCTTTGCCATGGCTCCTTCGCTAACCAACTTGGCAGCACAGCGGAGACCTCTTGCGAAGGAATCCATCGCACCGATATGAGCGATGAACATATCCAGCAAGTTGGTTGATTCGCGACGGACTTTGGCGTCGAAGTTGAGCCCTCCCGGAGCTAGTCCACCTTGCTCAATAACAGCCTACAAAACAACCAAAAAAAAAGTAATGATCATTTTGTCATGAAACCTCTTTATACATTGTCGAGAATTTGACTTTTTGCACGAACATCACTTCCGATTGCTATTAAATTGTATTAATAAATACCTTGGAGAGTTGATGGTTTCTGATTGGTCGAGACTCGATCACGTGGCCGGGCATTAACGGTGATAATGGACCGGCTTCATAGATCAAGCGAATAAATGGCCCTTGAACTAGCATTGATCCAGCCCCGTTCAGCCCCATGCAAGCCAATGATTGGTCAAAATATAGTAACAGTCCTGCGGTAGCTTGTTACAATAGAGCACTGCACATGCGCTCAACCCTCATCGCGTGAGACTGACGCGCGCGTACGCAACACAGTTGCTAGGGATGCGTGCGTGCGCGCGCGTAAGGAAGTTTTGAAACGACATCGTATATACTGAGGATGTTTACGACGAAAGCATAGATCTACGATTTATTTTCTTTGAAGACTTCACCCACCGACATATTTACCTTTCCTTAACCAAGCATCTTTGTAATTCCGGACACAAGGAATGTGTAAACGAGATTTCAGCTTCCTCCATCAGGTAAAGATATGAAAACATTGTTGTAATTTGTTTCGCTACGGCAGCAGTTTCTGTTGAGTTTACGTCGTTATAGCTGCTAAGCTAAAATATGGCCCATGAACATGAACACAAAAAAGTCTGGAAATATCGCCGAAAAAAAGTCACAAAATTGGAGCATTTTAACTGTTTATTTCGTTAAAAAGGTATTTTTTAATGGGAATAACAGTGTGAGGAGCCGGTCTTCACTGCGTGATAATGACCGGGTGTGGGGGTGACCGCTGTTAATGGACCTCGACTTCGTCTAGGCCCATTAACAGCGGTCACCCCCACACCCGGTCATTATCATGCAGTGAAGACCGGCTCCTCACACTGTTATTCCCTTATTGAAAATGTCCATGGGATGATGGTATCAAATCTTTTTTTAAATGTACAAAAAACACCCTTTAACCACTTCGCGCCAGGATTATTTTTGCCAAAAATTTCAATTTTCGCAAATGGCAACATTTTCCAGCCAACTTCTGATAAACAGCCAAACGACACAAATACTGATTCGTAAGAGTCATTTCAACAGCATTTGTACGATATTTCTTGCCGAAACCTCACATGTTTCAATACTCCGGGGTGTGCACTGGAGCGTAAATTGTCAAACAATAGGCCTTGCACAACGATCAATTCAAGATCAACACACAGTCCACCTCCACAGACTTCAGAAACTTTGTGTGTGTGTACAAAAGGCACGAGGGAGTAGCATATTTAGACGTCACCCGGAGGCGAGTCTAGGCAATTCTTGACGTTTTAACCCGTCAGCCATGCCTGAGCATACCAGCCAGTGCGTGTTATCACGTCCGATGCAAACTGGTAAACAGGTTTACGGTTAAATCGATAAAGAAATCAGGCAATGATTGACACTTATTTGAATCCCTATTGTACCTTCATGACGAGAGTGGTGTCTCTGACGTCCATGGGGAACTGGTCGGTATCCCATCCCAAGTCAGGGGAACCGGTGTTGGAATCAACAGAACCCAGCATTCCAAACCTGAAGAAGCAGAAAAAAAAATTCATTATTTTGACAGCTGCATCGAGATCTTTTTTATAATGAAAAAGTGTTTGAAATGAAAGTGTCCCAAAAAAAAATGTCAAAGTGTCACCAGCAGCCGATTTTAAACAGTGCGTAAGTAATGATCGATTTCACGAAACTTGACGTAGCCATGCAACATTTGAAATCATCGAACACCTTGAATGAGGATAATAATAACGGCTTTTACAAAGGTTATTCGTGTATGAATTCCGTTTGTTCTGCCAGAAAACGGTAATTGAATCACCAGACAAACTTGTGGGTCGTCAAAAATTGCTGAACTCAAGTCGTGTATAGACTAAACTTACTTTGAAGCTAGGACGATGTCGTGTTCATATGGGTGGCCTGCCAGCATGGTGTGGTTGGGCTCGACGTTGATCTTGAAATCATCAGCCAGCCCAAAATGCTTCAGGAATCCGATAACGGTCATTGCATCTTAATGAAATATACCACAAAAGGAAACCGACTAGTTGCACGTGTAATAATTATACAGTTGAACAATCCAGCGGGGTTTGAACCTGCGACCTTCGGATCGCCATTCCGGTGCTCTACCAACTGAGCTATCTAGCCACGTGTTGACAGTTCCCATTTTGTCAGTGTCTTTGTTCAAGGGGCGCTAGTCTGAAGCCATAAACCTGAATATGCTGTGTACCCAGGGACCACGCCCAAAGTCTCAATGCTAGTAACATTAAAGAGGTTGTGGAATGTTCGAAGAAATTTCCGTCATTTTTCGGGTATATGTAGCCTAAGGTGTGATGAAATAAAAACGACTATTGTTTCTGTCATCAAATGAGTACAAAAGGTACTTTTGAGAGCTGTTTTTCAAGTCCTGTCATGCCTGTTTCGACCCGAACGTGCAATTTGTGTAAAAGTCGTCGTTGCGGGCAACAAACAAAACACAGTAAATCGTGACGTAATAAACAGGACTCCCGATGCAGAGTAGCATAAACGAGTCCTGTTTATTACGTCACGATTTACTGTGTTTTGTTTGCTGCACGCAACAACGACTTTTACACAAATTGCACGTTCGGGTCGAAACAGGACCTGAAAAACAGCTCTCAAAAGTACCCTTTGTACTCATTTTATGACAGAAAAAATAGTCGTTTTTATTTCATCACACCTTAGGCTACATATACCCAAAAAATGACGGAAATGTCTTCGAGCATTCCACCACCTCTTTAAAGCAATGCAAAATACAGAAATGCAGAGAAACTCCATGCCCGAGTCTGACACAACACATGATCCTACACACACTCTTGTTTTCCTAACTCCCGAGGACAATGCTTTGTGTTTCCTTTTGTCCCTGTAATATAACACTCTCCCATAAGCATACAAACCTACTACAGAGGACCGTTTTGAACAAAAGACCCAACTCCCGAGGACTGAAAGGATCTGTTGTTCTCCCTTTGTGTGTCGGTCCTCTGTCGGGTTAACACGTACACTAGTGCACGCCTATGCCCCCTCGGGCCAGAGAGTCACTTCAAGAGGGTCCTGTTTTCCTCAGGGATGCATAGGCCAGCACTAGTGACCTCATAGCCAGTCAATATGTGTATCATATTTACTTGTTTGCCCTTGGCTTACCATAGTCATACTGGTGTCTGGTAGGCTCCTTGGGTTTAGGTTCAATCAGTAACTGTCCCTGAAAGCCGATCTTCTTCTTATAGTCTACAAAATTAAAAACGAAAACCAAATAAAATTCTGCAGGTTTTTGTAATCTCTGTTTGAAATTACTTCAAACACAACTGAACTTCAAATCTTTAGTTTCTTTCTAATTTAACTTACCTACAATAAAAAAAACAACCTATTCTTACATTTACATATTATTATTTTTTTCCAGAACAAGTCCCACACCATGTACATGCGATTCTGGTTTCTTTTGTCAACTTGTAAAATTCATAAACTTGCACTCAATGTATAAATAAGAGGGAAAAAGTCATACACTTACCTACTGCCATTTTGAAGAAGTTAGCTGCATGGGTGAGTTCAGCTAAGACATCGGTGTTCAGAAGACTCATGTAACCCTCACGACCTCCCCAGAAGACTAGAGAAGACAAAATATGAAACAAATTGGACATGTGGGTCCATCACAGGTTAGATCACAAGTCGTACCAAAAAGCAGTGTTGTAGTCAAGGTACTTGTGATTGATAGCAATTACATCAGAAGTCCAGTCACAAGTCAAGTCAAAGCCCATCACAATTCAAGTCACAACCCATCAGCAAGTCCAGCACAAGAGAAATCACAAACCCAACACAAGTCAAATCGCAAGCCCATTATTAGTCAAATCACAAGCCCATCACAAGTCGAATCACAAGTCGAATCACAAGCCCATCACAAGTCAAATCACAAGCCCATCACAAGTCAAGTCGTAAGCCCATTCATAGTGGAATCATAAGCCCATCAATAGGGAAATCAAAAGCCGGTCCCGAGTCAAATAACAAGCCCAGCTCAATTCAAATCACAAGCCCATCACAGGTCAAATCACAAACCCATTGCAAGTCGAATCACAAGCCTAGTTCACGACAATCACAAGCCCATCAATAGTCAAATCACCAGCCCATCACCAGCCAAATCACAAGCCTAACGTAAGTCTAGTTACAAGCCCATCAAAGGCAAATCGCACACCTATCAAACTTGACCTGATCTAAGACTTGAGTGACTGTGTCAAAGAGAACTAAATAGGTTTTTTTTTGTAAAGGTTAATTTTCAAGAGGTCAATTTCTGCGCTTGAAATTGTTTGAAGCACTTCTGCACTTACCAAAGTTTTCAGCGCCAAGTTTCTTGCCCACCTCAAGTCCCTTCTTGACCTGGGCAGCGGCGAATGCAACAACGTGCGCGTCAGGGTTTGTTGCAGCACCATTCATGTACCTGTACAGAAACAAATCAAATTCTACTTTTTTATTCATATTTACAATTGTGCAATGCAATGGAAATGATCAAAATTGACAAACTTTCAATTCATATCAACGTAACTTTGAAAATGAAGCTCTGGAAAATAAATTGTAAAAGTAATGGCCTGATGTTTTCATTATAACAGGATCTTATTTTCGTAATGCTGTTTTGAATGTCTGCAAACCCATGGTGCCTTCTGTGAGCATCAGGCGTCATCAGCAATACATTTCGTCAGTCGCACCACGAAGTGACGTATCGTGTGCGCGAAGTCCATAGACAATACATCACTTCGCAGTGCACGGACGATTTGAATGTCTCTCCCAGTGGTCTACCCCAACTCTCCCTAATTTTTACCAGTGGAGTGGGTACTAATGTGCACGAAGCCCTTTTAATTAAACTGTTCCGCCTAAAAGCATCCTGCCTGTTAATCTGTATACCGCCCCAAACCTCTCTAACACTCCATGGTTTCATGAATTCCTCAAGAAGTGAGTACAGTGTAGCAGTACAATGTTACACAAATGCTAATGGTAATAGCTTAAAGCGGTTGTGGAATGCTCGAAGACATTTCTGTCATTTTTTGGGTATATGTAGCCTAAGGTGTGATGAAATAAAAACGACTATTGTTTCTGTCATGAAATGAGTACAAAGGGTACTTTTGAGAGCTGTTTTTCAGGTCCTGTTTCGACCCGAACGTGCAATTTGTGTAAAAGTCGTCGTTGCAGGCAGCAAACAAAACACAGTAAATCGTGACGTAATAAACAGGACTCTTTTATGCTACTCTGCATCAGGAGTCCTGTTTATTACGTCACGATTTACTGTGTTTTGTTTGCTGCCCGCAACGACGACTTTTACACAAATTGCACGTTCGGGTCAAAACAGGCATGACAGGACTTGAAAAACAGCTCTCAAAAGTACCTTTTGTACTCATTTTATGACAGAAACAATAGTCGTTTTTATTTCATCACACCTTAGGCTACATATACCCGAAAAATGACGGAAATGTCTTCGAGCATTCCACAACCTCTTTAATTCAGAATGATTCCTGGTTGGTTTTCCAAACCACGGCTTCAACTCTGACATTGGCTCCAGGATATTTGAGGTCCCTGAGTTGGAGGGATCCAGCTCACTAAATGTCCATGTTCAGTTTCAGAAGCAGCAAATTCTTTAACATGATGCCACAATTTAGTTATTACTTATTATTATTATTAATCATTTCTGGTAATGCCCAAGGATTCCTCAAAAGGGCCCTAGGCACTGTAGCCCGAAAGCCTGAAGAAACTTGTGGAGAGAAGACAATGAGAAGAAGTTATAGTTTTAGAGGTCGGAGGAAAAGCCCGGAAGAATATAAGCCTAGAAGAATATTCTGTGGAAAACCCGAGGAATCAGGTAGAGACTGAAAACCCAATCTACATATTGGCCCAGGCGGGATTCGAACCCCGGGCCATAACCTGACTTCTAGAGAATTTCATTTAGATACATAAAGGCGAAGCTGTTAAGAAGCCACGGTTTGGGAAATGGCCCCATACTACCTTGGGTGTGAGAACAGGTTGCATGTATTCCACAGCAGCTTGACTCCAGTCTGCGCCATCAGCTCCTTAGCGAGGTCCGTTATCTCATCAAGGTTGCGATTTGTTTCCTCCAGTGTGGCCCCCTCGGGTGATATGTCCCTGTACAATAAAATTGCATACATGTATACAGGGTGTTTCACTAAAAAAAGGAAACCCAACTTCAAAGAATGAGTATGGACTGACGATATGTTTACTGCCTATAAAACTGGTATCATCTGAAAGCGTCATCTCTATGCTTTTCAATGATACCGTGTTTAGGTTTTCTGAGTCATGCATCACTGAGCATCATTGTCTTGAAAACTGGATGCAAAAATGCAGTTGGTTCACTTTCATAAAAAAAAACACTGGGCACGGTGTGCCTATTGTTACGGAAATGTCTGTGAAATGGCTTGAATGTTAATCCTCGGGAAAATGGCACATTGTTTTGAACGTGGCTTGGTCAAAACGAGGAATTCATGACAAACAATAAAATCCAGTTTTGAAACCAACCCGACTTGTTTTTTGGGGGGTTTCATTTTATGCACTCGTGTCTTCTTCGTGGATACTTATTCTCATGCACACCATGCCTATTGTGTTTGACATGAAACTGACTCAACTGCAATTTTGCATCAAAATCTCATGACAGTGGCGCTCAGTGATGCATGACCCTGGAAATGTAAACAAGGTATCATTGAAAAGCATAGAGATTACGCTTTCAGATGATACCAGTTTCATAGCCAGTTAACATTTAGTCAGTCCGTACTGGTTCTTCAAAGTTGGGTTTCCTTTTTATTGAAACACCCTGTATATATGACAGTCTGAAGCAGTGCTGTTGCTCCATCACAAGTCAATGACAACTAAATCACAAGTACATTAACAAGTCTGGTCACACAAGTAACAGGGCATGAAAAGTAACAAAGGAACACCTTCGTCAAAAGTCACAGCTCATTTGAATAGCTTGTGACTTGACTTACGACTGGTCGACTTGTGAACAAAAAGTTGTCAGGAACTGTGTGTGATTTGTGAGAACTTGTGAGAAGTTTGTGGGAACTTGTGATGTCCGAAGACAATGCATGTTTTGTTGTTTTGATGCAAACAAAATATGTCTTACAGTGGGTCTTTTCAGGAGCAGTTCTCAACCAAAATGTTCTGGGGAAAAAGGTTCTTGACAAGTTCGATCATACCAAATATTTGAGTACAATGTATCTGGTTTTAATGTTGTACTTAACTGGAGATGTTGGTTACTTTAGCAAATGATTTAAGGAAAACTCATGTTGAGTGGAGCTAAATTTTAAGTAGAGCAAGATCCATTATAGTCCCTATACTGCCTGAAACTGTCCTGCCTGTTACTCCCGGTAAAAAAATTAGCACTCTTTTTATACATACAGTTCATGGATTCATCTGGAAACAAATACAATGTAATACAGTGTACTACAGGTGCAAATGGGTTAAAAAGTGATTGTTGATAGCCCTGGACTCCTTAGGTATAGAGCACACCTGTCATGAAATGTCCAGTACTTGACACCCAGCTTGCTGAAGAACTCAAAGGCCACGCGAAGACGCCTCTTGGCATTCTCCACACTCTCACTTCCTGACAATCAAACGACAACAAAAACATAAACATGAGGCTAAAAAGAGATACTTATATTTTGCAGTCAAAGGCCGAAAAAACATTGTCTTTACAGTTTATGTCCTTAACATTTTCCAGGTAGGTAGGTAGGCAGGACAGACAATTTTACATTGTAATTTTTTAATGTTTGTCTGTATGGTTCCTAGTAAATTATGCTAGGGAGTTAGTGTTAATACTTTGTTTACTTTAGGGTACCTTTAATGGTATTCTTTTTTATTTAACCTGTTTATTTGTTTAATTAACCACACATTCTACAAATTGCATACGAAAAACTTCTTAATTTTCAAAATATACTTTAAAGGGAATATACAACATTTGCAAACATCGAAAAATAAAACTACCAAGTTTTTGCGAAATACCTTAATAGGATGTTGGTAAATGACAGTCTAAAGCATCCTGTAAAATTATGGCACCTGGTATACTGTCATTTTCAAGAAAAGTGGTATTTTTGTATCAATTTCCAACGCTGATCGGCCGATCAGCGTTGGAAACAACTGGCTTTTTTTCAAATACTGGCCCCAATTGACCATTGCACTTGTTTGCAATCGATTACAAACCTATGAACGGGTACGAGCCAGCTAGACTGGTTCCCTGACCTTACAATTCCCCAATGTATGTAAACTGCTCTGTTTCTTCTTATATGAAGTCAGGGAACCAGACTACAGGAAAATGATCGTTTTTCTTGGTTTTTATAGCATTTTCGATCCCAAAACCTCCAAAAAGTCAGTGTAACTATATTTGCTTTATATTTCCAACCCCCCAATTCCATCCATTTCTGAAAATTACAGCAAAAGCAAATGATGTATATTCCCTTTAATTTTATCATTTGTCCAAATGTGGCAATAAAATTGGATGTCAGCAATTTGGCCACAAAAATAGGTCAAGTTACTGTCAACACACAATTTGTATTTGGCCTAACACAAAATGTAAACTGACAAAAAAGATTATTATTCACCAAATGTGAACCATTCTGAATACCTTACATTGGAAAAAATAATAGGACTTCTTTTGTTGTCCACCACATGTCTTTCAAGGTTGATGCATAATTAAGAGGCAAGAATACCCTGGCTATCACCTGATCTTATGCCTAATTTATTCCATTGGATACTTTACAGCTGATAAGATCTTGCTTATCTTCTAAGTTCCAAGGACAGTGTGCAGTGGCTGATTTAATGTGGGTTGGGGGCACTGGTCTACCATCCCCCCTCCCCCAACCCCTTTGGCCACAAAAAAAGGAGAAAAATCACGCAGAAAAATGTAGCAAATGCCTGCTAACACCCCACCCTAAAGCTAAATTCACATTCAACTAAAGCTGAAGCTGGATCCACTCTGGTGTGTGGGCATATTTTTATATCATTCCTTTTTCCCACCATTTTTCCCACTCAACCATTTGCAATATATTTTGCTAATTGTGTCAATATACTGTCTTTGGATTTGTCTCCAACAAAATTGTTGATATTATGCAGTAATGGTGACGGCTCCTTTTGACACAATTTTGTTTCAGGGAAAGAGTTGACAAAATGGGAAAATCTATTGGCCATTTTGGAAAATCTGCCATCTTTTGGTTGGTGGGGGGGCCGCTTTTTTATTTTTTCAAAAAGCCCAGACGAGAAACTTTTTCCTCGGCCTAACCTAAAGGGGGAAGGTGCAGGGATGGGGGGAGGGGGATTCCAAAAGGAACTGACCATCATCCCAGGGTCTGTTGATGGTTGGAGCTCCGAAGGGATCTAGTCCAACTCCCCTGAAGGTGTGCCAGTAAACGACGGAGAATCGAAGCCAGTCCTCCATCGTGCGTCCATTAATGACCTGAAACGAAAATAAGTTTTGTGTAATTTTTATTCCTCCTTGACTTTATCATGGTCAAAGCCACAACAGGTTTGGCTTTTTAGTTGTAACAAACCAGGTCTTTGCATTTTTAAGCTCAAAATTTAAGAGAACATAATTTAATACAAATTTCTTTGACACCAACCTCCTTGGCATTGTAATGTTTAAAGCACAGCACATCAGTAGGCCCTGCGTTGGGTTTGTACTCAATTTTGCCAACACCTGCAATTAAGTACAAAATTAATAATACCAACACAAAAAAACTTGAACCTTCTTACCGTTATGTCATGAGAGGATTACATCAATCTATTCGAAACAAAAATGATATGAAGCCTTAGAGGATTTCATTTCAAAGCCACATACGTGTATTACTAGCACAGCGTAAATGCATGGTCCTACGATCAAAATATTCAACGTCACCCTAAAGGGCCCATGAAATGAATTTTTCTCAGGAACATCTTTTGTGCAACTAACTTTCTACCCCTCTCAAATGAATAAAAACTATTTGACATCCCTTTTTGGTTTATTTTATTGAAAAGTGCACTTATTTAAACAATTTTAAAAAATTCCATGCTTTCCGGACAACTGTGGGCGCTGTTGCTGTGATGTCATTTCAGGAAGACACTGTTCAGTTTAAGGGGTTTTTTGTTCAAATTGTGAACCCAAAAATTGCTCACTGCATGATAACATCTATGGGAAAGTTTCTGCTCACTGGCTTACTGCCCTGTACTGACACTAGTAATAACAAATCATCACAGAAAAGAAATTTTACAGCAGCAAAATATCCAAGTCTGGCAACTTTTGGAGCTGAAATAACTGTGCTGTAACATTGAGTTTTCTGCCTGAAATGACATCACACTGTTGCTCACGAATATGGCAATTATAAATATAATTAACATAAAAAGAAGAAAAGGCACTTTATCCCTTCAAAATTAATGGACAAATAAATGGGACACAAAATGTGCATTTGTCAAGGATTGCATTACAAAAAAAAATACATAGCATGGCCTTTTAAGTGAATGCATGTGCACACAGCACACCACATGAGGTATGGGGGGGGGGGGGGTGCCCCATGCCCCATGCTCAACCATAAAATTAATGCACACAATCGCATCGGTCCCAGCTATAGTTGGGCCTGTCCCAACTATAGTTGGGCCTGTCCCAACTGTAGTTCCACAGTTGGGCTGGCCCAACTATAGTTGGGCCTGTCCCAACTATAGTTAGGACGGTCCCAACTGTAAGTTCCACTGTTGGGCTGGCCCATCTATAGTTGGGCCACTCCGATCTTTTTATTTTGCGGTGTCCCAACTATAGTTTACATTGATGTACAACTGTAAAACGTTCCCTACAGCTCTGATACACGTCTGACTTTACTGGGGACCACTGAAATTAGCTATTGATGGGGCGAATCTATAGTTGGGCCACTCCAATCTTTTTATTTTGCGGTCCCAACTATAGTGTACATTGTTGTACGATTATAAAACATTCCCTACAACTCTAATACACATCTGACTTTACTTGGGACCAATGAAATTATCTATGAGTGGGGACCATCTGTAGTTGGGCCACCGCAATATTTTTATTTGGCGGTCCCAACTATAGTTTACATTGATTTACGACGACTATAAAACATTCCCTACAGCTCTGTTACATACTGTCCGACTTCACTTGGGACCTTTGACATTAGCTATGGGTGGGGCCCATCTATAGTTGGCCGGCCATGGCAATCTTTGAATTTTGCAAAATGTTGCTGGACAATCAACCCAGCAGCTGGACAACTCATCCAACTAGGCAGTACCACGTGACCGGTCAGCCTTGCGGCATGCATGCACGACGAATACACGGTGCCAGCGCCGCGGAACATTTAATCCAACAAGATCTATCAAGCATGAAGCATCCGGCGCAACTCCAGTCCTAACTATAGTTGGGCCGACCCAACTGCCGCACTATAGTTGGGACAGTCCCAACTATAGTTGGGACCGATGCGATAGTTGGGGCGTGACAGCCCCACTAGTGTGGCCGCGGTATGCTGCGCTGAACCTTGGGTTCAGCGCAGCATACCGACGGCCACACTAGTGGGGCTAGACTACTTAGTAACTTACCCTTAAAAAACTCCTCGGAATCTCCACCGTTTCTGGGAGCATTTTCCCCCGATAAACGGGCCCGTTTGGCCTTCGATCCTTGAGACATTCTGTGCACAGTTGCTTACAACCAAACCAAATGTTTAGACAAGTGAAATATGATGAGATTTAAGCAACAGCGCCTGCAGGATCCGCCCATTACCTGCCCACCACCTGTCTGTTTACACCGTTGTTAGGTCAAAGGTCGTTTGTACTTGCTACACTAGTGGCTGTTGTCATATATGAGCATACCCCCTCCGGAAAACTTTTTAAACTTGTGTGTTGATTGGTTGCTTATGCGAATTATATTAAATTGATACGCAGCAAGTTTGGTTAATTTGTCACTTTGTTGAATATCTCTTGTTTTATATAGCTCCAGCTTTGTGAAATTATGTGCATGTAAATGATATTCTTCTAACGAATATTCATCTTCTTTTTTTAAATTTGTTTTAATTTAATGGGGAAAAAATTGTTGCCTTTTGCACAGAAACAGATCCACTCTGCGAGTAGACTGGTTTTCGGTCCCTACTTTATCAATTTTGACTAGGGGCAGGAACCATACGAGAACTGATTCTGAATAATTGTTGCGTCGTAAATTATTCGATACATGTATTAGTGAAGCAATTATTCCAAATTAAACTCAGGCCAATTGTTTCGTATACCGGTACGTATGGCTCATTCAAAAGTTAGTAACTTTTAAAAACTCAAATAAACTCAAACTTCATAAGGACAGTCATCTTAAAAGCACACGAATTACACTATCCAAATATGGCGTGTCAAACGTTGCAATATTCAATATTTTACATTTATGTGCGATGTTCAATATAAGTGTGCGATGTTTTTCATTATTTGCGCGATGTTTAATATATTTGTGCGATGTTTTACAATATAATTATGTGCGATGTTCAATATATGTTTGCGATGTTTTACATTTATAGCGATTTTCAATTTATATGTGCGATGTTTTTGACGATATATATGTGCGATGTTTTCAATATTATGTTCGATTTTTGCATTAAATGTGTGATGTTTTTCGATACAATTGTGTGTGTTGTTTTACAATATATTTGCGATTTTCTATATGTGAGCAATGTTTTACATATATGTTTGACATTTCGAGCTATTTGTATTCGATGTTTCATCGGTATGTTTGCCAGTGCATTCGATCTTTTGCAATATGCATTTGATGTTTCCCTTTTCATTCGATGTTTCGCTAAGAGTCAAAGTCTGGTTACTAGACCGCAAAAAGTCTGACTATTTTGCCTAAAGTCAGTGTATGAGATGTCAGGGGATCGCGTATTGAAAGTGATTAGAGCCAGACCTAAACGGTAAAAACCGGAATTGTGGGTAATTCTTTAAGCATACGCAATGCGTTCATCATTGTTTGGGCAGTACCCCCAGCTGTGCCTGTACTACCCATAGTGTTGTGTGCATCATCTATGCATTGAGGAGTGCATGACACATGGCCTGAGCTCCAAGGTCGATGTGCACCTGTCCCGTTTAATGATCCAGTTACCTGATAATTTGTTAGCATAAGCTGATGTAAAATTGGGCAAAATTAGATGCTTATGAAAAAAAATCAAATTGTAAGGGGTTGACCTTGCATTTTTTTTTTTAGCAAAATCGGGACAAATCAGATGTTTCTGGAAAATTGCAGATTGTATGGGGTTAGATGTTTATGAAACATTTCAAATTGTAAGGGGTGAACATTGCATATTTTAGCGAAAATGGGCAAAATCAGATGTTTCCGAAAAATTTAAGATGTAAGGGATTAACCTTGCTTTTTTAGTGAAATTTTTCAAAGTTAGATGTTACGAAATATTTCAAATTGAAAGGGGTTAACCTCGCATCTTTTTCAAAGCGAAAATGGGAAAAAATGAAATGTTTCTGGAAATAGTAAGGGGTTAACCTTGCTTTTTGAATAAGATTGGGAAAAATTAGATGTTCATGAAAAAAATTCAAATTGTAAGGGGTTAACCTTGCATTTCTTTTTAGCAAAATAGGACACAATCAGATGATTCTGGAAAATTGCAGATTGTTAGGGCTTAACCTTGTATTTCTAGCAAAATTGGGCAAAAAGAAATGTTTATGAAAAATTTTAAATCGTAAGAGGTGTACCTTGTATATTTAGTAAAATTTGGCAAAATCAGATTTGTATGAAAAATCTAAAATGGTAAGGGGTTAACCTTGCTTTTTTAGCAAAATTTGGAGCATATTTTACTAAAAATGTGCAAAATCAGATGCTTCTAAAAAATCCAGAGTAAAGTTTCCGCAAAAACAGCTGTTGAAAAAGAGCCCATGTTGAACTTTACTGAGTCTTAGGTCCATCGAGGGGACGATCCTTATTTCAACTCCCGGAGATTCGCTGACAGTCTCTATTTTTTTTTTAAGAAAGTCGAAACAGCTGAAGAGGGAGGTGAGAATCTATATGTGCCCAGATACAAAGAGTAGAAATCTACGCGTCTGCCTTTTGAAAATACACAATTGCGGTGTTCATTGTTGCGTAATGATCCGCCTAGCACACGACTGTTTTGCACATTAGGCTGTGTTATGCAGCTTCCTAACAAACCAAACACACTGGGCTCATTATATCGACTTGTTTTTACCCCATTAAGGTAAAGCAAATGGACCCAGTAATCTTCCTGGCGCGTTTGCTCACCTATAAAGACAACTTTTCTCAGTTTAAGGAAAATTCTAAGGTAACGAAATGGCCGAGTGGTTACGATTCGTCGTCCACGGTTAGCGGGGTCCCGGGTTCGAATCCCGCTGGTGTCTTTTTGGTTTTTAACGTATGAGTTCAATCATTTACTATAAGAGATTTAATTTCCCGTCGTAAAGTACCAACAGTACCTTAGCTTAATCGGTTAGCACTGCTGCTGGTACTGTCCGCGAGTTCCAGGTTGGCGCCTTCGTACAGGTTCAGGGCATGTGGTCCACTCGGAGGATCAGGGCTTAGGGGCCGCCCTGTTCCTCCCTTAGCTCTTTGCTTTTACATGGTGCCTGGCCCTCCGGGGTTATATGGATGGATAGGGAAGGAAGTGTGTATTGGTCGGGGACGCCGAGACCCCGGAAGAGAACTAAGGGATCGGCTGGGGCATTGTTATGGCTCAGACCGATCCCTGAAAGCTTGACTAGCACATAACTTTTTGATTTTTTTAACCCTCTATCTTTTAAACTTTGGTTTAGTTTGATATCAACAGCTGCTCGGCAGGTCTACGGGTAGTATCAAAATTAAAACAAAGGTGTATGTCATAAATCAATGAGTATTTCATAATTGACTATAATCAAATTAAAAAAATATAATTTAGGCCCCTATGTGTGAAATATTCTTTGATTGACTATGAGCATTCCATACGAATGAGTTAATTCGCACAATATAGCAACAACAAAAGAGAAAGGAAAAAGAGAAAATTCCTTTACCCTAAAACCTGGAAAAATATAATTTGTTTTAAAAAAGTCAAATGGGACACTTCATGGATTGATTTAACAGTTCGCAAGGAGTTAGCCTTACATTTGAGCAAAATTGGGAAAAAAACAGATGTTTCTGAAAAATTGCAAATTGTATGGGGTTAGATGTTTATGAAACATTTCAAATTGTAAGGGGTGAACATTGCATATTTTAGCGAAATTGGGCAAAATCAGATCTTTCTGGAAAATTTCAGATTGTAAGGGGTTAACCTTGCATTTTTTTAGCAAAATAGGGCAAAATCAGGTGTTTATGGAAAATTTCAGATTGTAAGGGGTTAAATTTGCATTTTTAGCAAAATTGGGCAAAGTCAGATTTGTATGAAAAATCAAAAATTGTAAGGGGTTAACCTTGCCAAATTAGGGCAAAATTAGATGTTAGATTGAAAGGGGTTAACTTAGCTTTTTTAGTGAAATTTGGCAAAGTTAACCCCATACAATTCTGCAATTTTATGAAAAGTTTATAAAAAATTTCAAATTGTAAGGAGTTAACCCCTGCATTTTTTAAAACGAAATTGGGAAAAATCAGAGGTTTCTGGAAAGTTGCAGAATTGTATGGGGTTAACTTGGCATTTTTAGCAAAACTGGGCAATATCAGATTTTTATGAAAAATCTCGAATTGTAAGGGGTGAACCTTGCATTTTTAGCAAAATTGGGCAAAATGAGATGTTTCTGAAAAAAATCAGATGTAAGGGGTTAACCTTGCTTTTCGAATTGTAAGGGGTTCACCTTGCAGTTTTTAGCAAAATAGGGCAAAATCGGGTGTTTATGAAAAAAAATCAGATAGTAAATGGTTTACCTTGCATTTTTTGCAAAATTAGGCTAAATCAGATTTGTATGAAAAATCAAAAATTGTAAGGGGTTAACCTTTGCCAAATTAGGGCAAAATCAGAAGTTTCTAGAAAATTGCAGATTGAAAGGCCAGGCGTTAGCCTTGCATTTTTAGCAAATTTGGGCGAAATGATTTTTTATGAAAACTTTCAGATTATAAGGGGTTAACCTTTGCCAAATTAGGGCAAAATCAGGGGTTTATGAAACTGAATTGCAGATTGTAAAGGGGTTAACCTTGCATTTTTAGCAAAATTGGGCTAAATCAGATTTGTATGAAAAATCAAAAATTGTAAGGGGTTAACCTTTGCCAAATTAGGGCAAAATCAGAAGATTCTAGTAAATTGCAGATTGAAAGGGGTTAACGTTGCATTTTTAGCAAAATTCGGCAAAATCAAATTTACATAAAAATCAAAAATTGTAATGGATTCCCCTTGACAAACTAGGGCAAAATCAGGGCAAAATCAGATTTGCATGAAAAATCAAAAAATTGTAAGGGGTTAACCTTTGCCAAATTAGGGCAAAATCAGAAGTTTCTAGAAAATTGCAGATTGAAAGGGGTTAACCTTACATTTTTAGCAAAATTGGGCAAAATGAGATTTTTATGAAAAATCTTGAATTGTAAGGGGTGAACCTTGCATTTTTATCAAAATTAGGCAAAATGAGATGTTTCTGAAAAAAATCAGATGTAAGGGGTTAACCTTGCTTTTCGAATTGTAAGGGGTTCACCTTGCAGTTTTTAGCAAAATAGGGCAAAATCGGGTGTTTATGAAAAAAAATTCAGATTGTAAAGGGTTTACCTTGCATTTTTAGCAAAATTGGGCTAAATCAGATTTGTATGAAAAATCAAAAATTGTAAGGGGTTAACCTTTGCCAAATTAG